TAAAAACAAATAACTCAATTCAATATTATTTAAAACAGAAGTTTTATGAACATGATTTAATGTTGAAACAGTTGTGATGTAGACAAATAAAAATTGACTAAATAAATAAAAAAAACACATTTGAATGTTATTTTATGAAAGAGTTTTGTATTCTAGCTTATACACTAAGAAAAAAGTATGTTGTCAAAACATTTGAATATGGTAAAATTTACAGTATTTCTGGCTCAATGATAACATAAAAAAGCTCTGTAATATTACCAAAGAGCTTTGGTTACCATTTTGGTAAAATTAACATTAAAATATGATCTTATAATACTTGCTAAAATTTGGTAAATGTGTAAAAATTTCGTAATTTTATTATAATACCTTAGAGCTCGGCATAAAAACCACTTTTTCGATTAAACTTATTTTTCAGTTTTGTATTTTTTACGAAATGTGTGGTAATAAGAACTATGATTTTGGAAACTAGGTAAACCGTTACCTTATGAACTTAAAAGTTATCAAATGAATGGTTTAAATGCGTAATAGTTTTGTTGACCAGAATTATATATATATTTTTACCAGAAATATCATTACCATACAAGTAATGTAATTTTACCAAAATTTTTTTTCTTCGTATATTAATTGAAATAACTTAAAAGGAAAGTTTTTGAAAGTTAATGTGTTAGTAAATATAAAAAATAGTTATAGAATAGAGAATTTTTCCGTGATCACCATTTTTAACAATTATTTATATAAGCCTCATCAAAGATAATGCAATTTTTTTTACCAAAAGTGTTTTTTTGCACCAAAAATGAAAAGATAATGCATTTTTTTACTATATAATACGGTAATTTTACTAGAATTATTTTCTCCGTTTACATCTTAAATACTTCGCTTTATTCCTTAATCCTTCCTTACCTTAAAAATTAGAAAATCAGCTTTTATCTAAAAATTGCTTTGAATGAGGAAATAATCTTAATACAATATAAATTTGTCAGTAAAAAAAAATTATGTTTCACACTTCCATTTTCTAAATTATTTTGTTTTATAATGAATTCTATGCGTATTGTTAATTTTACCAGAATTATTACCGAAATATAACTTTTTGGTGTTCCAATAGAGTCAGGAACACGGTTAATTTCACCATATTCCGGTAGTTTCGACCATACTTTACTCAGAGTGGTTTAAATCTCTTTTTATTTTGCGTGCAATTTTAATTTATTGCTACGACACCCCCTAATATTAACTAATCATTATTTCTTTCCTTGATAATTAGTGCGTCACTCCCACAGAGAAGCCTTTCTGCATCAAAACAATTAACGATTTTTGGATATGTTTCCTTACTACAATTATGATACCCGAATGCCCTCGAAGATTTAAAATTTTAGAATTTTTTAATTTGTATTAACGTTTATTATATTGATATTAGTGAATTCGAACTTTAAAAAGAAATCATATTATAGAAGGGGGGAAGAGATCTAAAATCGTTTGTTCTGAATTTTAAATATTTAATTAGGAAATAGACTACGCACTAAACATTGCAATATATTTTTTATTTATTTACACACTGATAAAGAAATACTGTCAAAACTACCAGGATATGGTAAACTTTACTATGTCTGTGTCTCTATGGACCACCAAAAAGCACGGTTTCTTATGACTTAAGCACTTTGGAAATGATTTAGGTGAAATGAAAAATAAAATATGATTTTATAATATATGATAAAAATGTGTGTAACTGTGATAAAATTTAGCAATTTTATCAACTAAGTGCATGACATAAAAACCATTTATACGATTAAATTTACTTTTCAGTTTTGTATGTTTTACTTAATGTGTGGTAATAAGAACTAAAATTTTTGAAAACCAGAATTTCCAGTAAACGGTTACCATATGAATGGAAAAATAACCAAACTAATGGTTTAAATACCGTATATTTCGGTTTTATTNTGTCTGTGTCTCTATGGACCACCAAAAAGCACGGTTTCTTATGACTTAAGCACTTTGGAAATGATTTAGGTGAAATGAAAAATAAAATATGATTTTATAATATATGATAAAAATGTGTGTAACTGTGATAAAATTTAGCAATTTTATCAACTAAGTGCATGACATAAAAACCATTTATACGATTAAATTTACTTTTCAGTTTTGTATGTTTTACTCAATGTGTGGTAATAAGAGCTAATATTTTAGAAAACCAGAAATTCCAGTAAACCCTTACCATATGAAAGAAAAAATAACCAAATTAATGGTTTAAATACCATATATTTTGGCTTTATTATCAGGAAAATTATTTTTTACCAGCAATACTACTACCATACTGTCCCGTAACTTTATAATTCTGATCAGCTTATAAGTAGGTTTTAAATTCTGGTCAGCTAACGGCACATTTCGAAAAAGCGTTGAAAACATAACTAATATGTATAGATATATATAAATTCAAAAAAATCAACATATTTTAAGCTTAACATTTAAAAATAGGAAAAATAACTTGAAAACACGCTTTGGCTTCTAGTGCAACTATCATAACCATTGCTCTAGCTGAGATAGAAATATTTTAAATGATTTCGACGGGATAGAAAAGAATTCTTCTATTTCATGTAAAGTTCTGAAGTTTGATTATGTAGTCATTAATGCACTGAAAAACGTATTCGGGTACTTCAAGGATTTGAAAATTTAAAATATAACTCTAATAGACTTTCGTTTAATAATTACATTATATAAAGTAATAAATTCAAACTCTGAAAATAATTTTCCCTCCACATTAGGGAATACTCTTTCATTGCAATTGTAGTATTAAAAGGAAATAAATACGTCACTGTTTAGAAATGTGACTATTAAACTTACAGTAATCATTTTACAAGGATAATAACTTCAAATCTATTCTAATGTATTTAATGTAACTTAATGCTGCTTCTAAACAAAATCTTCTTCCAATTTAATTACCTTTGTTGCCATTGGAATTATGAGGCAAATTCTGTTACACAGTGGCAGGATTAAACTGATAAAGACTGCTCGGGAAAATTTATTTGTCAAGAAAAAAATGCTTGTGAAGTGGAAATAACCAACTGAAGTTAAAAATTTTAACCACAAACGTCGACGAATGGAAATCTACAATTTTTTTGCTTTTGCGAACGATGTTGATTGTATTGGAAGAACAGTTGGAAGTTTCGATGAAAAATATAAACATTTGAAGTGCGAAGGCAAAACAATAATGAAACTAATCCCTCAGAAAAAAAGTTTGATCAAAACTACCAGAACATAGTTAAATTTACTCCATTTCTGGCTCCATGAAAACCAAAAAGCTCAGTAATTGATAGTTAAGGCTTTTGGTAATCATTTTGATAAAATTAACAATAAAATAATGGTTTTATAATATGTGATAACATTTGATATGCGTAGTAAAATTTTTAAATTCATCATGATATCTTAGAGCATGGTATAAAAAGTATTTATTCGGTTCAATTTACTTTTCAGTTTTGTATTTTTTACTGTGTAGTAATGAGAATTATAATTTTGAAGACAAGAATTTCCAGTTAACCGTTACTATATGAACGAAAAAACTATCAAATGAATGGTTCAAATACCGTATATTTTGGTTTTTATTACCTGAATTATGTTTTTTTTTGTTGCCAGAAATGTCTTAACCATACAGTACTGTAATTTTACCGTTTTTTTCCGTTTTTTTTCGCCGTGAATAAAAGCATTCCATTGCCTCCTGAAATAAACATAAATAACGTATAAAGGAATAATGTACTAAGTTCAACTCCTTAATGATAAATTTTTAACAAGTGAATCAACTCGCCAATTTGAGCTCAGCAATTATTGAAAACAATTATATCTGAGTTGATATACCGAACAGATTATTATTCAAACGTAGTTAACCTTGATTTCACTTAAAAGCTAAATTCTATTATCTTAGGTTTATCTCAAGTTTGTGCTTTGGTGGGAAGTAAATCCTGTATATTGGCAGATCATCAGGATTGATCATGCGGATCATGAGGTTTACCCTTCTAACATTGGATTTGTTCTATTTGACTCAAACAATACATGAGTTCATTTCAGAAAATTGCAAAATAATTATTTTACAGATGAAAATATTGGGTCAATAATGTGATTACGACATTGTACATAAAAAAATCCAAATAAAATATATAATTTCAACTATTTTTCAGTATTTTCTTAACTCACACACTGTAAAAAATTACTTTGAAAAATACCGGCACTCTGGATGCCAGTACTTTTTAGCGTAAATTCCATTTATGCCGTAATTTTGATAGTAGTATTTATTTAACTACACTGTTTCAGTGAATATTAATATAAATATTAAGTCGATAATGTGATTGTGACATTATACTTATTAAAAACTATTTTAAATAAAAAATATGATTCCAACTTTTTTTTAGCATTTTCTTACCTCCAAATAATAGAAGTCTACTGTGTTAAAAATTCCAGATAAAATTACGGTGAAAAATACCAGAACTCAGGGTGCTTGTACTTTTTACAGCAAAATCTGTTTATACAGTAATTTTTAAAGTAATATTTATTTAATTACACTGGTTCGGTAAATATTAAGTCGATAATTTAATCGCAACATTAAACTTATAAAGAACTATATCAAATTAAAAATATGGTTTCAACCATTTTTTAGCAGGTTCTTACCTCGAAAGAATCAAAGTCTATACTGTAAAAAATTTCTGATAAAATTACGGTGCAAAATGCCAGCACTCAGGGTGCCATTACCACAAAATCCATATTTACCTTAATTTTTACGGTGATATTTTATTTATTTACACTGATTTAGCAATTATATTTATAAAAATTTCGATATATCAGATTTTTTGTTACATGAAATTTTACTGTACAAAGTACTTCCACCCTGATTGCCATTGCTTTTTACTATAAGTTTATTAGAAGTTTAATTTTGTGTACATTGTTTTTTTTATTCATTTAATAATATTTTATAAAATTAAATATCAAAATGTTAAATAATTTAATTTATTTCCATATTTCAGGAAAATGGATACACCCCTGTTATGTACGCCATCAAAGATAGCAAAATATTTATGGCTGATAGATTTTTAGACATGGGAGTCAATGTGAATGCAGTTGCAAAGGTAGAGTGCATTATTATAGACTTTATGTATTAGTTCGAGACAAAAATTTCTGCTTTTGTACAAGACTTTCAAACTTTGAATAAAAAATAATGAAACATTATTTAAAAAAAATATAGCATTTACTATTCTTATAAAACTAAAATGGTGTTAATTAGATAGAAAAAATAAACACATTAAAATACTAACTGAGAAACAAGTTAGATTTCAATGATCTAAAATTACTAAAAAATATATAATTATAAACTTTTATAAGTACTTTTGCTAAATGTGTAATCTATATATGTATCAAAAATTCATTTTGAGCAATATAATTTTGGAAATTAATTTAAGAAAAGCATATTTGGTAGCAAATTTTTATACTTAGAATAATTATTAACGTGAAAATACAGCATAAGAGTCTAACATTTTTTCAATATTTTTGTAACATGCCATTATTACTACATTATTACTATTATATATTACTAGCAGTTCAGGAGCAAAGCATTACGTTATAACTCATATTTCAGGTTTTATTTTCAAACTTTAACTAAAAGTTTTACTGATATTTATAAATATATAAATAATAATAATTGTATGTGTATAAATTTTATATAAAGAAAAAGTAAGTTTTACAACAAAAACATAATTAGTTTGCTATAGTTATAAAATGCTGCAATATTGCGATATACCTGTTTTCACGTGCAAATGACCCATAAATCAGACACTGAGAGAAAACAAGTATTGTAAAAACTACCAGAATATAGTAAAATTTACCGTGTTTTTGGCTCCGTGAGAACATCAAAATCTGGGTAATTTTTACCGATGTGCTTTGGTAATGATTTTGGTAAAATTAACATTGAAATCTGTTATTTTTTTTACCATTTAAATGTTTTTTTCCATATGTTTGGCAGTAAATAAGGCAAAATTTAGTAACATTTAGTAATTTTATCCTGATACCCTAGACCATGGCATAAAAAAAACATTTATTCTGTTAAATGTACTTCTCTGTTTTGTAATTATTGCAATATGTGTGGTAATGTGGTCATTGATTAACAGGAGTCTCTGAGTTTGAAATTAATTAAATGATGCTGATTACTTTTTCTTTTCTTTCAAGAAAATAAGCGAAAACGCAGAGTTTAAAATAAATAAATTACTATTTTTTTCCCGTTTATTACACAACAAATTACAAGTTATTACTTTCCCGTTTTGATGCATTTTTACTAAATTGTTAGCTCTAAGAAAGATCCAGAACTATAATTTTGAAAACCAAAATTTCCAGTAAACTATTGCCATACGAAAGAAAAAAATACCAAATGTATCGCTTCATTACCATAAATTTTGGTTTTATTAACCAGAATTGGGCTTTTTTCTCTTTTTTTTTTACCAGAAATGTCATTACAAACAGGACGGTAATTTTACCAGAACTTTTTTCTCCTTGCATTATCAATCAATTGCTTACTTTTACTTTTTTCTCTAAAATTCTTTTCAAATTTTGCTAAAAAAAATTACGCTCATGTTTCTAAAAAAATTTGAATGGTTCTTCATTCAGCAAATCAGCATTGATGTTTCTGCCACAAATAAGAATATTAAAAGAAAATAGTTCTTTTATCTTTTATTAAAATAAGTACAAGAGAGAGAAATATAAAATCAAATAATCTTAAGATATTTAATCAGCTGACTTTAAATTTTAAAAAATATTATTTGAACTGTGCGATGTCATATTCCTTATTACGCCTTTCTTTTTGTAACAAACTGACAAAATTTTACGAACCCTTCCTCTGATCTTTAAGTGTGACATCATTTGTAGATGGCATCAAACATGTGCCGTTATCTTTAAATTATATCGTTTACATTACGTTTTTATTAAAGCTCATATGTTATTATCTTATGTTATTTTGTTGAAAGATTATAGAAACCATGGTTCAAGTATAAGAGTTCATATGATCCATAAAAAATAAAAAAATACCAATTTTAATTTCTAAAATTGTACAATTTTGCTTCTTCTTTTGGAGTTTTCAAGAATCATACGAAAGATTAATGTGCTACAATGAAAATACCTGTTTTTTTACAATTGTGCATTATTTTTGAAGTAACTGCAATAATACACGGAATAATAACGCATTTTTTTAATTCTAATATGAAATTAGAATATTCAAGGATATGTTATATATGTTAAATCAAGGATATCTTAAGATATGTTAAATTAATAACTAAAAAAAAATAGATTAAAGAGATTTTCGCAGTAATGTGAGCAATGAAATTTTATTGGTTTACACTGCAGCTAAAATTGACTTATTTATAATAGATATGAACAATTGTTTATCGTAACATTTCCCTAATTTTAATGTCATTCAGAAATAGATTGTTGAAGCTACCTGATACTTTTTATACAAAATTATAACATGATTGTAAAGTAGAAAAAAATTGATTTTTAATATTTAATATTTTTATTAGTTTTTAGATTAAATATCCACAAAAAATTACACTTCTGAGTTATAATGTTAGCATTGGTTGAAAAACTAATTCATATCTTTATATTGAGCACTGAATTTGAAAATACTTTAACATTTATAATTCATATATATTCTCCCGTATTCAATCATACGAACCAAGATAGTAATTTCACCCTTTTCTGAAGAAAAAAAAACTAAAAAGAAAACCTACAGCTCATAAAAACCTAATTTTTATGCAAAAAATTAAGTAAAAGGATTATAGAGTAGCACCAATATTCTATCTCTCTTGCTTTAACAACGCTCGTTGCCACTCCCACTGGTAAATTTATTAAAACCTTGAGCTCTTCCACTGACCGAATTACAGACAAATCTTCTCAGCCCAAAGCTCAGAAAGAAAAAATGGTGCCTCTATTTTGCCGGAAATTCTTCTCCAGTAGCAAGCTTTAAGCTCTATGGAGGCCAAACACGCAAAAATCTACTGACATCGATCCAAGATATGGGCTCTTTTCCAAAACATGCCATCAAGATATCAGGATTCCTTAACTTTTTCTGTGAATCGAGTTTTCCTTTTTTCTCACCTAAACCCTTAATGGAATAGATGCATTGTGACACGCAGATTTTAGGCTTAGTCACTGCACTGATGTTTTTGTTTTCTAAGAAATCTTAATGCCATTTACTTTTGTTTGTGTTTCTTGCTTTTAAAGACAAAAGCTTAATTGGAGCTATGGGTGATTAGTATTGCTTTTTCAAGATCGATTAAGTTCAAAAGCATGTTGTAAAGGTGATTTCCAATATTATTCCTCGAAGTAGATTCTTAATGAGCTTAAAGAATGCATCAAAATGTCGTTTGCAACAGAAATGCCACGTGCTTTGACGGAAATACTCCATAACACTTGAGCAAAAACATTTCTAAAGTTCAATGAAATGTATCTTAAACACGCTTAGATTCTTCGAGAAATTGAAACATTTATGAAATTGTATTAAACTAAAAAGTAAACGAACAATTCCTGAATAGTTAAAACTAACTATAGTTAAAGCTCCTTTCGTGTAAATCACCTTTGTTCAATAAGGGATTCAATTATTACTAAAGTAATTCGGAACAGTTAATGCCACTTATTTTCTAACTGCCACCCATTTTTTTTACCCCCCATCTAATCCAATTATTTTGGTTCATGGGAATTCTGTATTTACTTTTAGAATCTATAGTATATAGGAAATTTTTGGAAAAAATAGATATTTTATTTTATTTTATTTATTTTAATTTCTTACTTATTTATTTATTTTTTATTTAAAGAAACCCAATTCAATGTTTCTTTTTTTATTTGAAATGATTTTATTTCAACGAAATAATTTCTCTTATCTTGCTAGTATCTTCAGAGAGCTAGCAAATATGCAAGTGGTTATAGCTCTACATCATAAAACTTAACTAGTTAAGAATTCAAAATTTTCACTGTTATGAATGGATTCATGGTTTTTAAAAAACTTCAAAATATACATTGCTAGAAAGTTTCAACAGCATTGAACCATTATACACTTTTTACTACCAAGATAGAACCAAATCATAAATTTATGCAAATTTAACAAATTTGTTTTTTAAAAAAATTTAGCCCTTTTGCTAAGCACTAAAAAATTTGAAAGAAAATGTTACTTTATTTTTATGTTAATGAATGTTTATATAAATGAATAAAATGATCTTAAAATAGCAAAATTTATTCTTTCTGAATTGTAATTATAAAAAAAAAATTAAACGTTTAACTTTTTTCTTAGCAATTTAAAATTACTAGTATATATTTTACTTTCGGTAAACCGTTACAATACGAACAAAAAAATAAGTCTGTAAATTGTTCAAATCTCGTATATTTAAGAAATCTCGTATTTTATTAACAAGAAATATACAGTTTCTTTAAAACAGAAATCTCATTACCATACAGTCAGGTAATTTTGCTAAAATTTTTTCTCCGTGTACGCTTAATTATTTAATAATTTTCTTTATCTTTCAGATTCATATTAATTTTTAAATTAACATTAACCTAAGTAAATGATTCAAGTTTAGCTTTTAAATTCTAACAGAAATCTCATTACCATACAGTCCGGTAATTTTGCTAGAATTTTTTCTCCGTGTACGCTTAATTATTTAATAATTTTCTTTATCTTTCAGATTCATATTAATTTTTAAATTAACATTAACCTAAGTAAATGATTCAAGTTTAGCTTTTAAATTCTCTTAACAATTACAATATCTGATATATATTATAATTCATCTGAGAATAGTATTATTTTGAAGTTTCGGGAAGGCCAAATGTCTTTAAAAAACATTTATAAAATTTTACTTTATACTATTTTTATATTACTTTCAAACAAAAAACCTGTTTCCTCTTACTTAAAGTGATACAAAAGCACTTTTTGTGTTTTACACTTTGGTCTTATCTATTAAAAATTTGTATGAAAGGGGAAATAACAGTTGAAAAGTTACAGCTTCTAATTTGGTTGCATGCTTACAAAGATTACATGGTGACTTCTGTCCAGTTAACCATTTTACTCCTATCAAATGAAATTGATTATGATGTCTCAAAAAAAACCTTTCGACATTAAATGTGATCCATCACTCGTTTTTCTGCTCCTTAGAAATCTTATAACATTTTGGATACCAAAACGTAGATTAGATATTTTATTAACAGTATTACCTAAAAATGTTGCAGTATATTACACCATTATATCGCTTAAATTTGCTAATAAGCCAAATTGAATCACAATTCATTTAAATTAAACAAATATATTTTAATTGAGTCAAGGAATTATGTAGTTAAAAATCAGTATTTTATGGTTGTTTATCGCTAAGTTAATATACAGTTTTGTTAAAAATATGTTTAATTAAAATGCTAATTTTATTGCTTCTATAATAATGAAAACTTGGACAACAGACGCCATCTATCACTTTTTTTAAGTTGAATCGTAATTTTTCGTCATTTTTAACGTCATTTTTGACGTAAGTTGAATCGTCATTTTTAACAAAAAGTTTCATTAACCTTCTACGACCTTACGAACTGTTGCAATATATTAAATCATAATATCGATCGTATACATATATATATACATCGAAGAGCCATTACATTATGATCACTCTCCATCTATAACAATGGGCTCACCCAGATTTTCATGGTTTCTCGCCCAGGAACAATGTTTTCAAGGGGCACATTAGAACCAATAATCCTCATAGAACAATCCCTGACGTCTGTAAGCTACTTGAACATAGTTGCAGACCAGGTTCACCCATTCATGGCAACAGTTTTTCCTGCTGGGGATGGTGTTTACCAACCGGATAATGCACCATGTCATAAGGGTCGAATGTCATGGATTGGTTCGCGGAACATTCCAGTGACTTTCAAGTCATGTCTTGGCCCCCAAATTTACCTGACCTTAATCCAATAGAGCATTTGTGGTCCTACTTGGAAAAACAAATTCGTGCTGCCACGCTACCCCCTCGCAATGTGAGGGATTTGCAGGACCAGTTGGTGAGCGCTTGGTGGCAAATACCTCAAACTACCTATCAGCACCTTGTGGAATCAATGCCACGGCGAGTGCTAGCAGTTTTGAGGGCTAAAGGTGATCCTACATGTTATTATCAGGGTGGTCATAATGCAATGGCTCTTCGGTGTATAATGTATATAATGTATATGTAAGATAACTGCGAAAAACCACACGTTTTAACTCGAAAATAAACTACACAAGGAGATTGACGTTTCTCATAGAAAGAATATAAAATTGAATAGCGAACAGAACTTCATGTATCGGTCGTTATAAAGGAAGGGGAACTATGATGGGGACAGTACTAAGGAGCGTAGTCATCAATATTTTTAAAAGAGTGAATGCAACGACATTGCAATAACACTAAAATACATAATTGCACTTTGCGTCTATGGAATAGCAAATGGAACTTTATGTAACGATCCTTTTAATGGAAAGGTCGTTGTAACGGGAATCATGCTAAAAAGCGCAGACTGGACTAAGTTACCGTATAACCATAAAAGTCAGCTAAAATTGAAGCAATTTTCCCTCTCTTCTTTTTATTTTGTAAAATAAAAGCATCAGTTCTAAAATATGATTAGTAATAAGTTATGATTTCGATAGATCATTAATATTTCAAACCTTAATTTTATTGATCTTTTTCCTATAGGATGGTATCACCGCCCTTCATTTAGCTGTAGCAAATGTCAAAGAAGACGCTATACGGTTATGTCTAAGTAGAAAAGCAGATCCTTTAGTGCCATATGGGGTAAGACAAAGAAAATTGTTAAAATATCTAAACTATTATCAGGCAACTTAGTAACACATAACTCTTTTTTTAATGTTAAATGCTAATTTTGCCAGTATTTTGTAACCAATGTTAGTTCATCGAAAATGTACGAATGTACATACACGAACTCCAGCAATATATATCTCGTTGATAAGAAAAAGTCTTTTCGCCTTAAGTAGAGAATTAAAATAAAATAGCTTATGAAACATGTTTGAAGACAAACAAAAAATATTTTGGAATCATAAGTTATTATAGTAATATTTTTTTGATGAATTGGAGTGAAATATGATGATGATATGATCATAATATAATGATGATATTCAATTTAGATTTCAGGAGGAAAATGCAAAAAACGAAAAGAAATCTGGATAATGGACCAATCCATCATGTCCGTTATCGAGAATTCAAGAAATTATCAATTACTGCACATTGTTGGAATCTTGGACATAAATCAATTTCGACAATGTAAAAATTATTTCCACTTCAGTCATATCAGCCCGTCGTGATGCACTGGAATCTTATTTCCTTCAAATAAATGTTGATTCCTTCGTTAACAGCATTAATTCCTCACCACCTCTCCAAAGCACGTGGAAATTCATTTTACCTTGATTTGCCCCTCTCGGCTACTGTGGTTTTCTTATCTCCTGTTTTTTTCTCACTATTTTCTCTCTCGGCTATATGGATCTTTCTATAGAGAATTATTAATTTCAATCCCTAATTTATTTTTTACTTTTTTGTTAATATGATATTATTTTGATAACATCTTTATAAATTATTGATCCTAATTTTATTTGGTGACACAGAAGTATAAAAGTCAAATATTCTCCTCATAACTTTTTCAGCCATTTAACTAGACTTGACAAATGTATTTGTGTGTACGCTTGTGAGTACAAGCTTAGAAAAATTAATAGAAATCGTTAAACATCATTTGTTTGAAATAACTTCTTAAAGCAGTTATGTAGCGAATGAATTTCTCTACACAACTTAATATTTCATTGACCTTGCCTAAATTTGACAGCTTTCAGACCAAACCTAATTACTTTTATTGCCAATCATCAAGAGGCTTTTGTGATTTCTTTTATTTGAAATATCATAATCCGTGAAAGAAAAATGTGATCTTAAAAAGCTAGGTGTGAGGAAAAGATGTTTTCTCTAGATCACGTTTCACAATTCTTGTGTCACGCAAATAGACAATTGCAAAGAAAGACAGTTGAATAAAAAAAGGTAGTCGAAACTTTTTTTGTCATTTATAATTAATTTTCCAACCAGTATTAATAACTGGGAGGAATTTATTGGCATTGATCCCACAAATATAATTTAAGAATGCATTAATATGTTGTTTTTTTAAAAAATTCGATTATTCTTAACGAATATGGTCGATTATTATTAACGAATTGTCGATTATTATTAACGAATATGGTTAAAAAAATTTAATTGTATAAATGTACTTTTTTCTCAACAATTTTATTAGCTAAAATTGTGCTTTTAACTTATGAATGATAATTTTATTACATACAGCACCACTCATTATTACTAATACACACTTTTTTTCGGTTTTCTAATAAACACAGAAAGCAATAAACGCTCTCATGAAAATGATTTTTTTTACCCTTTTTCCTCACCAATGTTCGATGTAGAAATGAATGGAAGTAGCTTTACTAAAGCTATACTAAATAGAAATTATTTAATGCTATACTAAATAGAAATAGAAGTAGCTTTACTAAAGCTACTGAAATAACACGTTCTCAAGCAGTATCTTACTGTATTTTGAGAGAAAGTTAAAAAAAGTATTGAAATTAATGAACGATAGTGTAGCTACTAAGTAAAGATACAACGCAAAATTTTACTAAGTAAAGCTTCATTATACGCACACCATGAATTTAAAGCGAACTTTTCTAGAAAATAATTAAATAATTAATCACTACTTTTCAGCTTTACGGTCGTTAGTAAATAATTTGTTTTCGGAACAATTCGCACACTACAAAAATTACCACAAAAAGTATCGGTAATCAGGTTGTTTGTACTTTTTTTACCATAATTTTTATTTACCGAGCCACGTAAAAGAACGAAAAATCTTTTATACGTAATTTTTACAGTGATACTTACTGTTAAATCACCGAATCACTTGAATTAAATAATTGTCATTGTAAAATTTATGGTATAATATTTTACGGTTAAAATGGATTTTACGGTAAAAGGAATTTTACAGATGATGCACCTAAAGTACCGATAATTTATACTGTAATTTGATCCAGAGTTTTACAGTGTATGATAAACATTAATACAGAAAGTTTTTTACTAATGTTTAACGATTCTTATTTCTTAGTCCTCAGTTCGCATGAATTCTAACAAATACACGAGTTCAGCACGTAAATTCTTATTAAATATGTAATTATATTTATATAAATGCTTTCTTACAGTCCCAAAGCACTGAAAGAGCTCTTGTTCAATTATATTAAAATAACAGAACAGAAAACGAAAAGCAGTAATTTCAGCCTTATTTAAAGTATTTAGAATTAATTTCTCATAAAGGTAATAAAATGCTTCCTAAACGCTGCTAGTTTTTAAGAGGGTGCTAATAAGTTTAATGTAATGAAGTCAGATGTAGCTTGATCAAAGTTATTTCTCTACCTAATTTAGCTTAATAAATAGAATTTCAGACACATTCATCAAACACATTATTCTACATTTCATATTGAAATACAGCAATTTTAAATTTATTTCATGAAAATTTAAATTTTTATTTTTGCTATTTAAAGTAAAATGCGTAATGTTGACAAAATTTCTTACTTTCGAAACAAAATGATAAACATTATTTCTAATATATTCATTCTGAGTATTACTTATGAATAACAATAATATTAATAATAGTGAAGCTTCATTCTACCGATCAAACTAAGAATTCGTTTCACTAAAACATAAAATCGAAATGAAATTTATTTTTAAAGTAAACTCTATACAAAAATATATCGAATTAAAACCTTTTTTCCTTTCTAAATTAAAATGCAATTTCAAGTATAATGTTAATTTGCTTAAATAAACCGTCTAATTTTACCCTCATTTAACGAGTTCAAAATCAATATTAGATGTAAACGCTCACCAACAATACGTGTGTAAAATGCAATTTTAAGTGCAATATTAATTTTCTTAAATCAGCCATCTAATTTAGCCGTTATATAACGAGTACAAAATCAATATTAGATATCTAACACTTACTAGCAATACGCGTGTTAAATGAAATTCTTGTAAATAATTTATTCAGGTAGGTTTTAGACCAGCATTGTAAGAGACAGTTGTGGGGATGAATTAACATATCCCCTCCCAGTCTCAGAATGCTGACGTGCTTAAGGTTAATTGAGAAAAAGAGTGTCTCATCAGCAAGAAAGGTGATATTATTTTTATGATCTGCACTTTTACATGAGGCAAGCATATCATATGAACACTGGTCATGATTTTCTTGACTACGCTGTGGTCAAAGATCCAGCTGTTTGTCTATTTTATATTCCCAAGCAGAACAAAAGGTCCTATTAAATTCTAGTGCACCGTTCAGAAAAATCGAATGGCCTATTTAGTTTTAGACTGTATGACAGTTTTTATTTAATGTTACTTCCTGGTGAGGAAAAACTGTAAATGTCAAAAAAACTCTGACGTAGAATTTATTTTGTATTTAGATATACACTGAAAAAAAAGTATGGTCAAAACAGCAGGAATATGGTAAAATATACCATGTTTCTGTCTTGATAGAAACTCTAAAAAGTTTGGGAATTTTTACCGAAGCAATTCTGGTAATGATTTTGATAAAATTAACAATAAAATATGAATTTATAAAAAGACGATAAAATTGGGTAAATGTTGTAAAATTTGGTCATTTTATAATGATATTATTTATTTTGAATTATTTCTAAGACCAGAACATAAAAATTATTTATTTGTTTGAATTTAATTTTCAATTTTGTATTTAACTAAACGTAGTAATAAGAATTATAATTTTTAAAGCTAGAATTTCCGGTAAATTGTTACCATATGAACGGGAAAACGAAAATATATAGTATTAACTGGTTTAAATACTATATATTTTCGTTTAATTAACACGAATTACAGTTTCTTTTTTTTTACCAGAAATGCATTACCAAACAGTACGGTAATTTTAACAAAAAATTTTTTCTCCATGTAATATTCCAAAAAAAGGGTAATCGATTTTTTAAAATTCATTTTCATAAAAAAATTTTCAATTACATTTAGTTAATCATATTCAATTATTATCATTATTATTTTCAATTTTCAGCAGTTTTTATTTGATAATTTACATTTGGTTAAATGTGATAGCTTATTAACATTAATGCATAGTTATACTTCATTTCTTTACTCTTACATTGTGTAAAATCCAAAAACAATAATTTCATCACTCAATAAAAAATTAGTAATATTCAAAGTTGCAAAGTCGGAATTGAAAAAATTATTTGTAGGATTTAGAATCAAGGCTTTGCAAAAAAATCTGCGTGACACAGACTGCAGTTAATTAAAAGTAAGATCTTGCAATAGGAAAAAAGAAAAGATTTTATTGATGCAATTGAAATAATTTAGACAAATATTCATAATTAATTGAACAAAAATATTACTCAAAAAATATTGTGGCAATCATCTAAATTATAACTTATCACATTTGAATATTTTTGTTTTATTGGGCTATTGAAAAGGAACAGAAAAGAATTTCGAAACTTTTAAAAAATCTATTTTAATGAAGGTTATAAAAAGTCATGTTTCGATTAAGTAAATGTGTTATTTTTGTTACCTTACTTTGTTTATCGAAGTTAAGTTTATCTAAGTTATTTTTTGACTCATAAATTCCAAATCTACGCTTAAAAAGTCAAGGTAAAAAGTTAATTAAAAATATATCCAAATGAATTTTATGTATCATTTGTAACTTTCTAGTTAATGAATATTCAAAAAAGATATGTAGTTCCTTTCTTATAATGGTTTTGCTCAGATTATATACTTTGTGCAAATATATTTTTTTTATTTCTCTAGCTATTATTTTTTTACGTAAATTTAATTTAAATAGCCTAAATTTAATCGTACATACGAAGGAGAAGTAACATTAACTTACAAATAATAGTATTACCTAGGATTTGTTAAATTGTTTACCGTATGTAAGTCTGAGTAGAGATTCATCGAAAGGAAATAATTGCTGTAATTTGAAAATTTGTAAATTCTGTCACTGTAACGATAAAAGCTGATGATCTATTTTACCAATATTCTTGAATGCATACCTTATAATACATTCACACAAAATTTAATCCGTTCTCTCGAAAAGTATACACTGCAAAAAATACCGATTAGTTCAATCAAATAAGTCCTTCACGAAAGCAAATTTATACCAATACTTGATGCAGAAGTTTCCTTATCTTCTGGATTGGGTTCAAAGCTACGATGCTACGGAGATGAACATTGGCAGTCTTTAAACCCAAAAATTGGGTCGACTGTTCAACGACGGTTATTAAAATAAAATACACACTATAAAAAATCCCAGATAAAATTACGGTAGAAAGCACCGACACTCAGGGTACTGTTACTTTTTTCCGTAAAATCTGTCTTCACTGGAACATGTAACGGAACAAAAAATCTGATAGACTGAAATTTTCACAGTGATAATAACCACAAAATCACTGAATTACTCTGATTAAATATAACTGTAAATATTTCGGCATAAAATTTTATGGTAAAATGGATTTTACTGATGATGTACCCAAAGTACAGATATTTTAAATCATTATTTGATCTGGAATTTTATACAGTTCTCTTACCAAAAGATCAAACGTTGGAAAAGTTATTTTACAGCCATCCTGTATTGTTCTAAGCACCCCGGTGGCGCACTCGGTAAAGGCTTCGTTATCGTCGGTTGATCTAAGGATTGTGAGTTCCATCATCAAGCTAAACAACTGGCTTGTAAACACAACAAGGAAGGTATTAAATCTGCCTTGGACGAAAGTCCTCTCATTGGAGCGATGTGGATGAAGAAGTACCAGGTCAAGAGCTGTCTCCGACATCTAATCAAAAGGTTTCTATCATGATAGTTTAAAGTTAAAGCTCTGAAAAACGAGGCTAGGAGCTTAAATATATTCGGGTATGGCATTTGAAAGCTCTAACCAAAATCAGCTTAGCCTTAATCTTCTTTTCAAAAAATCAAATCTTAACATATTAATTGGATTTCTGGCTAGTAAATAAGGGGCTTTCAGAATTAGTTTAATAACAAAATTTTCTTCGCCATATTTAGATGTGGTTTAATTTAAACCATGCCATTATATCCTTTGAATTTTATACAACATGCTTTGGTTTAATAGTCAAATTAGCATTGCTTCCTCAGTAAATGCTTTTATGATGAGATCACGAAGCCTTAACCCAACATCCGACATTGGCATGATAACCAAGGACCAAGAAATATGTTTCAAGACTTACATCACACCTAGTTTTTCACTTTTTGTATATATATGCACAGCAAACCGGAAAAGGAAGTATAGTGAATAGGATTCAACTTTCCCTTAGTTTACGACCTCTAAATTTAAAGACTGATTCTTCGACGAAAGTGACTTATTGCGTGTGTTGTAAAGAATCCTTTGGTGCTCAAGACAGTAGGTTTTGTTGTTCGTTTATCTTTACAGATGGCAGGCCGGATAGTCCTGGTTGCGTGTTGAAAGTCGCCTCATTCTAAACCACGTGCCACGAATGTCATGGACGGAATTTTAATGTGCCATTTATGAAAATTTGCTCCTATAAAGTAGACTATTAAATTTAGCTGTGTATTTTGATGTAAATTTATACAACCAAGAAAACTAAATTAATAGTTATTTTAATATAGGAAATTGTAATTTCGGTGATCTAATACTTTAGTCATCAATTTAATTTTAATAAACCAATTAGGCTGAGTAGTTGAAAAAAATAGGAACCACTTTATTAAATGTCATAATAGTATAAGACCACCCTTTTAAGGATTTATTGCGGAGGAAAAAATTTCTGTCACCCATGAAATAATGTGTTGTTTCGAATTAAGTATAAAAATGGAAAACATAATACTTAAATATATTTAAAATATCTTTAAATGAAGTAAAAATGTATAAAAAGTATGGAAATCTTTAAAATACATCAAAGATAGTTTTTTCTAAGAATAATAAATAGCTTAAATGTCTTCTTTGGTTTATAGTAATAAAGACCATAACTGCATAGATTGAATTAAAATAATATCAAATATATTCCTCACAAAGATATTATACAGCGGTAAAGATACAAAGATCATAGTAGGAATTACTGTACAGAGAATGTAATAAGCAATGTGAATAAAAGTTTATAATAATCTTACTCCAGAAGAAATTAATCATTACTCGAAAAGTCATGATCTATGATGCTAAGATGTATTTATCATATTATGAATTAAGCGCTCTCATTGATTCAGTTACTACCATAATTCAGCAGTTTATTTTAGCATTCAGTACTATCAGATGTTACCAATCAGTCAACATGTTTATGAGTATATTGATACCCTTATTTTTCTAGATGGTAGAAATTTGAATCGTTTATCTTTGCGGGTATAATATGTGACTGGTTGTATAGACGCTCACGCATGTTATCGCATACCTGGCTTGGTCTACAAGATTAGTTAACCTAAACCCAGTAGAAAATCTTTAGTACATGCTGAAACAGCTGAAAAAATTCTAAAGTGTGGTACAATTTGTTAGTCTAGCATGATAAAAATCTCTCTTAAGTTACTTAAACTGGGTAAGATGAACCTTTCAAATCTTGTTGGCTCACATTCTAATCAAATCTTGGTAATTGTCAAGTCCAAAGTTCAAGATACACAGCCTTAACTGATACTTCTCATGATTTTCATGGCTCTTTTAATAAGACTTTTTTTCAACAATTCTTAGGACATAGAAACAAAAAACATTACACTGACTGACATTAAACTTTTATTCCTTCTAGCCAAAAAATCAATTACCTATACATATACTTTGTCACAAAGGAAGAGGATCAGCATCCGCAACTTTAAGCATCTTGCTCAGAAGTGCAGGAAAGGAAATGAGACTTAGTAAAGACAAAGTAAGCATTTTTTAAATTCCATTATTGCTATTACTAACCATAATATAGGAAATATGAGAATTAAGTAAAAGGTGGCACTCACAAAAGTGCACTCAATATCAAACTATTTCAGTTTTGGATTTCATTCTGAATAAGCACAACACCATCAAAGTCTTAATAAATACGATATTTTTCAACAAAATCAAATCAGATTTTCTAGAGCAGTATTATTTTAATGATTTTTTAGAAGAGTACTATTTGAAATCTATACTAACTAAAAGTTATGCTATGTAACTTTAAAAATAAAACAAAAGTATGTTTTTCATGTGTCGTTCAATAAGCGCTATTAAACTTGTGATTTACAGTTTGTTTAAATTAAGTAATAATTAAAATTCAATGATTACAAATTAGTCACAAAAAATTGATTCCAAATGAAATCTCGACGCAAAATTAAACTTATAAAACACAGAAATCGATATTTTTTCTTATTTAAAAATTTAAATAAAACGTTTTTCCTTATTGACAGTATTGATTATATTTATAGCTCCTTTCCTAATTGTATTTTTTGAATTTAATTTGAATTCGCTATATATAAGATAATTCGTACATTTAGAAAATAAAAAAAAACATCCCCCTACACGGCTTTAGAGAAAAAATAGTAGCCGATATATATAAAAGGGGCTGCAAATAGAGTTTTGTCGTAGCCCCCTATTTTTTTATATAAAGTGAATTCGATCTGAAAATAAAAAATAAAAATAATAGAAGTTCAGATAGATTAGCCGCCGGAAGTGCGTTATTTACCGGTAGATATGGTCAAGATGTGGTAAGCGCATTTTTAAATTGAGGGAGTTATTCTGAGTGGCGCATAGGATCACCAATAAAGCTGCAAAAAATCAATGCATTAAAGTGAAAGCGTTTTTTTTTTTACATTTATATTTTACAGTTGCAAATACTTGAGCCTTGATGCCTCGGGGGATAGAGCATTCGTCTTCCAATGAGGTGAACCGGGTTCGAATCCCAGCGATGGCTGGTTAAAACGAGTTCCTTACTCGGCTCGCACCGACCACAGTGCTGGCGCAAAATATTCTCAGTAGTAGGCGGACCATGAGCTAGAGTTCCCTCGCCAGCAGGCTAACCGTGAGAGGTTTTCGTATTTTTCCTCTCCATGTAACACAAGCGTGGGTTAGTTCCATCAAAAAGTCTTCCACGAAGGTAAATTTCTACCAATACTTGATCCAGGAGTTCCCTTGCTGGATTGAGTTCAAAATTACAAGGCGACGGAATTGAACATTAGTAGCCGTAAACCCAATCTTCTTACCAATCTGCGCATGATTGGTAAGAAGCTTGCAAATTTAGAATTTGATTCCTACCTGACTTATGCCCACATAACACATCGAATATTTAATTACATCGACATCTATTCCATCTCTAATATGATTAGAATTATGATAATGAACAGAGTCGATTTTTTATAAACTTTTTATTACGATTTTGCTTACATTGGTTTGCGCATGCCTTTTCATTAAGTTGCCACCTAACATATCAAATAGAAATTCTGGAAGTGTGCCCATTTTATCAATATTTTAGTTCAAATCTCCTCATATCTAACAAAAAATATTTAAGCAACTATGATTGACAAAAAGATAACCAATCCTTTTACATCTCTTCCGAAAAATATTATTTCATTTCAAAGTGCGGAAATGCGAAAGAAGTTCAATATATTTTTCATGACATTTAAATAAATAAAACCAAAATAAGATTAAATATTCAACGAGTATTCATGTTCATATTATATTATTATAAATTCTAAAAGCAATCATAGATTAAAAAAGATATAACGCAAATCTCGGATATTTTTCTTTGAATGTTTAGCTTCATTCAAATGTAACCACTAACTTCATGCAATAAATATTAAAATAAAGTAAACTATCATATTTCTAGGACGATTTACATTAAAAATAACATTCAAAAAGTGTGTGTTTTAATCCATTTCAAATGTTATAATTCTTTTGCCATGAAAAATAATTCCTGTCTCACCACAAACTGCATTAAAAAAATTATGTAAAGACATAGCTCTTTCATATAAAGTGATATATGTTTGCAACATAGAGTCGACTTTATGATTTGAATTTTTTTTACAATACAATAAGTACTCAAAAAAAAATAAAGCAAATCAGATATTTTTTTATTTCATTTTTAACTTAGATTACACTTCATGATGATTTATTTAACAGGATGGCAAAATTCCTCTCTTTTTGGCTGCTGAGAGTGACAACAACAGTTTGTGTCGAGAATTACTCACAGCTTTACAAAAAGAACAACTTAAAACAAGAACAGCAGAAGACGGTGAGACTGCTATGCACATTGCAACTCGACGAAAAAACGGAGAACTATTGCGCTTACTTCTTAACAGTGGAGGAAATGTTGATGCACAGAATGTAAGCAGTTTAACCATTTTAAAGTTCTCCAATTCTCTTATTGTCCAAGTTCCATGATGAATCAGGGAATATGCATTCGCTTCTGACACGGGTAACCCGGGTTTGAATTTCAGGTACAGCTGCTGATAGGTTCGTATATATAATGAAGAGCCATTACATTATGACCACCCTCCATCTATAACAATGAACTCGCCCAGGTTTTCATGGTTTCTCGCCCAGGAGCAATGTTTTCAGGAGGCACATTAGGACCCATAATTCTCATAGAACAATCCCTGACGTCTGTAAGCTACTTGAACATAGTTCACCCATTCATGGCAACAGTTTTTGATGCGGGGGGATGGTGTTTACCTTGGCCACCAGAATTCTTGTTTGCCAAGGTGTTTACTAACAGGATAATGCACCATGCCATAAGGATCGAATCGTCATGGATTGGTTCGAGGAACATTCCAGTGACTTTCAAGTCATGTCTTGCTTCCAAATTCACCTGTCCTTAATCCAATAGAGCATTTGTGGTCCTACTTGGAAAAATAAATTCGTGCTGCCACGCTATCCCCTCGCAATGTGAGGGAATTGCAGGACCAGTTGGTGAGCGCTTGATACCAGATACCTCAGACTACCTATCAGCACCTCGTGGAATCAATGCCACGGTGGGTGCTAGCAGTTTTGAGGGCTAAAGGTGGTCCTACATGTTATTAGCAGGGTGGTCATAATGTAATGGCTCTTCTGTGTATAGCCTTGGAAAAAGTCGAAGCTTCGATGACATAAAATAACCCAAATAGCAGACCAAAAGATAGAACTCCATTTGCTTTAAACTATCCTTGGAAAGTTTATCTCTTCAGTTTGAGTTACGCTTTAAATTATCCAAGTTAAAGTATGTTAACGTTTCTATGTGTAGGAGAAAAAGTTATTTCAATAATTGACTCGGACATTTGCTTATTTCGCTTCAAACTAATACACTACACCGTGTATACTACACAAGGTACAATAATATCGTAATGCCAAAGATGGATATAAAAATTCCACTTTGTCTTCTGTTATTTTTAAATGCATATTTTTCTTATTTTTAAATTTTAAATAGTTATAATTTCAGTAACTTTCCAGCCTTGGCAACAATGATAAAATATTTTATTATTTGTAATCTGAATATTCCATTACTAATATGCGAAAATCGTTGTTTTAATTTTTTTTAAAAATAACTCTCCATGTTGTGTATGAGTTGAGATACCAATATAGTACAACAAAACCATTTGTTTAGAGTGTATTTCCATAACATCTAACAAGTTATTCATTGCTTATAATAAACTATTATTGTATTTTAAATATTTTACTAGACGTAATGAATTATTTTATTTAACTTTGCAAACTATGACGAGGGATAAAACAAAAAGTGTATTTCCTTTATAAATAACAATTTTTTTTTTACTTTCCTTAAAGAAATGCGAATACTATATTTGTTGTGACCCTCTAATATAATATATAAACAAACACTTACAGAACTAANCCACTTTGTCTATTGTCTGCGGCAGTAACAAATAGTTTCATTTAGTAAAATTGGAATCAATCTTACTTTCAATCGCTTCTGTTATTTTTAAATGCATATTTTTCTTATTTTTAAATTTTAAATAGTTATAATTTCAGTAACTTTCCAGCTTTGGCAATAGTGATAAAATATTTTATTATTTGTAATCTGAATACTCCATTACTAATATGCGAAAATCGTTGCTTTAATTTTTTTTAAAAATAACTCTCCATGTTGTGTATGAGTTGAGACACCAATATAGTACAACAAAACCATTTGTTAGAGTGTATCTCCATAACATCTAACAAGTTATTCATTGATTATAATAAACTATTATTGTACTTTAAATATTTTACTAGACGTAATGAATTATTTTATTTAACTCTGCAAACTATGACGAGGGATAAAACAAAAAGTGTATTTCCTTTATAAAAAACAATTTTTTTTTTTACTTTCCTTAAAGAAATGCGAATACTATATTTGTTGTGATCCTCTAATATAATATATAAACAAACATTTACGGAACTAAAGACTGGAGTAATTCATTTTTTTAAAAAAATAATAAATAAAAAGCAGCGAAAGACACGGTTTTCAAAAATTATTATTTACAAAATTAGTTTTAAGTTTCAATCTTAATACAATTGTAGCTGATTTATCACTTCACCAGCTTTTAAAATATATTTCTGACAGTTTATTCTTTCTCCCTAACAGCCATTTTTATATCCACTCTCTTACTCTAAATTTAATAAAAATTGACCAAACGAAAGTGTAAGATCACGGGTTAGTCAATATTTTAGTAATGATATTAGTAAGTTTGATGTCACAGTTCTGTAATAAAACATGTTAAACTTATTGATTTTAGACTGAAGGTTTGACTCCTCTTCATGTTGCTTGTGAGCATGGAGATGCTGAAATTTTAAAAGTATTTTTCCAATTTCGAGCCAATGCAAACATAAATGACAATCAAGATCGTACTCCACTACACATAGCGGCTGAGAAAGGTTACAGTACTATAGTGGAAACTTTGGCAGATAAATTTAAAGCATCCATTTTCAAAAGGACGAAGGTATGTAATAGACACAATTTTTAATGAAAATTATATACGGGGAAGTGTTTTTGCATGTTCCTTGAAGTGTCTTTGCATGTTCCAACTCAGTATACTGCAACAAATTCTGGAACAAATTATGATAAAAAGTACCGTCACTCAAGGTGGCGGTACTTTTTACCATGAAATCCGTTTTTACTAGAACATATTATGGAATGAAAAATCTGATATACCGTAATTTTTACAGTAATAATTACAGTAAAATTTCTGATAAATACTACTGTAAATAAATACTACTGTACAAGTTATGGTAGAATATTTTGCTGAAAAAATGGATTTTATGATAAAATGGATTCGGTGCCGGTACTTTATACCGTAATTTGATTCGGAATTTTTTACAGTGGAAAATAATTTTGCATTCAGTATATGCAATTGTTATAGCTAACGGCAGCTGTCATCTATAGTGTGGATGAACATTTCAGGTTTTTAAAGCATGTTCTAGTGACCAATAATGAGTTTTGAAACCCCCTCTATTATATTCATAGGTAATCAATAATCATTATTTATTTAATATTGCGGTTATTTAAATGAAGTAAAAGTAAACTGCAAATAAGAAGGAAATTACAAAAAAATTTTAAAAAAATGAATTTTGAAAAGTATATGCTTTTATAAGAAAAGCTTTCTTAGTATTCTATAACTTTGTTTTCAATTTAAAAATAATACTAAATTCAACACTCATAATACTAAATTCCCGAATGGGCTTCCTGATAAATATTTTCCAACATTTCTAATATTTCATTTCTGTTTTTAAAAACTAAACTGAAAAACTTTACATAAAAAGCTAAGCAGACAAAAACTTAATTTTAAGATTATTATTGACGAATTGATGAAAAACTTCATTCTCAATATTAAATACTTTCAAAATCATTAGTTGTTTTTTTTTCAATTAATTTCTTCTGAATTGCTCATGAGCAACAGGGTCCCGTCAAACGAAAGTCAATAGTTTAGTGTTCCACAGTCGAAGAAATTGGGAACCGCCGTTCAGGAGAAAGTTTTTTTTTCAACTGCTGAGTGATTTTTTTATAATTAATTTTGTTGAAATTAATACCAAATAGTATTTGCACTTGAAAACAGAACTAAGGCAAATAAGTACCAAAATGTCATCCTTTTTAAGACAAAATACCAAATCTAGAAGAAAAATAAATTATTTTTGTTAGGCCTAACATAGTAAAAAGTGTATGCCTGTTGTACCTTAAACTAGTCACTGTATTCCATTTTGTACCATTTCAAAATACAATACAAAGACTAATGACTGAGAGATGTACAATAGATCATATTAGCACAGATACATATTTTTTGTGAGTTATGCAACTCTCAATATGCAAAAATTCTTATGCTCTTAGTTAATCTGTAAATTTTTCAAATTTTCCCATAAAATATTCATTGGTAATCATTGGTAAATAAATCAAGATAATTACCTTGATTTATTTTAGCCTATGCAGGCTATTTAAAAATATATTTTAATTGCATGAATAAATTCAATAAATTAACAAATTCAAAAGAAAAGAACACAAAATTAATGTTATCGAAGGAGTAACATCAATTGTCATAAGTGCAGCAAATGGGGGTCTAAGGTACATCATGATGTTGTATTTTGGACCAATTTTCCTTCTGATGAAGAGATGTTAGATTAAAAAATTTTATGTTAAAAAACATTTTTTCTGATGACAGTATTCGTACACTATATACACGCCGAAGAGCCATTACATTATGACCACCCTCCATCTATAACAATGGCCTCGCCCAGGTTTTCATGGTTTCTCGCCCAGGAACAATGTTTTCATGGGGCATATTAGGACCCATGATCCTCATAAAACAATCCCTGACGTCTGTAAGCTACTTGAACATAGTTGCAGACCAGGTTCACCCAATCATGGCAACAGTTTTTCCTGCGGGGGATGGTGTTTACCAACAGGATAATGCACNCCATACTTTAATTTTTTTTAAATTCATTATGGTAGTAAGAAAGAATTTGTGATGCAAAATTTTTCTCGTGATATAGCGTCTCTGACAGTGCGGGCGAGTGAGATATGGGAGTTGTAGGGTTTCTTGTCACACTGAAAAAGGAAGAAAAACCTGTAGTAAAACCGCTTTGTTTACAGCTTAATTAAATAGGAAAGTGAAGTCTTTTACCATTTCTAATTATAAAATATCAAGCACTATTTTTTTTTCAAGTGAGAAATTGATATATATATATATATATATATAAAGAGAGAGGGAGAAAAACGTAAAAGCAGGTAGAATGTATTTTCCATATTCAAAATTATTTGATATTACCTTCTTACTTAAATAAAAATAAAGTTAAAATTGGTCCAATATGCAACACTCCCTTCTAAAGATATTGCATGTAAACTCTTTCATAACTGGCACGCAATGAAACTCCTAATAGGTTAAAATAGCTGAGACTTTGTGGTATTTGATACATTAAAAACAATTTTTGACATTTACATAATGCTTAGAGACTAAAGGTATTCTATAAGATTTAACTATTAGATAATAAAATTTTAGCGAAGAAAATTTTAGAAAAGTTACCATTTATTTTCAGTTTTGTGAGAATATGAGCAAAGTAAGTATTTACTTTACGCTTACATATACTTTATATATACTCTACAAATTTATAATAACTGTTTTATTAATTTATAATAATTAATGTTAATTTATAATAACTCTTAAAATAACTGTTTTTGGAGACGACATGCAAGTACTGTTGTCCGATCTCTGATGTCATAACCACGGCGATGACAACTGCTTCACTTTTGTCAAGAAGATTTTTTAAACTGGCAGAGAATTGAATCTCTAAAACCGATATAATAGAGAACCAAATGTGAAACATTCTATTGGATAATGAAATTAACAGAAATAACTTATATCTTAAGCTTTTTTATCGATGAGTCAATGCTTAATTCCCTTCAATTTTTCCACAATTTAAAATTTTTTCAATATTGTCGTTGTAACATGTTAATAACAATTACTAGAAAAATCATTTTATTTCAGAACCTATTTGTTATGAGCAAAAAAAATGAGCAAACGTTATTTATAACATGAAGCTTATTTGTCTAAAAACATTTCAAATGCGTTACCGCGAATTCTTGAAGATTTTTAAATTAACTGAATTTATATTTAATGCAATTTTCCGATACACAATTTTCTACGAGATGATAATATTTCTGTATTTTCATTATTGTTATATTTTTAATTAAAGAAGTAAACAGAAATGATTTATGGAAACAACGTTTCTTCTCTATTAGAAGCTAGCAATATATTTTCAGATTTGAAGAGCAAGATTACTCATCACGAGTAATCTATGGTAAAGTAGGTCTTAATATTGTAGATAAAATAAAAAAACTGTAAAAGTAAACCAACGTAAGTGGAACAAAAATGTATAAGAGTAGAAGTAATATAGTTAACAGACGCAAATTATCACCTTGTTACATTAGTAAGAACTATCATCACTATATCGACATTAAATTTTTTTCATTTATCATAGGTGCTCTGTGTCTTGGTGTAAATGATAGTTTTTGTTGCAGTACCGAAATGATCACCTGTCTCCATTAACTACATTATTTATGCTCTTATACGTTGTTGCCTTACTTCCTTTGCGCATTGTGGAATTCTACTTACATATATTTTTTGCATTTCTTGTAGACAAATGTAAATGCATAGCTTTGGAATATTTCAAGAATAATAAGCATTCTGTTATTTATAAATGCAATTTTTTTCTACTTGAATTATATCTAAATCAATGCTTGTAAGTTCTTGTTCAAACGCCTGTAATTTCTGTTTCTTTGTAAATTCCGTTTCTTTGCTTCTTTGAAGTATCTGAATAGAGTTACCGAAAATATCGGTTCTTCTTTCTTCAATTTTCTAAAAAGACTTTCTTTGAAACATTTTAATATATTGTTATTTATTTCATAAGTAAACAACCACCAGGCAGTGTTGAGTGTAGAGACTGCCACAGCTTCGGCAGAAGTTTGGTTCCCCGTTGAGCAGACTGGGTGGTTTCAAAGTCTGAAAAATCTTAATATCTAATAACTGGGGCAGTAATTTACAGAATTTTATTTTCTTTATTTCTGAGAAATTACAGAGCCTTATGTGAATTTTTTTCAGAATTATTGAAGAAACTTTCAGTTTTATGTAACTTCACATGATACTCCTGATAAATAATTTTGAAAAGATTCTAGAGTAGTTTTACCATTTTTTACAGTGTATAAAATATTTAATGAATAAGGTAACTGAAACATATTTTCAAACGTAAACTTGATTTTTAAGTTATAACATTTTTCAGGATGGAAGAACCCTTATGCACATAGCTTCTGAATCAGGGCATCAAGAAACAGCATTAGTCTTCCTTAAAAAAGGTGTTCCACTTCATATGTCTAATAAAGTAGGTTTCTAAAATATTTCAGTAAACATGTTTAGATCAGTTATTTATTTTACATGTTATTAAGTTATTTATTCAATAAATATATTATAAATACGTTGTACATTTAATTTTTGCAGACAGGTACGAAAGCTATTCACACAGCTGCTGCTCATGGCTTTGTAGAGGTTATAAGGAATTTGCTTGACAGAGGGGAAAATGTTGACGCTACAACTCCAGTAAGCTTGCTATTTTTTTAAAGCTTTTAATAATTTTTTTTATGTATCATTAACAAGGGTATTCTTCGTTTTATAGGCTTAATTTTATTGCTGATTAACCCAATTTTTATTTAAATAATTATTTATATTTATTGTTAAGCAATAATATATATTTATCAATTTACTAAAATGCACGATACACATTATACATTAAATATATGAGATCTACGCATTCAAAATAAAGCACCATATGTCTGTTCTCCAACTTCAGGTATTAAAAGTATTTTATTGACAGGTTATGGAAGTATTCTTCGTCCTTAACGCATAGCTTTTGCATTTTTAGCATGCAGAGTATGTATAAGAAGTTTACAGATATATCTACACACTTAGAAACTTTGGGCCATTTTAAATTGTAATATTGCTTAAACTTGCTGCAAATTTAAGATACCACTTAGGAAGCATTCGTGAAAAATTATCTTTCAACTGCATTAGCAATATGAAATGTAAGTGTAGAAAGATTTGGATAAACCAAGAGTAAACTAGGTACCTGTTATGGAGAGGAGAAATACACAGTAAAAAATTTATGGATCAAATTACAGTGTGAAGTACCGGAATTTCGGTTGAAAGTTCATTATACCGTAAAATCTGTTTTTACAGTACAATACCGCAATATTTACTGTAATATTTATGTAATTAGAGCGATTCAGTGATTTTGCAGTAATTATTACTGTAAAAATTACGTATCAGATTTTTTATTCCGTAACATGCTCTGGTAAAAATGGATTTTACTGTAAAAATTACCGCCACCTTGAGTGCAGGTACTTTTTACCGTCATTTGATCCGGTATTTTTTGCAGAGTAAACTTGTCATAATTTGTTTGCAATTTGATATTTGAAAATAAAATTTTCAGCATTTAAAATTCCATAGTTTATCTTAACTCGTATTTTCCTTTATCTTAATTTTTAAATTATTAATGTAATTGAAAGAGAAGTATAGCATCTTCTTATTTACATGTTCTGGTAAAAATAGATTTTAGGAAAAATGTACCGCCATCTTGAGTGAGTGCCGGTATTTTTTATCGTCATTTAACCTGGAATTTTTCGCAGTGTAATCCTGTCATAATTTGTTAGCAATTTGATAGGTGAAAATAAAAATTTCAACATTTGAAATTCCATAGTTTCCATAGTTCCACAGGTAGCTTAGCTGGTATTTTTCTTGATTTTAATTTTTAAGTCATTAATATGTAATTGAAAGAGAAGTATAGCGTCTTCGTGCAATAGTACCCATTTTAATTATATTATCGTTTAAATTGATCCTTAGAATTGATAACATTATTCAATTTAACTTCTTATTATGGAAACAGCGAATTTGCACCATAAAGTTAATGGTAAGTGCTTCTGACTCGAAACGCGTGCATTTAACTTATCATTCTGGAAGAAAGAAAAATTATGTTATTGCTATCAAGAATCTTAGATAACGTAACAGTCTCTTTAATTAACTAAACATGGAATTTTAAATTAAAAAAGCATACTTTATATTAAAAGTTACCAAAAAAATGATATATTTGTATCATTAATTTAATAGTTACAAATATCACTATTGGATATATTTTTAATATTTTAGGAGAACTTTACTGCTTTGCATTTAGCAGTTCAGGCAAACCAACCTGAGGTAGTAGAAATCTTACTCGGCCATGGAGCAAATGTGCAAATGAAAGCTGGAAAAGTAAGTTTTCCTTTAATATCATAAAATAAATCATATCATAATTTTTTGCATTAATAAAATCCAATTTTAAATAGAATGGAGAGACTGCTTTGCATATGGCAGCTGGTGTTCTAGATGGTCATAAATGTGCTGAGCTTATTATTAAAAGTGGAGCTGATGTAAATGCAAGAAATGAGGTATATTTTAATTTTTTTAATTATTGTAAATCAGATTTTTATCAATTACCACTTAAATTGAGTTCTTTTTTTACACAAATATTTTAAAGAAAAGAACTCTATTTGCTTACTTGTGTGCTCTTTAGAGCACACAAATTAGCAAATATAAAATTTATATCTATTATATCTGATTTATTTAATAATATTATTAGCAAATTAGAAAATTTATATCTGTAAGTGTCCAGAAAAAATTTTAAACTGTAAAAAGAATCCTGATTTTTCCGTTTTTGCATCTTTTCCTAAATTATGTTTTTATTTATTTATTTTTACTTTTCAAAAAATTTTAAGTTAAGTCAGACATAAACATCGAAAAGAATTTTTCCTGCTTTTAATTTGGTGACGAATGTGCTGTATTTCTGTAACGCAAACTAAGCCATAAAGAATGGCTGTTACATTTTTTTCAATTATCGAAATCAAGAAGCAACAAAACAAACAACCAAAAAACCGTAACAGTTCTCTTTGGAAAAAAAATTTTGAACCAAAATACTCCTTTTAATTTTTACTTAACCGACGGCGTCTTTCATTGGCCAAGGTTGGTGCAGATTCGTTAATTGGTAAACGTTTCTGTTTAAAAAACAATAGGAATTTTTTTACAGGAAATGCATTAAGCAAAAAGAAGTCTTTAGGCAAAGAAAACGCTCTGTTGGTTTTAAAACAATCTTACAATCATCATAAATCCCAGCGTTTTTCTAAAACCATTTACCTGAATTCAAATACTTTGATAAAATTTGTTTTTCTTCATGCGTTGAAACTAATTTTGAAACTCAAAACTTGTCTTTAGGCCCTTCGTTCACTCGAAAAAAAACAACCCTCTAAAAATTCAAAGTCAGATATAATAGTTAATATTCAAGATGATATCATTCTGCTTGTTGAAAATGAAAGAGAAGAAATATGTTTAGACTGCTGATGGGAATGAAACTTAAAATAAATTTCAATTTTATTTATATATGAAGAAATACATTCTGTTAAAATTGTCCAATTGCATGGTGATAACATTTATTGTAAGAAAAAGGCAATTTTTTTGTCCGTATAATAATGGTTTAACAGAAATTCTGATTTTCAAATAATAGTTCTTAGTACCACACATTTTGCAAAAAATACAAAACTGAAAAGTAAATATTATCGAATAAAAGGTTTTTAAAATGTCTTCCCGTTAAAGAAGTTTATACTCTCTCTACCATTTTTTCTCCTGCTTCTTTTATACAAAACTGTGAAAAATTTTGTATTTAATCTTTTTCGGTTAAAAAAGTTTTTTCAGTTTATAAAAGTTCCGTTCAAAGCTTGGAAAATTATCAGAAAAATAACATTTTCATAGACAGAAGTCTTTAAAAACTCCGGATTCTAGGAGAAATCTCTAGGTGCCCCAATTCTGTGGTCCCTGTTTGTTTGTTTTTCACTTTCACACTTATTCTATTGGTATGACAGCCCTTTGTGGGACAGAGCCTTCTCTAGAACCTTCCTCCATTCTGCTCGTTTCTTTGCGATTTTTCTTCTGTTAGTAATTCTTAGGATTTCAAAATCCTCTTCCACACAGTCAGGCCAGCTGATCTTAGGCCTAACTCTAGTTGCAATTGATTTATAATTGAAGATCTTAAATGTCAAGAAAGAAGGATCCATTAGGCAGACGTGACCCGCAAGCTTTAGTGACTTATTTTGATGTATTAGTTGACATCCTTCCTTGAATAGCCTACATAGCTCAAAATTATGTCGTTGTTTCCATAAGTCATCCACATTTATTGCGCGGAAAATATTTCTCAAGGAAATATTTCTCGGAAAATATTTCTTCGGAATCTTCGGAAAATATTTCTCTCAAAAACAACAAGCAGGTCTGCTTTTGATTTAGTTAAAGACCGTGTTTAGGACCCATAAGTTAAAACTGGTCTAATGATTGTTTTCTATAGCATTATTTTTGTTCGTCTTTTAATTAATTATGACTTTAGAAATGTTCTTAAGCCATGAAGGTATTGATTAGCTGCTATAATGAGTCCCTTTATTTCTGTGCTTATGTCATTTGAGGCAATAATATCTGAACCGAGATAAGTGAAATTTTCAAATTTAGAATTTCTGGTTTTTAAAAATTTGTAATTTGTAGGAGTTATAATAATTGACGTGTATTTGATCCTGTCTTCGTTAACAACTAGATGCATATTTTCTGAAGAATTCTTAAACTGCTTCCACCAAAGTTTTATTTTGTCCATGCCAGGATTTGCATTGTTTTAGTGAATATTGTGCCTCGAGTGTTAGCACCGGTATCACGAATCACCCATTCCCAGCGCCAAGTTGAAAAGAAGACAGACAAGAGCGCCGCCCTGTCTCACACCATATACGATTTCAAAAAATTCTGTGTGTTTGCTAGATAGCTTTATTCAGAAGAAAGTGTGAGTTAAAGTCGACTTAATAAGCGGCACAAGTTTATCCGGAATTCCTAGCTAATTAGGAGCTCTGAGTAGCTCTGTGTAGCTCACACTTGTTTCAAAAAAAACATGTGTTATAAAAATGTAGAGAGAATGATTAATCGGGAATAGAAGACTATGAAACTGATTTGATGATGAGTAGATGACTGCAGAACCGGATAGATTTAACGACGTCGTTAAAAGAGTATGTGTGAATAGGTAATGAGGTTGTGCTTCGAATGGATGATATTTAGAAAGTGATAGTTGGACATAGATGAATAAGAAAAGCTGAAGAACATGGGGAAATTCTTCGTTTATGGAATGCTGAAAAAAAAATTCGAATGTCAAAAATTTGCCAGAAAATGTGCGGTTTCATTAGCTTACGACACTTGCACTGTTTTTAACAAGATTATACTGAAAGAGCGAAACTGGAAATGAATTCTTATTTGACATATTTTTCATATTCTTTTTCTTTATTTTGTATTAATTTAATGTCAAAATACGTGAAAAATATTACATTTTGTATTTTAATAATTAATGGCTATGAAACACCGGTCTCTTTTCTTACGTTAAAGGTAAAATCATCCAATCACTGTTTACTTTTAAATACTAATTTTTCAAATTTGCACTTATGTGCAGTTATTTAGATCTAAGAAAAACAGTTTTTCATCATTGCAATTTCTTTAACATGCAAAAGGAATTATTGATAAATCTTGGAATATAAAGGTTAAAAAAATTTTTTCAAACTCCTTATTTTAGATTTTTATATATTAGTATAAATGTAATTCCGACGAAATAACAGATTTTTTTAGTAACTATTAGGCTGTTTTTTTTAATTGAAAAGTACCAAAATATATTTTTGCTTGTAATTAGAGCGTCAGAAAAAAATATATAAAATGAACACCGGTGTCCCATCTGAGTTTAAAGGTTAATGTTTAAGTCTGTTACTATTAAAGTTAAATTTCAATAATATAACAGAATATGCTTATAAAATCGAAAACTACTTCTGCATATCAATTGTGCAATACACATTTATGATTTTTTTTATTATTTTATCTTACAGCTTAAAAAGTATAAATATTTAAATTACTTATTTCTTTCAAGTAAAAACTTCTAGCTTAGATTGGGTTTTACTGTATTAGCCAAAGTTTAGATAGTTTGTTTAGATAGTTGGCTAATGAGTTTTACTGTATTAACCAAAGTTTAGATAGTTTGTTTCAATGAAAAGATTTTTCATTATTTTTTCAGGATGGAGAAACACCTCTTCATAATGCCGCTCGTCATGGTCAACTAAAAACTGTATTACAACTATTGGAAGATGGGGCCGAATTAGACAGTCTCTCAAAAGTAACGATTTCTTTTTCTTGTTTCTACTTTTCAAACATTTTGAAAATCAAAATTTCATTATGTGGAGTATTTTCTTGTTTTTTGAACTGATTTGAAATTGTATGTTTAAAAACGTCCAATTTTTTTCTTCTTTTAAGCATGGGGAAAGTGTATTACATGTTGCAGTCAAAAACTGCCATCATGAAATAGCTAAAAGCGTAATATATCATAAGAAGTCCAGTGTCACAGAACTCCAACTCAACAATTACATTAATCAGCCAAATAAGGTAATTAGTTCAGTTCTGAATCTATTCCTTAAAATCTTATGATGAGTAAAAATTTACATATTTATTTGTAAGCACGTTTGGTTTGTATTGAATCAAACTTTCATTACTTAATTTCGTTCTCTTTTCAAACAAAACAAAAATAATTTGCAAACGTGCTATGATTAATAACTTTAGTTACTTTTCTATAATACTAATAAACTTTATTTTGATTGCAAATATAGCGTTTTTGAATTTTTATCTTTCAACAATTTTATCTTTTTATGTGATTTCTTCTTTAAAAATTTAAGTGAGTCCAATTATGACAGTTTCTAAAAATAAAATAAAAATCTTATTTAGAAATAAATGATATCACTTAACTGTATTAAGTGATGCATGTTTATGATAAGGAGCTGGAAAAGTGCTAGACCTAGGTATAAATTTGCCTCTTGGAAAAAATTGAATAACTTTATTAAACAAATTAATGTAAAATACTGATTTATTAGTAAATTAAAAGGCAAATGTCATAAAAAAAAACTAAATTGTAAAAATTATAATTACTCTCTAATATTTTTTTGTTTATTTTATCCATTTTAAAGAGTATTATTTGTTCTCAAATAGATTCTTCTAATAGTTGACACCACCAAAACTTTACCGTCATAATCAAGTTAAAAGTTTCCAAACTGCTTTAGAACATTTTTAATGATTTGTTTGTTTCCAATGTTGTAACCATGAACATACTGTTTTAATAATGATTCTGTTTCAACTTTTTAAAAAGTAAAAGGCAGTATTTTTATTTATTAATTCAAATTTTTCATATATTTTTATAATTTTGAAAAATTAATAAATACTCTAATGCAAGATGATTCTGCGTTGCTTTGAATCAATATATTAAAAAATAGTTATATTTTTAACAAATGAAAGAAATCAATAGTTATGTGATCTAAACTTTCATTTTAATGAGTAACGTTTTGTAAGTCCTTGTTTTTTTAACTCCATAATTTAGAAGGGTGAAACTGCGACTCATTATGCTTCATCAGTAAGTAAGGATCAAATTCATTATCCCACAGAAGATAAGGATCTTATTGCGTTAATATTACAAAATGGAGGAAGTGTCACAACCGAAACAAAGCAGGTAAGTTGTATATTTTATTATTTTATCATTGTAAAAAACTATAATTTTTATAAAATTGAATACTTTTTTAAAAAAATATTCCATTATTTTGAAAATGCAAAGACTTTTTAAAATTTCGTCATAGAAACGAAATATTGTTTACATGTAGTTAGCTGGAAAAAGTTTCCTAACTTTTGCAATTCTGTGCAAATTATCCATTGAAATGAATGTAATTCATTTATAATATTTTCAGAATTGTGAAACACCAATCCACTATTGCTGCAAGGCTGGAAATGAAGATGTATTGAAAGAAATCATTGCTGGACTTCCAGCTTCCAAAATACAAATAGCTTGCAATAAACAATCTGCCGTAAGTATCATAGAAGCAATTTATTTTAATAACATGTTAAGCAATCTATTTCTATTCGTTATGAAAAATCAAAACTTTTAGCAAATAGAGGTTATTATCAGAATTAGATTCAAACAGATAATTTCTACTGTTTCAAAACTGGAGATCAAAAGAATTTTAGGATGAACTTTTTATAAGCAGCTGCTCATTCTTCCTACCCCAAATCGTGAAATGTGTGTCCTCACCTGAACACTAATTTCCATCTTGTTCCGGATGCTCCGCGTGCAACCGCGGTGGACACATTTGTGCCGACTGTCTCCTTGCCCATTCATATTACTTTATAATTGTCGACATTGCTCTATGTATTTTATGACAAGGTATGACGGCTGCTTACATTGATCAACTTAGATACTTACTCCTCTGCTCTACTGTCCACGAAGGACCTTGACCTCCAATACCACAAAACTCCACTTTTTCCTGTCTTTGGTCTAAATCTTCCAATTTTTGATTTTCAATTTTTTTTAATCTCCCTCTACCTCATCTAGTCATCTTTTTCTAGGACGCCCGTCTTTTCTTTTTCCCTCTAGTCTTTCCCTATAAATTTGCTATATTGCTCTTTCCACGTCACTCATTCGCCTCAGCTGTCCGAGGTATCGTATTATTTTTGTTTTCACTATATTTACTATATCTTTTTTAATAGAGCTCACCTAATTCAAAATTACTTCTAATTCTCCACACGTCTTCATCTTTGATTGATTCATATATTCACTTTAGAATCTATCTTTTAAAAGTAATATCTATTTTTTTTCTTCATTCTGAGTGGTTGTTAATATTGCTGCTGTATATGTAACAATTGGTCTAATTTTTAACAATTGCTGCATATGTAACAATTGGTCTGATTTTTAACAATTGCTGCATATGTAACAATTGGTCTAATTTTTAACAATTGCTGCATACGTAACAATTGGTCTAATTTTTAACAATTGCTGCATATGTAACAATTGGTCTAATTTGTAACAATTGCTGCATATGTAACAATTAGTCATTTGGTCTAATTGTGTTTACTTTTTAGACTGGTTGGTCACCCTTACTCTACGCTTGTGATTATGGAAATTCTCATGTTGTTCAACTACTACTACAAAATGGTGCTCGAGTGGATGTCTTTGATGTCGTAAGTAAAGTGAAATGTTTTTATATAGTTAAAACAGAATCTTTAATAATGAAGCCTATTTTAAAATCTGCCTATATTTCATCACACCTTAAAAATTGAATATCGGAAACAAGATAGCAAATAGTTATTTTGAAATTGCAAATATTATGGGGTAAGAAACGATGCTTTGTTCTTTAACAACTTAGATGTTGTCACCATGCATGGAGAAAAACATTTTGAAAAAATTATTACACGGTATAGTAATGACATTTTTCCTGAAAAAGAAACCATAATTCTAGTATAATAAGGTGGTGGGGAAAAAGAAGGTTTATCTTGTTTTAAGAAAAAGCAAACATATACAAACGTATATGCAAAAAGCAGAAAAAGAATGTTTATAAAACCATTGTGCGAAATTTATGTTCAGTTGCAGAATTCTATGAAGAAATATGAAATTAACAAAAAGGTTAAAAATAAGCATTATCAACCATTTTGTTTTCCTTTCTTTAAATTTCATTTTACCACATTTTGCAGAATGTCTGTGTTTCAAATAATTTAAAAATCATAGTGTTCATACTGCACAAAATGTCTCACCAAACATTGGTGACAGCAATTAATTTACAAACGTCATAAGGATCGAATTATAGAATTGTATTCACTTTATACCTACATAGTATATAATTTATTTTAAGTCTTTTACACAGATACATTCTCAGTTAATTCATTTTTCCTATATTTAATAAAACCAAAAAATTTTTAAAAAAAGCTTACTCTTCTGAAAAAAATATTCATTAAAATCCAAATATTATATTAAATTACTTTATAAATATCTGGCAAAATAAATGAAAAAAAACACACATTTTTGAACCTTGTTGTGGCAAATAAAACCAATCAATTAAATTTCAGCAGTATGAAATACGACCCTGCTCTAATTATCCCGAATGTGCTAGTTTTGCACACTGGAAACAACTCAAGACAACACGTTAAAAAAGGTTAATCTGGCCTATTAAGTAAATTTCATTTCATGAAAACTACCTTCATTTCAGGAAGGAAGAGCTGGTCTTCATCTAGGTGCTGAACATGGTCATGCTGACGTGATAGAAATTCTTCTCAATCACAAGGCTTTCGTAAATGTGAGAACGAAAAGAGGTATGACTCCTTTACATCATGCAGCCGCAAAAGGACATACAAGAGTTGTAAAGCTTCTAGTTGAAAAATATGGCGCTGCCATAGATGGCCTTACTCTGGTAATTTTCTTGACTCATTAAGTGTTAGTACGTCAAATACAAATGATATATTTTTAAAATAAAAATGAAAGCTGCATTCTCATTATACTATACAGAGTGTGACGAAATTAATGGTCGCAAATGTAAGGGGAAAAGCAGACATCATAAAAATTGTGGGTTGCATTACAACCCGTGACCGAAAATGACATCGTACACCATAAGGTACGCTATCTTATTATGAACTGGTTGTCAGTGCGCATTTGAACTGATACTTTGATTTGTCAAAAATTATCTTAATTTTATGTTTTCTTATGATGATTGCCAAAAGTTGTGCTTAAATAAGACCATAAAATAGCTACCTAAATTACTATAAAACAGTTATTTTTGGTCCTCTTTGATCTCTAAGACCATAAAACAGCTACCTAAATTACTATAAAACAGTTATTTTTGGTCCTCTTTGCATACATGCTGACCTCGAAAAACATTAAAACTACTATCAAATAACTATTTTTGCGCCTTATTATTTTCGACAATAATTATTAGAAAAAGAAGATTAAGATAAGACAAGATTATTAATTTTGAATAAAGATTAAGATAATTAGAATTTTTGAAATTTTAGTTTTTGAAATGAGCAGTAACAGGCAGTCTGTAATAGAGAAATCAGTGTATCATGACGGTTTCAATCATTGGTTACTTTGCGATTTTCAATTCTTTAAAGGTGTGTCCATTAATTTTGCTTTCCCCCGAATATACAGCATAATAATTATTGCATCACAAAATCAATCCCCGTAATATTTATTATATCATATTATACATGCCCAACAGCATGCATACCTAAATAAATATTCGGGATATATGCTCCAATGCATGATTCATTAACCAAATTAACTGTGAAAGTAAGCATGCGGGAAAAATTGTATAAAAATTAATCATCATAAATCACACATGAGGATCTGTTAATCAAATAGCAATTACTGTGCGCCTCGAGCATGGATGTTATGTTTCATTAACATTTCTTTCGTGGTGATATGTTAGAATGCACTCTATAAATGGGTTTGATGTCAAGAATGTGCGATATGGGTGAATCAGGCCAAATACTAAATAAGAGTTGCCCAAATGAAATGTACATAAGTTGAATGAAACTAATATCTTTATAGGAAATCAAACGAAATCGGTATGAGCATTGCAACACAGGTTTAGGAAGCAAGACCTTGCTTTTGCTGTTGAAAGATTTTGGTTAGTTCTGGAGGAAGTCCTGCCCAACTTCCTTCACTTCGTGGAAAGGTATCCCACGTAATGCTCTCTTAAGTCACCCCCCCCCCGCCCAAAGATGCGGAAGTCACAAGGGGACAAATCTGGACTGTATGATGGCTGTTAAAACATTTCCAAACAGAAATTTCGTAAAGGTTTTCTTTGTTTCTAGTGAGACGTGTGAGCGGGCATTGTCGTGGAGAAGGATCACTTGCTGTGTAAGAAGACCTGCTATTTGCTATTTATTGTTCTCTGTAGTTTCGTCAGAGTACAGCAGTATTGTGTTGAACAGATAATGCTCCCTTGGCAGAAAATCATTAATTGTTTTACGTGAACGCATCCATGTGTAGCGCTATCAATTTCCTCTACCATGAACAGCTTCTCTGTTGAACGCCGTATGCAGTGCACACCTCCAACTGCCTTTTATATCCCCGTTCGTTGGCGCTGCTATAGCTGCATTTATTCTGAAGCAATCACAAGTGTCAACTTTTCATTTGGGCAATCCTCATAAGTGTCTAGGATAGGTATATCCCATTCTTATCCTGAGACTAAAACAGAAACAATAACCACCATTAGGAAAAGGAATTAAGGTGAGATTCCCAAATATGAATTTTAAATTAAATGAGGGTAAATTTAAACAAACTGTTAACATATGTATTTTCTGTTGAAGATTTTCGAATATTGACATTTTCTTGCTATGCTCTACACAAAGATGAATCAGTTTACAGCTATTTGAAAAGAATTTCTTTATTATATTTTAACTTAGAAACACTAATAATAACTTAGATTAACTTTGCATTCAAATCTTAAAATTCATTTAAATATCATAATAATTTGCTAAACAAATTCAATTAATAAAAAGTTTTACATTGATGTATTTCCAATGGGGAATGACTTACATAATTTTAAAATTTTGTTTAAAACGGAATGAATTTAAAAAGATAAATGGAATTGGAAAGGTATTTTTCTCATGAAATTTGATTGTTAATAATTCCCCAGCAAACATTTATTAAACTAATAATTAGTATTTAATAGTATAAGCTTAACTTTCAGTTTTCATTTTCAAATTTCATCTTTTTAAAAAAATTAGCTCGATTTTTTTTTTATCATTCATGATCAACGATCAGCATTTAACACTGGAAATAAAACAAAAATAATGTAAAAAAATTAACGATATATCAATATCATTTAGCTATGGTGCTAAATCTAATATATGTTGGTATATAAATAATTTTAACTAAGTTTTTCAATTTCTTCTAGAGCAAGCAAACAGCTCTTCACTTAGCAGCAGAACAGGGACGTTTTGAAACATGCAGAATGCTTATTGATATGAAAGCTGATACAAATGCTACTGACAATGTAAGTTAAGTTAAAAAATTAAATTTGTGTTTTGGATAATTTAATATCAAAACTTTAAAAAAATAATGTAAGCTTATGTTTCTTTCAGAGAGGCCAAACGCCGTTATTATTGGCTGCTGAGAACGACCATTCAGAAGTCGTGAAATTGTTTCTACAAATAAGGCCAGATTTGGTGACCATGGCTAGTTCAGTAAGAAACTTTACTCAATTCTTTTTTATTTTACGAAGGTTTCTTTGTTATAATGTACACTGGCATTTACCAAAACTCTCTCTCTATATGAGAGATTTCGTTTATTTTTATGAGTTGAATGCTTTCTCGCATCTATGGATAACAGTAAGTAGTAATTTTTATTAATAATTCAAAAAAGTAGGAGTATTTATTAATAATATTCATAAATTTAATAAATTTAAATTCTAGTTAATTTTATAAACTACGAAGAAATCGTAGCTTCAAGAACCTGTGAGACAGATAAAAAATTTATTTAAATTGTTCCGTTAGCTTATTTACCTTATACGTTTCTGTTTGAGAAGGTAAAATTTAATTGCTTTATCTGTTTTTTTCGAAATGGTGATATTGGTGTAATTTATATCTGTCGAATATTCAAAAATATTCCTAATAAAGAATTTAAAGAAAAGTCTGATTGAGATTTTTACTCAATTACAAAATACGGTGCTACACAAGTGTTGTAACGCAAGAATGCTACTTATTAAGGCGCAAATCATCGCAAACAAGCGCTTTATGCTTTTAAGTTTTAAACTGTTATTCAAATATATTTTCTTGCATTAAACATTCTAAAATTTTTACCTTAAGTGCATGTATTAAATAAACACATTAGCATAGCTGAAAATTCGATTTTAACAAGTAAACTTGAGTAAGTTAGTTCGTTTATTACCATAAATACTTAAAGCATAACATGTCAACAGTTTATATAAGAAAATATGACATTTTATTTCGAAAGAGACTAATAAAATAAGTTAATTTTAAACTGTTTCAAAATAAACCTTTTGTTTTCTTAGAGTGGAATAACATGCGGACACATAGCTGCAGCGAAAGGAAGCGTAGCTGTAATTAAAGGACTTATGAAATTCGATCCAAAACTGGTTACAACTGCAAGAAGCAAGGTATGATATTGTATTATTAAAGTAGATATCAATAAATTACCTACATCTCGACTTCGTAATTTTGCTAAAATTCATTCTTGCATACACAAATATGAACAGGAAATTATTGATAAAAAAGTGATGCAATGCATTTTGTTTCAGAATTTTGTAGACGATAAAAGGAGAAAAAAACATCTATGACGTAATCATTATGGACATCACATTAGACATTAGATAAATGTTTCTGGTGTTTTTGAAAGTAGCTGCATAAAAGTAAAAAAAAAAATTAAAAAAACTCTTCAAAAAGGCCATATCTCAAATTCATCATTCTCAAATGGCCATAGCGACATGCCCCCTTCCTACCGTAGGCATTTGATTAATTACATTAAAAAAGGAGTTTAGGCTTTTCGTAAGAACTAGGTGGCTTTCGCTTATTCATCTATTTAAAGTAATAACAATATCTTTCGGATTTCAATGCTGAGCTCTATTTATAACTTTAATTATTTTTAAACACTTAAAATAAGGAAAAAATGTGTTTCTTTAGGAAAATAGTTGTTTATTTTCTTTTAATTAAGAGTTCATGCAAATAAAATAAATAAAAAATAGGGCAGAATTTTTTAAATTCTAAACTTCGAAAATACCGATGAAGGAAAATCGGGAAAGAGTTATTTCTAATATTTCGTGAATTGCTGCTCAACAAGCCCTAAAAAACTCTATAATTAAATTCAAATTTAGAATTAAATAAATAATCTCAAGAAACTGAAATGGTAAAATATTAATTTATTAAAAACTTCATTTGGTTCTAAAATATAAAAATTGGAAAAAACAGCCGACCTATTTCAAGCGCTCAAAAATAGGCACCAGTTTTCAAAACTTGCTAGACGTGAATAAGAAGAACCTAAAGTGCTTGAAATAAATAAGGTGAAGTTGCGTAACGTTGATATATTTCAAATCACTCTTGTTTCGTCTTGTCGCTTCTGAAAAGCCTTTAAAATGGGACTGTTATTTCCGATAATAAAGATGTCGACTGTTATTTCCAATATATAATATATTTATATCAATATATAATAGTATATAACATAGATAATATATATATATTTCCAATATATATGCAATTTCCAATAGTTGGCATATTTTTTAAGCGAATGAAGTTTTTTATCAAATAATTACTTCATATTATTTAAACTATATCACATGTTAAAAGTTTATATTGCTTTATTTTTAGAATAACTCTACAGCTCTTCATCAAGCAGCGCAAGGTGGGAATGCTGAAGTTGTGCAAGTGCTCCTTGAGGCAGGAGCTAATCCTACAGATGAAACTGATGTAATAAATGATTATACAAATCTAATAAATTATTAGACATTTTATTAAAAGTTAATTTTCTTATAAATTAATATTTTTACGTTTCAAGTAATTGTAGATCATTAGGAGCTTAGATTCATCAGGCAACTTTCTAATTATATAATTTTTGAAGAAAAAATGTTTTAGACAGTCTGCTTCTGGTATAAATTTGGACACAATTTTAATCAGTTATAAAGAAATTATAAAAACTAATTTATCACTTAAAATATCAATATAAATTAAATCAATATAATTAAAATATCATAAAAACAAAGAAATTAAAAAAAAATTACTTATGAAAAAAAATTAAAATTATTTTAAATATTTCCGAATTAGAATAAAAGAGGAGCAAATAACACAATATAATAAAATCACATTTTATTAAAAGAAAAGAATAATCAAATTTTTAAAATTACATTTTATTAAAAGAAAAGGATAATAAAATTTTTAGTTTGTTTAATTTCTTAAGAAAATTAAGAGTTTAACTAAAAGTTAAACTAAAAGTTTTTATTATTTTATTAAACTAAAAGTTTTTATCATTTTGTTAACTACGAGTTTTTATCGTTTTACCAACTAAATATTAAGCTTCGTGTTTTAAAAGTTAAAAGTTTAAATTTTGTTGACGTTTGTTAATTATTTTCAGACAAGAAATAATTTAATTTAATTTACTTTAAACATTTTAACACTTTTATAAATTGAGTCTCCTAAAGTTGTGAAATGATATTCCAGACGCTTCGTTAATAAATAATTGACAAAAAAAATCGAGTTTTATTATTCCCCTATTCTAAGAGTTTACAAACAAAAATGTTCTTTCTCTTATGATGAATATTTTCATTATGAGTGATACACTCAGTATTATTGTTTCACGAACCACAATTTCGTTTAACTCCATATTTACCATGTCTCATTATGTCTAGATATTGCATAATACGTCTGTTATACGACTTAATAATGAACAAAAATTAAAACGAGTAGTGAGATGATGGCGGCATCTTTTGAGAAGATATATAACTAAAGGTATAGCGAGCCACGGAACACATTCATTAAATTTCATTCCATTTTTTTAATTGTTTATAAAAAGAGTCTTTTAATCCACATTCTCTCCTTTAGAAAGTCATATTGTACTATTATAACTTGCATTGATGCAGTAAAAATTTTCTTTGTTTAATTTTTTTCTCATTTTATAATTTTTCTGCTATACATTTATGCTCTTCAAAATGATCATATAATACTTTTGTACTTGTAAAAACATTTTTTTTAAAAAAGATGACTTTCAAAATTGTTATGGAGAATAAAAACGTAAGCAAATATTACCGTTGTATATTTTATCAGTTGTAAATAACTTTCTATATTGTGTATTTCAACTTTTTCTAATGATTTTACTAATAATGTTTATACTTATCATTACTTTAAACAAACTAATTTATGCTTGAAACCATTTCTTCCGAGCAGGAAGGATACACACCTTTACATATAGCTGCCAAATATGGTCATCTTGAAGTATTACACATGCTAAAATCAGCAATTTCATGGAGATATGCAAGTAAAAAGGTATTACTTTATGGGATATTTTTATTTAGATCCGAAAAAAAGTAGTTTATATAATAGTTTTAAATGAATTGCGTGGTTTGTTTAAAATACAAGACCAACAGATAAATAAAGGAACGGTTAGACTTGTTCAGATGGTGCACTGAATGTATGCTACGTACAGTTTGTCTATAGAAAGAACTCCCGTCGCCACGAAGTCTAAGGCCGTCTGCTGCTATGGAAACACGAAATAGTGCTTTTCAAAAAGGGGAGCTTCTTTCTCTCGCTGAAACCTATCTAGAATAATGACCTAACACCCCTACTTGCAATAGTTAAACCCAGTAACCATAGTCACAGCCACCACTCCAGACTACTGCTAGGGGAGTTCTTTATGTAGACAGACTATATACTTGATTTTGTTTTTTCGTTTTTTCTGAAAGCACTGTGACACATTAATTATTTACCAATAAGGGAAAGCGAGGACTATCATAATTTTGTTTTTGACGCAAAATGACATTAAGTTCCTTTAACTGCGATCTTACTGTAGATTCAATGTGGAATTGTCCCGTTAAAATATTTTAGTTTGGTTGCGAATGCAATTTTTTTGTACCTGTTAATATATGATGCAACGGACATCCATTCGTAAGTTAATTAAGAACTGATATTTTATTCACAGAAATAAGTTTTACCATGATTTGATGATTATTGCAAAGAATTTTGTCTTTGCTGATAAATAATCAGCAAAGCAGTATTTTTCTATAACACATCACTTGAAATCATTTTAAAATATTTACGAGATATTCCAGATATTAACAAAATATTTAATTAAGAAGACATTTTTTTCTATTTGTTAAATCATATGTTTCAAAACATTTTCAAAATTTTTGCGCTAATGTAAACAATATTAATAGGATGAACATGATTAGAGTATTTTGGTTTAATTTAACGATGTAAATAGGTATGTATATACATTTAATGTCTTTATTAAGTTTCTTATGTGCCCTTTGAAGCAGATGGGACACCGGAATTCCTTTTATATATTATTTTTTTGAAGCTTTGATTACTAGAAGAAAAAAAAATTTTACTTTTTTAATAATGAAAAACAGTCTAATAAATACTAAAAAACCTGTTAATTTAGCTGTTAGAAATATTTGTACTGAGATATAAAATTTAATAAAAAGTACTTTAAAAGATTTATCAGTAACTGATTTTGTAAATGAACGAAAATTCAATGATTAAAAACTGTTTCTCTTAGATCTAATTAACTAAATTAATTGTAAATTAGAAAAATATTTGTTTAGTAGAGAGCCGTGTTTCAGAAGAATCTACCTTTAACACTGATCTTACACCGGTGTTTCCTTGTATTTCATAACCATAAAATTATTAAAGTTCTAAACATAATATTTTACACTTATTTTGACATAAATTAATGTAAAATAATGGGAAAAGTATGAAAAATATGCTTAATAAAAATTCTGCATCAAAGAGTTAAAACTGTTTTTTTAAACCGTTAATATTCTCAAGTAATTAGGAAATAACTACAGTTTAAAGCAATAGAATGGAACAATCAATTTTATTAATACCTTTTCCATAATGTTATTTCTTTAATTTTGGAGCATTATTACTAGTTATTTAATTTTAGCTTAACCTTCATTAAAATGAAGCCTGTATGAGTTATAAAAATTACTTTTTTATGCAGACTGGTATGACTGCTCTACATGTAGCTTCCAGTGCTGGCCAGGAAGATTTTGTAAGAGAAATGCTTACACAGGTACCTGCTACAATCTTAAGTGAGAAACCAACTGAAAATCTTGAAGCGGACGTGAGTATAAATGTTTGGATCTATTTTTAAGTTTATTGGAAAAATACTTTTTAAATGAAATGTACTAAAAATAGTCCAACGCTTGAATTTATTTAAAAGAATATTACCTACACGGGGAAAAAATTTCTAGCAAAATTTCCTTAGTGTATGGTAATAACATTTCAGGTTAAAAAAAAACATAATCTGGTTAATAAAAATAAAATGTATGGTATTTAAACCAGTCTTTTGATAATTTTTCTTATCATATGGTAATTGTTTACCAGAAATTCCGGTTTTAAAAATTATAGTTCTAATAATTACACATTTAGTAAAAAATTCATAACTTAAAGGTATATTTAACCAAATAAATAGTTTTTTTATACCATGCTCTAAGGTATTATGATAAAATTAAAAAAATTTGTCACGTACTATAAAACCATATTTTATTGTTAATTTTACCAAAATCATTGATCCTCCTATAGAGCCAGAAACAAAGCAAATTTTACCTTATTATGGTAGTTTTGACATTATTTTTTTCTCAGTGTGTACTGATTTCAGCTTGCATTAATATTCTTTTGCTACATACAGCTCATTCATTCAATATTCTGTTCAATAGAGGTTTAAAAAATAAATTTTAATGTTTCGTAAAGATTTTGAAATGCATCTTTATTGCCAAGCGTAAGGTTAAATTCTCTTATATTGCTCCGTGTATCAATTGTAATAGCAATGAAATACCTGTGTGTATGCACACCTACAATGAATACCTTCCCCTATTTTGTCCATGCTGATAAAAAATACGTATATATTTATAATTTCAGAGAAGTTAATTGTTGAAACTAAGGACAGTCTGTAGAAATATATTTGCAAGAAAATACTTGCTGTATTGTTCGAGGCATTATATTTTTAAACTTAAAATTATTTTTTTAAATGTTCTTGCATATTTTAGTACGGATTCACTCCTTTACACATGGCTGCCCGATATGGTAGAGAAGATGTTGTAAGAATGTTACTTAATAGTGCTGGAGTTCAAGTTGATGCGGCTACAACTGTTGAGGTAAAATATATAAAATTTTCATACATTCAATAGTAAAGCAGGATCAATAATTATTTCGTCGTGTACATAAATGTTAATAAAAAGTTTAATAAAGAAACAAAATTCAATATTTTTACATGTCTTTCCTTTCACACATATAAGTTGCACAATCACGTAAACTTTGCACAGATGGAAATATTTTCTTAAAATAACTTTTAAAATTTTAAATGTTTCATTATTTAGTTTCATTTTTAAACTTTGTTTTACTGACATAATAAATAATATTTATATATTACTCGTCGAACACGACCTTTATAAATGTTTTATTCCTTAAAATTTTAAAACTCCTTCGAAATTTATAGCTTTCTTATTTTCATTCTTCATACATCATGCATTTTTATGATTTTTCTAATCTCACATCAATATGGTGGAGATAAATATATTTTTATTGCTTACTATCACATATCAAAGTATTTCTTATTTTTCCATTTGTGTGACAATGCTAAATCCTTCTTAGTAAAAAAGACGACTTGTAAGATAAACATAACTTGTTAAATAGTAGTGTATAACCAAAAAAAATATTAATAATTGGATAATTATGGGAATTATTTAGGAGGCTCATGATTGTTTGTTAACTTTCACACTCGAAAATAATTAAAATAACAAAAGCTTTTCAAATGTATTGGTTTTTATAAAATACTTGATTATCAGCATTAAATAAATTGGCATACCACAGTTATTAAGCATTATTTGTACTTTATTTTTAAAAATTTAAATGTTTTAATCTGCACAGAAATTATTTCAAATGCAGTAATTTTTGCCCAAATCGTATGTAGTCTTAACTAATTTTAAATAAATATTCAAAAGCTAAGAATTGCTGCACTGCTGTTTCTACAAACAAATGAAGATATATTGTAAATGAGGCTATGAATACAATACTAGAATTGAATCTGTATATTTGATCAGTAATAAGTATCAGCTCTGTCATAAATAGAACATAAATAACGCTGGGGAACTAAATTTTGGGGGCATTTATGTAAATACTTGATATCCCCTAATTCGAATGTGTGGATTTCAAATTTGAAATCAGTTTTGCTCTCAAAGTTACAGATTATTCTAAAAAAATTACCTTTTTGTCTATTTTTTTTTCAAAATGTACAAGTTAAAACTATTATATATAACAGGGGGTCACACAAATGCTGCTATAAACTTCTAGGGGAGGTAACGAGCATCATCATGATTAAAATTGCATAGTGAGCCATACCCGGAAAAGTCACTGTACGCTTGCAGGAGAGCTTTTCTATTATGACCTGTTCAGAAGCACACGGAAAAGCAGTTAATAATAAGCAAGGTCCCCTAGTGGCGTATGAAGGCATTTCCGGGAATGGGTTCTATGAAATTTCATTCCTAATAGTTCTCCCCTAGAAGTTTCTCGTAACATTTACGTGGCCCCCTGTTATACATAACATTTCAGTAAAAAACGGACTAAAATCGTCATTTGAAGCAAACTAGAGCTTAAGAGAGAATCCGATAGCAGATTTGAAATCAGAGATAGAAAAATATCTATGATATGCTAAACAATTTCATGCAACAGAAAACAAAAAAAAATTATTTCTCAGTGTAATTAATCAGAAAAAGTATTAATTTAATAATTTATTTAAAAATAAATAACCAAACTGCAATAGAGCGCAAGTATGAGATTAAAAAACCTAATTAATTATCTGTTAAAAAATTTAAGATATTTTTATAACAACTTATCTTTTAGTCTGCAATTGCTCTCCTAATCCCCTCTAAACAAGTTCTTCCTAAATAATTTTAAGTTATGTTCTAATAGGCAACAATGCCATTGCATCTTGCTGCCAGAGGAGGCCATTTAGCTGTTGCTGGTTTAATATTGAGTCGAATTACGGACAAATTTCACTCCGGCGACAAGAAAGGACGTACTCCATTACACATGGCAGCTGCTCATGGTCACGAAGATATAGTTCGTCTTCTGCTTGGTCAAGGAGCTGACATTAATGCAGCAGATAACGTAATCTAATTTTATCGATCTCCTTATATTTCAAATTAAGTAAGCATTAATTTCAACTCGATTTTTCTTCTTGCTTCTTTCCAGAATGGTTGGACTGCTTTACACTATGCTGCTAAGCAAGGGTATCTCGATATGATTATATTGCTTATTGACAGTGGTGCATCTTCAACTTCTGCGGCAATAGTAAGATACCAGACCAATTCTTATCTACTTATTTAATACTGATTTCAATTTTTCAATTTAATGCTTCGATAATTCTGTCATTAAAAAAACACTCAAAATAGTTTTTAATCTTTCTCAGATTGATAATTTTTAATAAAATGTATTTGCTCCTCGGAAATCGTTTTTCTAGCCTAAAGATGCAAAATTTTAAAAGTTTACGTTGTGGCCTCATTTGGAATTTGAGTATAGTTTGTCTAAAATAAGAACTCCTCCAGACATTCGTCTGAACCTGTGGTGCTGACTATGGTAACGAGGCCTGACTATTTCAAGTAGGGGTGCGGGGTCACTGTTTTGGAGTGGTTTCGGGTCGGGTCGGTGGGAGAAAGGGAATCTTTTTTCTTCGGTCTATTGTGTTAGTCCTAGGGTGAAGCTACTCTCCCTAAAATGCGCCGTTCTTGTTTCCATAGCACCAGACGGCCTCAGACTTCGTGACGGGAGGAGTTCTTAGCTTAGACAGACTATACACGACACAGCTGCCCTAGTTCTAAATTCACGAAATTTGAATTTATACTTTTCAACTTCTTATTATTCTTCTAAAATGAAAACATTTTTGGCGAATAAACACAATTCTAAACTATTTATTTTATGTAATCCAAAAGAGATACGAAATGTAATTTTCGATTAAAAATAAAATTGTTTGCAAAATTTAGATAAAATATTGTTTCAAAAATATTAAGTATTTAATAGTTTAACGAAATATTGGTGTTAGACGAAACTGAGTTTTAAAATAAATAATAACTAAACACAATAGAGAAAAAAAATGTCTTTTATCATCAATAAATTCGGCACACATATTGGATGCATATTATATTTCATAAAATCTCGTCGAAGAACAGCTTTGAAATTAACGGCAATACGAAATATAACGATAATTTTAAATGTATTTTTCTACAATATGCGGTTCAGTTCATAAGTACAGTTTCAGAAATACAGGACTGTTCTAAAAAAGAAAAGAAAAGAAGTCTGAAGATTAACTCAAAATCGGCAACTATCCTACATTTTTCAATAAACCCAACGTGACACAATGAGAACACCTATTTGAGCTTTTATTGAATTACTTCATTTGCTAATTCAGGATATAATAAAGTTGCTATGTCAAACACACGATCATATTCGAAAATACTCATCTTGTAAATGTCATAATTGGTTTGTTGAATTTAATTACTATTTTTTGTAATACACCTAACGAAGCTTGAATATTCTTAATACAAAAACAAACGGGTCTTTTTAAAAATATATCCTAAAAATGTATGCATTAAATTGATTTTGAAATTTAATACAAATTTTCATTTGTTACAGGATGGAAAGATACCATTAAGTATAGCTGCGAATGCTAATCATCTTGACGTTTTAAGGTATCTTTTCAAAAAGGAGCACAACACAATAGACTTGATGGAGGATTCATCGGTAGTTGTCAACTTTTTATTACCAAACTTCACTCTTTAGAATTTGCAATATATATATATTGTTTTAAAATTGCTTTTGGTTTCAAAAGTCTTTATTCGTTCATTTCTGAGATTATTGATTTGTTTTTATGAGAGAAATAAAAAATTGAGTAAAAAGCAAACATTTAAGGGGTGGAAATTTTAGTTTCAAATATCTGTGAAACCAGTATATTTGTTTTCTTGATCTGTCAGATGAAACTACATTTAAGTAATGAAAGAAAGTTTATATATAGAAGCTTTGCAAAAATGCTATCCTCATGCCAAGATATTTTTCATGATATATAACAGCGATTCTTGCTAGTAAAATGTTTCAAAATCAAATGGATGGATGTCGAATCGGAAAAATAACACCTTGCGAAAATGTCAATATTCTCGGCTGAATATTTTTCTCCTTACTTTAGATTATATATATATATATANACCTTTTTGTTATGTCAAGGAAATACTTTTAACCTTGGCATTACATATCCACCTATTGTTAATTTGAATTCGAAGAGTCTGTCGTCTTGACCTTGCTGAATACTTTTCGAAGAAAGAAAGAAATTTTTTCGTAAAATCACCCCATACCACCACTCAATATTACTGCGTCCCAAGAAAAAAAATGTTGCCTACGTATTAAAATGCTTCATGAAATGCTCCGAGAACATAGAAAGCAATGATTTGGAGGCTATTTTTCGAATTGAAAAATTGATAGATGAGCAATTTCGAAAGCTCTGTCGGCAGGCTACGATAGTAGAGTTTTTTAATAAACTGTAATTATATTAGTTTATACTTAAAAACATAGAGAAAGCATGGAAAATAATAAAGTTAATGAAAAGAGAAGAAGAAAAATTCTTATAATAAAATATTTTTAAAAAAATAAAAATTATTAATTTTATATATATATATACTATTATTTTTTTAAAAATTTGAAATACAACACTATTTTTTATCTGTTTCAGTTTCTAGTTGATCTTATGGTTTGTGGAAAACAGCGAGAAAATTTACCTTTATTAGAATTCGTATTCGTTTCGCCAGCTCCAATCGACACAGCAGTAAAAATGTCTCGAAGATACGAAGATTTAGCTCAAAAGGAAAAAGAAAGAGCAAGAGACTTAGAAAATATGGCAGTTTTTTGCGAAACATTGGCTTCTGATCTCTTAGCAATCGCAGCAAGTAACAACAATGCTGGAGCATTGCTACAAGCTGGAGATCATAAAAATACCGTTTTCCTTGATGTTCTAATTGAACTTGAACGAAAAGACGTTGTTGCCCATTCAGCTGTACAAAAATATCTTTCGGATGTGTGGATGGGAAATCTAAAATGGCCTGCCTGGCAAATAATTTTATTGTTTCTAGCCTTTATATTTTGTCCAATCACGTGGATGGCTTGTTCTTTGCCTCTTCATCGGCTAGCAAATATACCAATCATCAAGTTCATGGCATATCTAGTCTCCCACATTTTTCTAATTTTCTTGTTATGCTTTTCAATACTTAATCCTTATTTTCCCCTTTGGAATTCTACTCAGTTATTACCTCATCCGCATGAATGGTTACTTCTATTTTGGATTCTAGGATTCATGGTGGCTGTAAACGTAAACCCAAGAGAAAGAGGGGGGTTAGGTTGGATTAAGCTTGTTATTGTAACATTTGGTGTTATAGCAATAATGATTCACTTAACCGGGTTCTTTTTTCAAGATGATAACCGTTTAGTAGTACTATACATCCGTAACCAACTTCTTGCGGTATGTTTGCTATTAGCGTTTTTTGAATTTTTAAATTATTTAACATTCCATCATTTGTTTGGGCCATGGGCGATTATTATCAGAGATCTCATGAAAGATCTAATGAGGTTTTTAGCAATTTTAGCTATTTTTCTGACAGGTTTTTCTTTACATATTTGTGCAGTGTACCAACCAGTTTTCAATCCAGGAAACAAAACAGTTGCGATTGGTGCGGAAGTTTTCCAGTCACCTATAGGTACATTTGAAATGCTCTTTTATGCTTTGTTCGGTTTAGTAGAACCTGATTATATGCCTCCCATGCACTTGAGTCCGGCTTTTGCAAAAGTCATCATGAAAGTAGTTTTTGGAGTTTACATGATGGTAACTGTGATAGTACTTATCAATCTTTTAATAGCTATGATGTCTAACACATACCAGCGTATTCAGTCACAATCTGATAAGGAATGGAAATACGGAAGAGCAAAACTTATAAGAAGTATGAATATGACGTTGCCAACACCTCCTCCTCTTAATATCATTACTTTCATACCTACATTGATAAGCAGGTGGAAAAAAGAAAAGCAAGCAGGTAAAGAACATCTGATATTTTATTTAAAAATTTATTATGTGACTTAAATCTAGAGTTAAGGTATATTAAATCTTTTAACTTTACTAGTCTTTGTTATTGTTAACTTCTAAACATATACTATTTTATAAAACTCTAGCATGTAATTTCTAATGAATATAAAAGCATATTTAGTATAGTTCAAGAAGAAATAATCAATAAAAAATAATGACATAGTTTAACTTGATCTGCGATCTATATCAATCATCAATCTTTATGTCGAATTACCCACCATATGAACTAAATTATTGAACAATTTTTATTTTATTTTGAAATGAAGCAAATTACCTAATATTTTTAATTGAAAATTCTAGACATCGAACTGTCTCAAGTAAAATTATTTCAGTTGATAATTTTTATGAGGGATGATTGAAATTTTTCTGTTAGAGGTTCTTCAAGTGCGATAATTGAAAATATATTGTTCACAACTAGCAATAGTACCGTAAACTATAAAATTTGAGGGTTTCTTTTTCAGAAACTGTAAATTTACAGTTTACGGTGTGTAATAAATCGTATATCTTTCAATGTCTCTGAGAGTTTTTCTGCTAACTCTGAATCTTTTAAAAGAATTTTTAAAAAACTTTATAAATCCTTAAAAATTTTGATAAAACATTTTTTTAATTGATTTTTATTTGAAGCAGCAAACAGAGCAGGTCGCTCTGAACCTAAGATGGAAAAAGGAACTACAATACTTTGGTTGTTGGGGCGTGGTGCAGCGAGATCTTGGTTTAACAGAAAAATGAGAAAGCGACCAATTCAAGTATCTCCTGTTGGTAAGACAATTCAAAATTAAAAATTTAAATTTAAAGTACTGCAATATTAAAACACCTGAACTTGAGTATAGCATAGTGTTACCTTTTGCAATATTTATAATATAATTCAGTAATGCATTAAATAAACTATTATAAACTATCAGTACTATTATAAACTATTACTATTAATAAACTAAAAGCAATTTTGCAGAATTGCATAACATTCATGGTCATTGAAATTGGTATAGTTATGGTGCTTGCTATGATAAGATTTAAATATTAAATTACAATTTATTCAACTAAAATAACAATAATCATTTTTTTTCTTTGTGAGTAACTGGGTCTAATACATGTATCACGACCGTTTACTTTAGATTCTCATTTATTATGTTCTCTAGACAATATTTTAATTACAAATATTATTATCTCCTAAATATAAATAAATTATTATTACTATTTATCATAAAAATTTAATCCGTGAGTTAGTTAAGGGTATTTAGGAATCCCTGTTGTTAGAACTAACTGTGAGGATCTTAACCGAAATATTATCACCTATTTTGGAAACTTTAAGATTCTGATGATTAAAAGCTAAAAATTAAAGTGAAGGGTCAATTTTCAAATGAGAAAAACTATTGGTATCCCTGTAAACTCCGAAAGTAATCAATGTTCAGCTAAAAGTTTGCTAACGACTTGCCTCCTTCAAATTTCTGAGCCAGACAGGAGACTTGTTAGAAAATTTCTGCAGATAATTTTGTAATAAAGCTTAGACAGAGATAACAGCACAACAGTCATATATTTCGAAAACTATCACTCTCTTGTACACAAGGATAATTAGATCCTGATAGATAATTCGATAACAAAGATAATTAGATAACAGAGATCCTGTACACCTAGTAATGGCACAAGTTCAAAAAATTCACATTTCAAAAATTTAAAAGCGTCTATGAAAAGGGTCTTTGCCCTTACAGGCTAGAATGTATACTCGGCAGCAAAAGTTTAAGTTGATTTAGGCAGCGTTCCCTGCGAAGTTGTGCGTATCAACTCTAGATCGAAATCTGGAACCGATTTGGCCAATTTCAAAAATAAAAAATTAATGAAAAAGACATCTTACTATTTAGGAAATTTACTAGTTTCTGGTATACCTATTATGAAGAAGTTTGTTGATTGAAGATTTTAATGATGTATTTCCACTTGTTAAGTATTCAATTTCAGATTGATACAGGCAAGCAATAATATATTAAACATCATAAATTGCTTTAATGAAGAATTAAATATAATAAATAATTTAAAAAATATATTTTTGCAAATATTTTTCCATCAAGATAAAAACTAATCGTCCATCAAGAAATCAAAAATTCAAATATGCCATGTATACGTTAGAATAATTATCGCCAAGGAAAGTTAAAAATCTCTGCATTGGCTGATTGCCAAGGCTCTTTTTCTTAGCCTAACGCATTTAAATAAATTGGCAAAATAGATAGTGTGAGAAATAAAATAATAGAATTTTACTAAAAACAAAACATTTAGAAACCATGGAACGTTTTTCGCATTCTATGCTAATGTGTAAGGCAGACAAACATAGAGGGAAACTCTAAAAATAGATTTTATTCTGCCCTCAATTCAAGGTTGAGGCATAAAAAGATAACAGATTACGTTAATGATTTCTATTCATTGGAAAAAAGATTAAATAACGTAATCAATTAGTTTTTAACTGTTATAAAATATGTTACACATATTTTTGCATGGCACCCATCATAAATAATAACAAATAATGTTTTTAGGCCGGGATAGCCTGGTCGGTAAGGCGCTGGGCACATGTCTGAGAGTTTGTGGGTTCGAACCCTGACGGCCGAAGACTCCCTGTGTAGTAAAGTAACTGATGCACGTTAAATCTGTCGAGTAGCAAAAGTCCTCCATGTTCCCATAACAAATCAATACCTCTGGGGGTACTGGATTGGAGATCGATCGTTCTCTGATCCAGGTCAAAATTACGATCTATGGATGAATGAATGGATGTATGAATCGGTCCGCCCTATAAACGGGTGTGACGTATGGTGTGGCAGAAGTCGAATTCGTGGCCATAGATGGAGCTACTGAAAAACAAGAACAATCGCACCTCCTTTGCCTAAACAGGCATACGTCAATAGCAACAACAATGTTTTTCTAACCAAAATTAATTACTATTGATAAATTATTTTTGTTAGTTAAATATAAATTTATTTTTAGATTTCCGACATGGAGCAGGAAGCAGCCATGGTGATCTTCGCCCTATCAGCTCAGTTATTAACTGGAAGAGCATGGTTAACAAATATTTAGAAGTTAAAGGTATTGATTTAGGTACCACTCCTCAAAATGGAAGTCAAGAAGATTGACCATAGTTTAAGTGAACAAAAAGAACTTGAATGCATTTTAACCAAACTCACCTTTAATACCATTTTTCAACCCAATTTACATATCATAATCATTAATAATCAAAATGAGCTTAAAACTCAACTTATTTATCATAAACGAATATATTTTTTTTCTTGTAAAATAAGAAAAACAAGAACAAATACCTCAGATTGTGGTTGACAAAGTTACATTTATTCATATAATTCTATTTGTAGAATCCAATTGTAGTTTTCTTAAGCCTCTTTTGTAAAAATTTGATGATAAATAGATTTCTATATCTTCAAAATGTCTTTATTCACTGTAGAAATAAAAATATTTTAACCGCGTTATGCAAAGTGGAAAATAATTTAAGAGCAGTTTAAATTTCACTCATAGATAATACTAATTCACTTTAATTAATTCGTTAATCCCGTTATGCTCTATTGTTTAATATATCACCAAAGAATTCGATGAGTTATGACAAATATAAAGGAAATAAAAATGAATTGTGAAAAACTTCTGAAATGATTGCCGAATATAACCGAAAAGAAAATTAAAAGTCTAAAAATACTGAATTGTTTATAGGAAAGCTGGTAATCAATAAACTATAAGCACTTATTTATTAAAAGGCATTTGATTTAATACACCATATCCTTTTAACTAATAATTTTTAAGAATATATTTTTAATAATCGAAGAACCAGGAATAGCTGAAATTCGTTAAGAAGCTTAAATGTAGAGATGGAAACTTAATCCAATCTTTAGTTTATATTATTTGTTTAAAAACTTAACAACAAACAAATGAATAAAGAAAATGGATAAGGTTTTAAGTTAATATTTCGATATCACAATAATAGAAATATAATAATATAATTAATTAAAACAAACTCGCCTTTATAATGTAGTTAATTTAAAAATTCATACTTTTGAATCTGATTTGATAAACATGTTCAATACCAGAGCTATATTTAATTACTTTGTGGTAATTAAACAAAATCAGTTATGGTTGAAAAATAAGCAGTTTATTTTGTCACTCACAATTTATCACAAAAAGCTTTCACCGCAATTTAAATTTCAATTAATTTTAGAAAAGCACATTATTACACTAAGATCTGCTGCCACATATTAGAAACACAGCAACTTGCCTGAAATATTTGTTGCCTGCAACACAGCACCTCCAAATTTGTATCCATACTATATTGTTAAACCAAAAATAAAAATGATAAATTGAAATGAATAAAAAAATATTAACATTCGAGATATTTTTAGAGAAACACATTAGAAGACCATAAATTGGGAAAAAATTGATCATTATTCGGCCAGAAATATAAATTAAAACATTTAGCCTTTATTTAATGATAACTAAATTGCTTGTAACTTTTTTTCCTATGTTCATTCAATATTACTTGAAAATTATATTTTCTGATAAATTACACATTTACATAACATATTTCAATATTTACAATATTTTTTCATATAAAACAGTTATTTAGAGTTTGAAATAAAAAGTATATTCATATTTTGAACTTAAAAATTTGACAATATGATAGATTTTTTGTGGAATTTTAAATATCGTTTCATTTTAAAGACATCATTCGTTAAACAAATAATTAATTAAATTATCTATTCTGAGTACCATTAATGAAAAATTTATAGCAAAAGAAGTTAAAATCTCTGATAAAAAAATAAGTATAAGATTTCAACATTATACTAAAAAACGATATTCTAATAAACAAACGATTTTTTTTTCTTTCACATTAGGAATTCAGTGAAAAAACTAGACCTTTAAAAGAAAAGAATTAGTGTGGAACTCAATCATAAAAAACGGGGTTAAATTTAATCCGAAGTTTGAAGAGGAGATTGCTAGATGTACCAAGCCCTCTAAACATGGAACAAATAGACAGAAAAATAGTTAATAATTAAAGTTAACTGTCGTTATCAATGGTCTTTACTTATCAAGGCATATGATGGTCTATTTCTTATAAAGAACAAATAAAAGATAGAAATCTTACTCTTTCTCAAACATTCTATAATATTTACAATAACCTTGTAGAATTAAGCGATGGATGTTAAATAAATACTATAGAAGTAAACCTCCAACATATTTTTGTAATTACAGGTGATAGAAAAAATAAAATGCGAAACGATTTGAAATTCACACTGTATCATTCCCTTTTTTCTCCATTCTACTGCGAATTCCGTTTCAAGATTGTATAAAAATCAACATTTCATAAAAAGTACAAATAAAATAAAATGCATAAACCTTATTAAGATTCAATTTATTTCAAAAAATAAGCTCTACAATAATATCTAAAAAATATTTTTTTACAGAAATAAACTCTGAAATGAACACATTTTACTTAACGTAGTATTTTGAAGGTACAAACGGCATCTTTGCCACTGTACCTTCGACTTCTTTCTTATGAATTAAAAACTTAATCTTATTTCCTATCTTAGAGAAGGCAGAATCAACATATCCCATTGATATGTTTTTCTTCAAACAAGGCGATGGGCATCCGCTAGTAATTGTTCCTATCACATCGCCTTCCAAGTTCATAATTTTTGTAGAAGCTAAAAAAAAAATAATTTATTTAGGTAATGTTAAATTGTTAAATCATACTTAACACTTTCATTATATTTATTAAAACAGTCAGTTTTGACGCATTTATGATCTCTCATACAAGGTATTTTCTAATCATCACTTTTAATATTTATTTTTAGAGTTCCTACCAAATATAAAGAAAGTTATTGGTACCAACATACTTAATTCATACACAATCATTAAAATTCAAAAATTAATATTTAAGTGATTGAAAAAACAAAATGTTATACAAATTCTAACGAATCAGTATTGTGATTAATCACAGCTCAGGTGGGTTAAAATCATCTTTTTTGTAAGCTTAAAGAGGTGTCCTTGAAATTATTTGGATCATTTAATTTAAATTAAACTAACCCTAATATAAAATAGTGATATCCTGTTATTAAATTACCATTTACGAACTCTTGTGTGAAAGTAATAATGATAAAAGAATGTAATAATAACAATAATTACGAAATACTTTTCATAATTAAATGCAGTATAAAAAGCATTCTTAATGTTAAATTAATCATATATTTTTGAATATATATAACTATGCTATAAGAACTGAAATTACATAAGTTCTACTGTTAAGGTACTATAAAAATAACTTATAATTTGATATAGATTTGAAAACTTTCCATTTTTAAAACACCGTTAGTTATTATAACAACTACATAAATATAACTATTGCAAAAATGAAAAGAATGAAAATTAAAATAAGGTCCATAATAAATGCATAAAAATTATCCAAAAATTATTCCTCTTCCTAAATGTATCCGTAGATTATAAAATAATTATTAATACTTCATAACATAATCTGTAATTATCTTATAAGACATTAATTAGTATTTGATATTTGAAACAAGTTTTTTTAAGTTTAGAAATATAGCTTATTAAATTATATATATAGTCAAAAAAATATGCAGATACACTAGAATATTGGTACACTACACTGCCTAAAGAGATTAGAAATACACTGTTATGCATAGTAGTTCACTCAGTATGAAATATAGAAGCACATAATAAATTAATCTTTAAATCATTACAATTGGTTACAAAAATTAACCACTCACTGCTTTAAAAAGAAGTATCGATTCACTACACTATTAGCAAATACGTAGAGCATTACAAAGTAGAAACCACTGCAAATACTAAATGGTAACACTAAATCACTAATATCTCAATTTAAATTTCACTGCATATATCTGAGTCAGTGTTTCTCAAACAATTCCAAGGCACATTTGTGACTTGTGATTACCCTTCATGTTTATTTTTAAAATTATGTAATACTTAGCATTGAAGTTTAAATACTTAGAAATGTTAAAATCAAATACAAGTTTTGGCATAACGTTTTACTTAAAAATTTTGAATAACTATTTAATGTCTCTTTGCGAATTGTTTACAATATTTTGTTCTTATAAATAAGCTTAAAAACATTAATAACTTTTTATTTTTATTGGAATTTCCATTATTATTTCTATTAAAACAGATTAATTTTTACAATTGTATGGAAATTGATGAGTTATAATAAAAATGAAAGCATTTTAATTATCAAACGATCGCATGTTGCTGAAACATTATACATACTAATGTGCACTGCAACTAAAGAATATTTTGAGAAACACTGAAAAAAGACAATTACAGAGTGTTCCGTTAAAATCACCCTCAATATGTTTGATCAGAATCCTTATCAAAAATGAAAAAAGAAATGGCATACACACAAATTAGCGTTTAACTGAGGAAGCAACAAAAATGCTATTAAAATCAGTCCAATTACATTAGAGAAGGATGTAATAAGTATCAAAACAGGCTTAATTACAGGTTGAAAGTTTAAAGTGTTACTAATACTCAACTTTCAATTCTTTCCCTTATAAAGCCCTATGAGTAAATTTGTTATTTTCCTTTTTGATAAGGATTCCAAAAATACACGTTAAGGGAGGTTTTTGATGGAAAACTCTGTATATTTATTTGTGAGACCTGGAAAATGCAGGATGTCTTATAAATAAAAAAGATATTTACAAACTTTGAGAAGGAAAAAAAGAGGAAATAAACCCTTTTTGGAATAGGACATGTAGTCTCAAAAGTACTGATCACAAGCGCTACGTGACAATGAATTTAGTAAATCCACAGCATTAGATAAAGTAGGCTTCCTCAGATTTATTTTGGTTTTTATGTTTTGTATATCTTGGTAATTTATTTATTCTAATACTCAAAATTTTAATGAAATACATAAAATAATTCTCAAAGTATAATACATAGTTTAAGTAATGAAATAATTCTCAAAGCATAATAGCATAAAGTAATGAAAAAATTAGTAGGATAAAAATTCGAATTCTTAAATTCGTAAATCCCGGAAACTAAATGGGCAATTTATTTCAAATTTTGATTTTCAGCATTAAATTGTAATGCAAAACAATTTTTTTAAAAATCTGACACTTTACCTAATTATCTTTTCTTTTGCTAAAGTCATTAATTCAAAGTCCTCTTTACAAATTGCGCTTTTAGTGTTTGTGATTCCATGTTCTAGTGCAAAAAGCATTTGTTTCATCATGTTCTATTACTCCATCAAGTTTACCTCTATTTACGAGACATCCCGCATGTTATTATTTCAAAATATAGGATTAGTCACATAAAATTAATTTTTAAGTTTTTTTTTTAATTCGGTGATTTGTTCTAGAAATGTATTTATAAATAATTATTTCTAGAAATCACTGAGAAAAAAATCTTAAGTAACTGTTTTTAGTTCTTTTTTTCTGTAATTGTCACCCAAATACATGTGACACTTCCTATATTTCAATCAAGTGTTTATCACAGCATTCACAAACGTAGATTAAAGCATGATTCACGTGAATTTCAAAGTATCTTGTGATTGTGCTTGAAGAAAATAGCTAGACTGCATTATTGCATCTACAAAATGCCTGCCTGCAAGCAAATTAAGGTAAGAACACTATGCATTATTTGATTACATTTTGTTATAAATTTTATGATGGATTTTTACTGAAATCATTACAATCCTTTTTATCTTTATATCATTATTTATATACTCTTATATTTTAGACCTAATAAAAAAAAACTAATTTTATGATTTGGAAAAAGGCTATTTAATAGGTGTAAAACGGTTCAGCTTTTATAAGAACGGATAATCAAACTCAAACTTCAAAACGCGGAAAATATCTGACTTTACATGGAATCATAAAAATATGTTATTTCATAGAAGCAATGATATGCCATAAATATAAAAATGCAAATTACAATATTTTAAGTCTTACATGAAGCTATTAAAATAACTGATAAGTTGTTAAAGAATAAGTTTTAAAATTCAATAACTTATAATTTTAAAAGAAACACATTTTTGTCACGATTAAAAGCTCACCTCTAGGACATGGACCTACTGATAAGAAACCTACTCGTTTCTTCTTTGGTTTTTCTTTCAACTGTTTCAATATAATTGAATCTCCAGGAAATCCTCCTGTTTCTCTTCTTCTTTTGCCTAAAATATGCAACATTTACTACGCTCTTTATCGATAATATAAAACTTTCATTAGCCTTTTTTAAATTTTCAAAACTTTCCTAAATTAAACCAATCTACCCCGTATTTTAACTCTCATTCAGATTTAGTGTTTTACTTTGTGTTTCGTTAAAAGGTTCAGTGATAAAAGTTTGAAAGTCTGTTTCTGACACATTTTCAGTCTCTGAACTCAAATTCTAGCGCAATAATTTAGTTACACAAGAAAATCCCCAAGTGCAGCGTCCTAAAATAACTCACCCAAATGCAATTTTTTAAGGTTACACAAAATGCTTTATATATTTCTATTTCTTGATAAGTATAATTATTATTTTTCATGAATATTGCTCTCAAATTACGAGAGATATTCCGTTAGTGCACAGAAAAGACTCAAAAGCTTCAAGTTACTTTCTGTACAGAAAAATAAATATAATAAAATAGATTAATATATTTTTACACGCCCACTACGCATATTTGATAGTCAGTTTTCCTAATTCCATTTTTTTCAATTTTTTTTTACATTAAAACCTCATTTAAAAACTGTGCTGCTTTTAATTTTAGACTGCACCGGATCAAATTACGAAATAAAGTATATAGATTTGGGTGCATAAAATCCATTTTTACCGTAAAATATCATACCGTAATTTTCACATAAATATTTATTTAGTCTGAGTGATTCAGCCATTTTACTGTAATTATTTCTGAAAAAATTACGGGATATCAGATTTTCTTGTACCGTAAAACGTTCCGGTAAAAATGAATTTTATGGTAAGGAGTACCGGCGCCCTGAGTGCAGGTGCTTTTGCCGTAATTTGAATCGGAATTTGATCCGGAATTTTTTACAGTATGTGTAATGACACACGATGACAGAATGCTACATCAAACGAATATTATAAATTATTTATTATTACACATTTCACTCTTTTTCTTTCTCTCTCTCTCTCTTTTTCTCTTATCTCTCTCTTTCTCTTCTCTCTCTCTCTCTATTTCTCTTTCTTTCCTTCTCTTCTCTCTCACTCTCTCTCTCTCCCTCTCTCTCTCTCTTTCTCTACTCTCTCCTTATCTCTGCTACTCATTTTCTCTCTCTCCCTCTCATCTAACACTTTCTTGCTAAAATCAAATTTTTAATGGAATCTTTTCTGAATCAGCTTTTTCATTTTGATCACTTTCACTTTTTTCTTCTCTTAACTTCACCCACATTATATTAAGAACACCAATAATGTGAATTTTATATGGTTTTTTACATTATTTAATTCATTCTAATATAGGCACACCTGAACTTCTACTTTGAATGAAATGATTCCCTGGATGATGCTCATCTTTCAAGAAAATAAAAACAGTATCAAAGAAAGCTTTAAAAAAATTGTTCCTACTCATTTGCTAGTTGTTGAAGGAAAATCCATCGTTTTACACTTCTTGGAATGGTTTTCATGGATTCTACACAAACTCTCATACAGGCTTTATTTTGTTATTGACATTTCCTAAAACTTACCATTTCTTAGTTTTAATTGTTTTTTTATAGTGTTGCTAACATGATCAAATGAACAACAAGCAGCACAATTTTTTTTTAAATTTTTATATAAGACTAGTCTAATTTACTCATCGTCGAGAATTGAATTTTTATAATACAATGCTATGGTTTATATCTGATGCTTTATACTTCTTACAGTTAAAGACATATTTATCTCCAGAGTCATCTTATACGTAATGTACAGATAAAAATATTTGTTGATATTACTTATATTTTGTAGTTGTTATTTTACTCATTAAAATAATTTTGAAAAATAAGAAGTCTCAATTTCAGTACATTTTTCTTCTAGGTATTTGATTTCACAGCAGCTCAATCCACTTATTCAAATTATTTTCTTCTTCGATTTATTAAAAAATTTATAAATTATGTAGATAGTCATGTCTCATTATAATCAATATCTATTATAAGGCACATAGAGAAAGTGAAACATCTTCATATAGTATGTAATAGCTAGACAGGAGTATAGGAATTGATATGATTTTTTTAAAGTAGGATGAAATTTTTTTTCTTTAATTTTATGCAATGACATGATTTAATTTTGGATAAAAAATATCTAATTTTTTTTGTCACCTTTCAAACTTTTTACAAAGGCTAATTTAAAAACAATAAGTTTAAAAAATAAAATAAATGAAGTAACGAAAAGTATAGAGAATTTCTTTTTTTTACTAAAATCGGTTTATTTCACTTTCGATTTAACAAAACAAAATTTGTTTCGCATATTTATCTATTTTTCTGAAATATCCAAATTAAGTTTTTTTCTGTGAAAATTAAAAAATAAAAACATATATTTTCATCAGAACATGAAATTTGGTAAAAAAAATCTTTTCTATTTGAATACTTTTTAATTTACTCAACAACTAGATTATTTTTGACAAACGGAAACTGTTTTAAAACCATCATGAACCATTAAGAAACAGTGAGAATAGCAAATTCAAATGGCTGCATGAGCAAAGTTTTGTCTCTTTCATCAAAGTCATTAAAATATATTAATCTGACTTTAAAACCAAAGCCTAATTTAAAGCTACATATGCTTTTTTCTGAAAAAAAAGTAAAATACCAATTGTCCATGCTAAGCCAGCTTCAATCGGAGTTGTCTCATCTGTTATATCATTCCCATACAGACACAATCCAGCCTCCAAACGAAGGGTGTCCCGAGCACCCAAACCTGCTAACATCACTTCATCCTTCTTTGAATTCAATAAATTCTTCAAAATAAGTTCACTTTGAGCAGCAGGTATTGATATCTGTAAAATATAGAAAACAGAACTCAATTTTCTAGCAATATTTAGAAATTTTATAAAACTTATCTTTTATTTAAATTAATTTGAGTAATCTCTCTATACAGAGAAAAATCCTGGTAAAATTAACGGACTCTATAGTAATAACTTTTATTGTTAAAAAATACATATGTAAACTGCTGTTTGTAGAAAATGCAACACCATGANAATATAGAAAACAGAACTCAATTTTCTAGCAATATTTAGAAATTTTATAAAACTTATCTTTTATTTAAATTAATTTGAGTAATCTCTCTATACAGAGAAAAATCCTGGTAAAATTAACGGACTCTATAGTAATAACTTTTACTGTTAAAAAATACATATGTATAATTTTGGTTAAAAAAAACCGTATGGTATTTAAACCATTCATTTGGTAATTTTTCTGTTCATATAATAACGGTTTACCGGAAATTCTGTTTTTCGAAATATAGTTATTATTACGACACAATTTAGTAAAAAAATATAAAATTTAAGAGTAATTCAACCGAATAAAATAGTTTTTTGCCATGCTCTAAGGCATAATTCGCGATCGTAACACTCGAATACGCCATCTGGGGAGAGACCGGTTTCATGCCTTTGGCCCTTCTCCCTTCCCTCTCCTCCTCTTTTCAGTTGTATAGGAATGTACTACGATATTTTCCCCTTTCTTAATATTTTTCCTTTTTATTTAATAAAAATATTTTTTAAAATTTCCGTGATACTTTTCTTTAGAACTATGTTTAATGCAGTTTTCAGTTCCATATAGTTTTTCAAGTTAAAAGATTTTAATCTATATGAAAATCAAGAGAGAAACTAACGTACTTCCTTCCTCTATGACTTTCCACACGCTAATGGGGAAAGCATGTGAAGTGTTGCCATAGGAAAAGAGTTCTGCTCTACGCCACCTGCAGCCCATTTCGATCACCAATGCTAAAATTACCAATTTTTACCATATTTACCAAATTTTGTCATATACAGGGTAGTTCAAAATGAATATAAAGATTGCAAACAGCTATAATTATTTAATGAAAAAAAATTTATCGATATGATTAACATAGAATTTAGGTGGAACTTCTTTACGATTTCAAAATTTCTTTGCGTAAGGCGCAGGCGCAGTGAAGAGGAGTACTGCACATGCGCGAGTTCATTAGTGAAAATGGCGAGTCCCGTGCAGAAAGCATTCTTCGTGTTAGAATTTAGCTATTGGTATTCTGTTATCATACTGCAGAGAAAATTTCGTCAGCGTTACTATGCAAATTGGAACAACGTGCGCAGATGGCATAGAATGTTTAAAGAAACAGGATGTTTATGCAAAGGGAAAAGTAGTGGAAGGTCACGTGTTTCAGAGGAAAACGTTGAAAGACTTTGCCGCACGTATGAACGAAGCCCACGAAAATCGACGGACGAAAGCAGTAGGGAGTTACAAATGCCACAACCAACGGTATGGCGTGTTCTCAGACAGAAGCTGCAACTGAAACCGTACAGAATTCAACTTGTGCAGTTATTGAAACAGGAAGACTACGGCAAACGTATGAATTACGCTACGTTTATGCAGAAAAGCATGGAAGATGAAAAAAATGGCTGATTGTCTCATTTTTAACAAAGTGGTAAGGTTAACCGGCACAGCAGTCGAATATGAGGTACGGAGAAATCACAGTAAAAAATATCAGTTATGAACTATGTAATTAATAGTTCACGTTTTTGTTCATTATATTTTTGTGCCTTCAATTCCACAAACTTACTTCGACTCCGTCTTCACCTCTGTAATTGAATATGAACGTGACTCAGCGAAAGTTAATGTGTTCTGCGCGATCTCATCACGTAAATTATACGGTCCTTTTTCTTCTGTGAGCGACACTCTTTGTTAAATGTTTATCTTGACATGCTTGAGGTATTATTAATGCCACATCTAGATACTGATTCTACGGATTACTTCTTGCAGCAAAATGGAGCACCCTCACACTGGGGTTCGATGATTCGCACATTTTTAAATCAATATCTTCCAAACTCTTGGATCAGTCGAAGTGAAGATGCCGACGATATCTTCTGCTCTTGGCCACCAAAATCTCCGGACTTGACACCCTGTGATTACTATTCATGGGGTTATGTGAAAGACAGTGCTTCCCATCCCCCAAACAATTAAAGAACGCATTTGTAATGCGCTTGCGTCGGAGACTGCACAAATCCTTCAGAATGTATGGGTGAAATAGACTACAGCCTAGATGTTGTCAGTGTGGCCAAGGGAAGTCACATGGAAAATCTGTGATGCATGTATACAAAATTTTAAAGTTCCTTCTAGATTCTGTGTAAATTTTATTGATAAATTCTTTATCTATAAATAGTTATAGCCGTTTGTAATCGCTATATTCATTTTGAATTACCCTCTATTGTAAAACAATATTTTATTGTTAATCCTTCCAAAATCAATACCAAAGCGCTTCGGTAAAAATTACCGAGCTTTTTGTTTTTCCCACAGAGCCTACAGTAAATTTTACATCATCTTGGTATTTTTGGCCATGCTTTTTTTCTCAGAGTAAAGTTTCATTATAGGTTTAGTAGAACAGAATTTTGTACAATTCCTTTGCTTTTACTGGCTGCGTCAAAAATTATGGGAAATAAATTAAAGGCGTCTTGCCAGGAAAAAGTTTTACACTGTCAACTACACATTTATATAGCATTTTGATCTGCAAACTAAGGTAAAGGATTTCAGATTTAGGAAACACGTAAATGTGATAGTTGTTTTTGTAAAGATATCTGTTCTAAAGCAATAAAAGTTTCGATTGAGTTCTCCAAACTCTGTACTAAATTGCACAGGATTTAAATTAACTATAGAAAGAAAAGTACGACAAATCCACACCAAATATTTTTTTTCAAGTTCTATATCACTTACGAAACTTGCAAAGCCTCATTGAAACTATCTTTTTAAAAATTCCTATAAACAACATCTGCTGTCATTTTTGTCAACAAAAAAAAAATTCATATCTAAATTAATGAGTTGTCGCAATTTTTAACTAATTTTCAACAAGCAAATTTTTTTTATAATTAAAATATCAGTTATGAACTATATAATTAATAGTTAAAGTTTTTGTTCATTATATTTTAATGCCTGCAATTCTACAAACTTACTTCTACTCCGTCTTCACCTGTATAGCCACAACGTGTTATACGACAATCATCCACACCACATATTGTGGTTTTTGTTGTAGTCATAAAAGTCAAATTGTTCAAGTCATGCTCTACAAACTCTTGAAGAATTTTTGCAGTGCCAGGACCTATGGGACAAAATAATTTATATTCAAAGCAATCCAGATTATTTATTTATTTATTTTCAAATGCATAAGATCGACCTTAAAAAGTTAAACAAAATACGAAAAAATAGCACCTTCCTGAAAATTAATGGCTCGATAAACTCGAACTTGGTGTTTCTACGTTTTTAAAAATAAAGGTGCACGTTGTATTATAATATGATGCAAATTTGATTAAACACTAAAGAATCTGGAATCCTTTTAACTTGCAGCGAAACTTGGTTTAACGTAAGACTGTTGGCGAAATTTTTGGTCGATAATTATGGTTTATGCTATTTATATTAGGTTTTTACTTTGAACCATTTTTCTGAAAATGCTTTTTGAAGTTTCAAAAATAAAAAAACTTTTTCGCTACTTATGACGGCTTCAACTATTCTGTCCAAAAGCACTGTAGCGTAGCGCTGTACTGTATTTTCAAGCGTAGCACTGTATTTTCAAAGCACTGTAGCGTTTACCAATTTTATTATATGGCTTCCGATGAAACGTAAAGCTAAAATTCATACTTAATTTACCGTCAGATTATGTTGGCAAAATTTTTACCATCCTAATATATAATTCAACTTTTTACGCATTTGTACACTCACAAATATTTTCATTTAAGCTTACCTTATAATAGTAGATTTTAATATCTCAATGTGAAATTTTGAAGAAATTATCCTAGCATATTTTGCCACCTAATTACGTATTTTCATTAAAACTTGAAATGGTAAACTATGGATGGATTCAAAAATTGACTAACTTGTCGTGAGAATTTAATGCAAAAAGCATTAATATGTTCTGAGTTACTTGCAAGATTTAGTAGATTATTACACATGCAGAAGACACACAGCCAACTAAAAATATCAAGCAGTCCATACAAGAGATAATCCTGAAATATTGTTCTATTTATATAGCTATTAAAATTTATTTCGAAAACAATTNATAAATCGCTACGTTTCTGCATTGCGCCAACGACTGAAATGCTTTTCGATGCCCTAGGACATCCAATATATATACTACACTGTAATGTGCTGCCACATGCACTCTGTGATTGATTATTTCACGTTGACGTCGAAAGTAGGTGGTGGTCACATTAATGTGACTGGACTGTGTATTTAGTACTTGTTATTCCCATAGCTATAGAAAATAATAAGCAAGACTGCTTTAAAAATCTTAAACTTATTATTATAATAAGCATTCTTCATACTTCCTTATTTTAACTAACTAATATTGTGAAGACGACCTTAATATTAAATCCGACAAATAAAGACGCTTTGATGTTAAAAATTCCACCTTTAAATTAACTGAGTCAGGCAATTATTCTTCGAGTTTAGACATTTGAGCTTCTAAAATGTAAGACTTAATATGTTTCATTTTTGACATGAGTCGTAAATGGCGAAGACTAGAGAACACATGGGGATTTCAAACTCAATATTTTGCATGAAATTTAAAATTTAAATGTATCCATAGAAAATATAACTACTGATATGGTTGAAAAAGAGAAAGAGATAAAAGAACATTCAGCAAAATATGTTTATATTGCAACAAAACAGGTGATTTTAGTGCAATAAATGAAATGGTATAAAGTTTAATTATTTTCAATATATAAAAGAACATAATTAGCTTAGTTTTTAAAAAAAAATACTTCAATATTTCAAAATAAAATGTACAAAATCTTTATAGGCTGTTACATAACTACCACGCTTAATATATATTTTTAAGATCTTTGTAAAAAATGGAGTTATAAAATTATGCATATTAGGAGTATCTAATGAATATGTAAGAGAGAAAAAATAAAATCGCTTCCAAATTATAAAAAATCCTTTTTGGGTTAAAAAAAAACAAGGATGGTATTGAAATCCCTAAAATTCCAGTTTGAAGTAGCGCTCAAAAGTTTATTTAAGTATATTTAATTTTCATATAAATTACAATATACTTAAAGATTATTAAATTATACTTAAAGATTATTAAATTATACTTAAAGATTTTTAGATAATCAATTTTTATATGAAAATAAAGGTGCATTTAAATACTGTGCTGTATTGGAGCATAAGGATGTTTTGAAAGAAAAATATATTTAAGTTCATTTTTTATTGTAATCAAACTAAATAAAAACCAAATAATGAAGTATATACGGAGATTTTTGTAGGCCACAGTATATAAGAATAAAATGCAATAATTTTTTGCTAGGAATTGCTTTTAAGTTGCATATGGATTGATTATTTTAAACCCTTCTTTGCCTTTATTGACGTCATTAATAGTTTCATTTTCTTCATTCCTTTACAAAAATTATAAAGATATATCAAAAATGGTAACTGCGTAACGCTTTATACGTATGAAGATTTTTTTTAATAAGTAAGCCAAACAAAAAATAGACTACTCACCTTGTATGGCTAAAAGTACTTTATCTTTTATTACTTCAAGTTCAATATCAGCACCATTTCTCTTGAATTCCTCCTTACGTTTCTGAAAAAAACGTTTAAAATATGAAAATAAGCTGTCTGTTAGGTAATTCAATAACAAATACATGTATTCTCAAAGATGCAAGATGCAGCCAATAATTTTCAATACTTATCGAATTTATTACCTCAAAGTATAATGTGAATTACATATCCATTTAATGTGCTTTTTTTAAGAGAACTGGTTTAATGTGCTTTAAAGTAACTAGGTTTAACTTGATGAAGTGTACATTTGCACTTGGCTTCAAAAGTTTTAGAAACAATTTTTGATGTCCTCTTTGAAAATGCTCGTCAGTATTGACCTTCTGAATGTTTTCTACATTCTTAAACCTTGATCTCTTTCGAAATATTTTTTCAGTTTTGGATAGAAAAAGTACGAAAGAGATTTATCTGAAAAGTTTGGTAAATGGTTTATCGTTAATACCTCCGAAACCAAAATTTTGTTAAAGAAACGAGGTTTAAGGATGTTGAAGTCATTAAGAAAAATTCAGAGATAGAATTAAAAACCATTCTATAAGAAGGCTTTATAAATTTTTTCAGAAACTTTTAAAACCAAGTTCTGACTGAGAGAGATATAAGGTCAAAACTTCCAGAATATGGTAAAATTTACCGTTTTTTTAACTTTATGGGAACACCAAAAACCTCGAAAATTTTTACCAGAGCACCTTGGTAGTGATTTTTGTAAAATTAGCAATAAAATTTTGTTTTATAATCTGTGAAGAAAATTTTATAAATGAGGCGAAATTTTTTAATTTTATCATGATAAATTAGAGAATGGTTCAAGAGCCATTTATTTGGCTAAATTAACTTTTCGGTTTTATATTTTCTACTAAATGTGTTCTAATAAGAACTATAATTTTTAAAACCAAAATTTCCGGTAAATCGTTACCATGTGAACGTAAAAATTACCAAAGGAATGGTTTAAATACCATTCCAGATATACTACAGATTAAAGAACGCTACTCTTACCAGAATTTTTTCTCTGTTAAGAAGCAACTGAAGATTATACTACGACTAACATCCTGAAGACTACTAACTGAAGACTACTTCGAAATTCTTAATGAGATAACCCAGGATCGAATACCACTGATGGCTGGTTGACACCAATTCTGATGTCGGCTCACACAAGCCACAGATCATGGTCAGATCTGATCATGGGTCAAAATACCCTTGCGGCCGGGTTAAATGTGTATTGTTTTCATGGTTCTTTTCTCCATGTAAAGCAAATTCAGATAAATTCTATCAAAAAGTTCTCACCAAAGTCTCATAATCTTTGATTCCGAAGTTTCTTTGTCCTCTGAGTTTGGTTCAAAATTATGAGACTACGGAGTTGAGCACTGAAAGTCGTTAACTCAAAATTTGATCGGCTGTTCAACGCCGGTTATAAAAAATATATCAAATAAGACACATTATGTTCTACGTTAGAGGCACATTAAATGTAATTCACGCTATATTTTCAGGCCATAGCCCTGGAAATAAAAGTCGCACCTTTTTTATGAAGCTGCAGAAAAATTATTTCAATTTAATAGCGCGTCACCTCTGAAGTACAGTAAACATCATTCCACTTGGGGTTCATAGTTACAAAAGAGCAAAAATTACGTTATTTAAAATATATGCAATGTATAAAAAATTTTAAAAATCCCGAAAACTTTTAAATTTATTAATAGAAATCAGATGTTCAACTCAAACAATTTCTAAAAAGCTTTCCTTTGAAATTTTGAATGCCACAACAATGCGCAGAGTAAAAATTGTTGCACCCTGAATAATTTTAAATTTAATATCTTGAATAACATGTACTGAGATACAATAATACTTGTTTGAGAGTTGATCTCAACACACTAATTAGTAGTACTGACAGTAATTTCAGTACTTAAAAAAAAAAAATAGAAATAAAAAAATAAAAATAAAAACCTATTTTTTAACAAGAAACATAATTTTTGTCCCACTATGATTTTTGTTTTCAAATTGTGAAGGGCTGACGCAGTCTTAATGTTACTTTCATTGTTTGAGCATTACTCCATATCTCTGAAACTAATTGCGCAAATCAAAGTATCTTTGCAATCATTCATACATCTTGTTTTTACTAAAATATAAGGTGCGTTATTACTAGGATAAACACAAAATAAGTATTTTTATAATTATTTACTATTTTTAATTTAATATTTAAATATTAAACTAAAATATAAGGTGCGAAAATTTTTATATCCTCCATACAATTTCGAAAGAGGAAATCTAAAATGTGAAACAAATCGATCAAATATTTCCTGAGCAGTAAATTTCATATGAAAAAATCGCATAATTAAATTTTGGTTTCTTGGAAAGGATTTAATCGATATTGTTGCTTTTTTGGATTGATTACTTTCGGTTCCTATAACCATGGAGATTTCATTGAAACCCGACAATTAGATCAATTATTTATTTAATTTTTCTAGGCTCACACCTCATCAAATGTGAAAATNTAGAACAAAAGATTGCAAGTTTACCTTCAATATCCGATACAACAAGACTTTCAATAAACTTCATTTTATCTTTTCCAGAAATTTTAGACTGCAACATATGTGTTACATCAAATATGCTTACATGTTCTCTCGTATGTTTATGCGATGCAGTAAGAGTAAAGTCACTATATTGCAATGGCATAAGAAATCCGGCAAAATCAACAAATCGAGCATTTTTCTCAGCATGAAAATTATGAAGATTTACAAGAAATCATGTATTTACAAGAATCAACCTATCAAAAAAACAAGTATTATTTTAACACTTGTGTTTTTGGCCTGTTTTATTTAATGCAAATTTTCAAATAAATGTTATTAATGCGCGCACCCGATTGGAAAAAATTCCCGGTATAAAAAAATTATACCGGCTTATGAAATACCGGTTCCGGTATAATACTGGATCCGGTATTATACCGGACGCAGTATCATACCGGAACTGGTGTTTCTTACGCCAGTATAAAATTGATCCCGGTATGATACCGGAGCATGTATCATACCGGAACCGGTGTTTCATAAGCCGGTGTAAAATTGAGCCCGGTATGATACCGGACCCAGTATCATACCGGATCCGGTGTTTCATAAACCGGTATAAAATTTATTTCAGTATGATACCGGACCCAGTATGATACCGGAACCGGTGTTTCACAAACCGGTATTGAATTGATTCCAGTATGATACCGGACTCAGTATCATACCAGTACTGTTTTTTCATTAGCCGGTATCATACTAGAGTCAGGATATACTGGTACTTGTGTACTGCATTAATGCAAAAGTTAGTATTATTTAATGCAAAAATAATTTATGTATGCTGTAATTGGTGAATCAATAGTCCGGGAGTTAACTGAAATATATATACATATAAAAAAAAAGAACATTATTCTACAATGCCTAACCTAAGGTTTCCTCTTGTGAATAAAAAGTATTTTTTACAGTTTTTTAACTAGAGATTACTAACAGCATTACATTATGAGACTCTTACCTACATTCATATGAGATAAATCCTTATCAATGCATCCAGCATTTGAAACCACGTAAAGATAATCCTCATCAGTCTTCGTCACAATCAAGTCATCGATTATACCACCTTTGTCGTTTGTAAATACTGTTAATGTGCCTTGGTTCACATTTAAACCTGAAAAAAGTTTAAATACTTTTTATTACTTCCGAAGACTTTCCTGAACAAAATTAATAGTAATCAATTTTTACAAGCAAATAAAAACTTTTTATGACTTTCTACACGAGTTACTTAATTCTCATAAAACTAACATGCATTGAAATCGTCAATTGCGTTGAAAAAAAGTATTTATGTGCAACGCTTATACTTATTTTAATGATTTATATCCTGAACAAAAATCATTGTAACATTGCTAATTGTAGTATTATAAAATTTTGCTTTTAAAACTTTTTTTGCAAGTAAATTAATTTTCGATAATGCTATACTTATTAAAATTATCAATTTTCATGCTTAAAATATTTAATTATTTGGCTACTCACAGATCAAATCATTTCTCTTTTTTCATTTAAATTACACCTCTTTTAGTGTAATGTAATTATTCTATTAAACTTTTTGACAATATTAGCATTTCTTAATATTTTTTTCAGAATACGCCACAATCCGTCCAAGCGACTACATATTTTATCATTGAGAAAATATAATGTGTGAAAATTTCAAAACTTACGGCTTTCAAACAGTTGATCTTATAAATTATACATGTTAATTCTTTTTCATACTTTTAAGAAGTTTCAAAGACATTTAGTTTCATTCAGGCAACGAAAAGCTACATGGACTTCTCCGCTGGTCAAAAATAGCATGTCGTTTGTAAAGTTAATGGTAATAATTCTTTTAACTGAGTATTTGCAAAGAATATTGAGAAAATTTTATTTTAAATGAAAAATGAATTTTCAAGCAAACTTTGTCAAAAACTGCATACTACATTAATCAAAATGTTACTTATTAAATAATTATTATGATGAATTCCTGCCTCGATGTGCAGTAAGAAAAAAAGTATGGTCTAAACTAAAAGAGTTGTAATTTAAAATTTAAAAAAAAAAAAAAAAAGAGAGAGAGATGGAAATGATTTAGTTTGTTAATAACCAAATGTGGTAAATTTTACCGTATTTCTGGCTCAATGGAATCACCAAAAAGCACAGAAATTTTTATCGAAGCTGTGGTTTTGGTAAAACTAACAATAAAATGTGGTTTAATAATGTGTGTTAAAATTTGTTAAATGTGGTAAAATATCATAATTTTATCATGGCATAAAAATAATTTCTTCGGTTAAAATTACTTTTAAGCTGTGAGTTTTTTACTATAAATGTGTGATATAAAAAATTATTATTTTGAAAACCAGAATTTCCGGTAAACCGCTAGCATATGAAAAAAATTAACAAATGAATTGTCTAAATACCATATATTTTGGCTCTTTGACCAGAATTATAGGGCTTTTTTTCTAATCAGAAATGTGATTACCATACAGTACGGAAATTTTTTCCGTTATTTTCTCTCCATGTTTAAAATAAGCATACTTAATGGGGGTTTTTTTTTTAAATTTCAATTTAGCATAATTTGATATTATATTTTGAAAAACTATTTGAAAAGTTTTGAAATCAGAACTTTCCAATTTTGACAAATTGTTGATAGATTGACTTCCTTGAAAATACAGCTTATACCTTACGATTTTGACTAATTTTTTCTAAAAAAAAATTATAATTTATCGACTTTTATTGAAATATAAATGTCTAGTTGTCCAAAAGGATCCAAATTGAAATTACTACTGAATATTCAAATTTTATTGTTGTGTCGTAATACGATACTAAATTTAATTATATTAACCTTCAAATAAAACTCTTTTAAACTGGAGTACACGATATCATGATTTAATTTGAATAGCAACATGATTCAACTCCTTATAACGGTTACAGTAAGTTTACATGATATTATGGTTCAACGTTAATCCAATTTTTCAAAAAGTGCAGAAACACTTTAAAAACTTAAAATTTTGCAATTTTTTTACTGTCTAAAATGATGCAAAACAATTTACTTAAGTTATTTTTCTTTAAAAAATTCAAAGTTCACAAAAGAAAAGCATAAAATGTGTTTTGGTATAATTAAAAAAATTTTGACGCATTCTCAAATTTTTTACCTTTCAAAACAACTCCTTGTTAAAAAATTATATTTCAGAATTTTTTGTTCATAGTGTTGATATTAAGAAACAAACATAAAACAAATACTATCAAATTATAGTGATTTAAATGTAGAACAAAAGATTGCAAGTTTACCTTCAATATCCGATACAACAAGACTTTCAATAAACTTCATTTTATCTTTTCCAGAAATTTTAGACTGCAACATATGTGTTACATCAAATATGCTTACATGTTCTCTCGTATGTTTATGCGATGCAGTAAGAGTAAAGTCACTATATTGCAATGGCATAAGAAATCCGGCAAAATCAACAAATCGAGCATTTTTCTCAGCATGAAAATTATGAAGATATACTCGCTTCGGAACCTGCAAAAATTAAAAGTTTGAAATTAAAATCAATTCACTAAATTTTTAAGGAAGTACATTTATTTTAATATTCTAAATTTCTTTTAAAAAAAAGACCTTTTTTTATGAATGCATAACCTTTTAGAACCTTAAAAGTTGAAACTACCTTCAATCACATATTCTTCCTAAATTTCAACATTTTTATATGATACTTATGCTTGATTTCGTGAAATTATTTTGCTATTTTATGAAATGCTAAGGTATAATGGTCCTGTATTTGCATACGGTTTTGATTTCTTCACAATAAGAAACTTTTTTTTAAGTATTTTGAAAAGAACCGGATACATGAAAATCTCAATTGCTGTGCAAATACAGATGATTGTTTCTTTCAAAAATCTGATTTTTTGTAATTGAGCGACATGTGGTGAAGAAACTTAATCTTTCAGATTACTTGAATGTTAACGTTTTGCGTGAATTTCATCATTAGTTTAAGTCAATTGCTCACTTATTTGCAAGCTTATTTACTGGTCACATTCTTTGCTATCTGTCCAAAATTTTAATTTCATTTATTTATTTTAGTTTTTTTTTTATGCTATTTAACTCTGGCATAAGCTTTTGCCATCATCTAACATGACACAAAAAAATAGCAATAAATTCAACACAATAAATCTTAACATTTTAAACTGTTGAGGAAACAATTATTTTTCACTTTACAATTGATAAAATTTTTAGCAACTATGTAAAACAATACAGAATCCAATATTTTCAGCTAAATATTGGTAAAAACAATCATTTTCAACAAAAAATTCAATGAAATTTATATATAAGAGTGTTATGAAAGTTCTTTTTTTAATTACTGTTATTTATTACTTACAATGAGGAATGTTACTTTAAAATTACGTTATTGATAATTACAAAATGAATATAACACATATTATATCGCTCCAAAAGTTAGCAGAATAGAAAATAATTTTACATTACATTTATTCCTTTTTACGTTAAACAGTTACATTTAGAATATTTCAGAACTTAAAAATTTTATTTAAAATAATTTATGCGTATGAAATAAATTAGTTTAAAAAACGTAATAAAACACCTCCTTAATAAACAATTTAAAAAATCCAAAAACTTAGTTATTATATATTACATTGTTTAAGGATTGGTGAATTAAGGTCTTTTTAATTGGTGCAATTTTTTGATTCAATATATCAAACTGAAAAAATATGGCATAAAATGAAAGGTAGAAATAAATTATTTATCTACTTACTGAACCTGTAGAAAGACATCTAATAGTTTTGATAAAAGGAAGAAAATTAGTCTTCAAAATTCTTTTATGAATATGACAAAATTGATGTTGCATGCTTTTCAAATAAAAATAAACAGTCATAAAATAGTAATAAATATTGTGAAAATAAGCAATATAATAAAACTACAGGGAAAAAGTTTATGGAAGAATTATTTTAAAATTGTAATGTAGAAAATAACAATCAAATATCGTGGAAACTGCGGATCAAAACACTTAGACACTTAGTAATCTTATCTTTTTCATAGATAAGAAAATGACTAATTCACGAAGATACTGCCCTTTCTGCATTTTTCAAGACAAGAATCAGTATAAATTCAATTTAGTATGAATAAGAGTTTTTAGTGCATGAGATGTAGACATAATTTTTGTGCTAATAAACCAATTACAAAAATTCTGCAAAGAACTGCATCCAGTATTAAATTCTCTTTTTTGTTAATTATTCTTCGTAAATTTAGAGTTGCGTTAAATTTTTTAAATCAAATCCAATGCATCTGCAGCAAAAAAAAGTTCAGTCTAGCTCACAAGAAGTCAAACGCGAAAGAAACAAACCAAATTATTATTAAGATGTGTAAAAAATGCCTACTTAATGAATAAGTTATTCCACAAGATATTAAGTTATTAAATAAGCTTAATTATTCACACAATCAATAAATAATAACTGGTAAATTAGTGGTAGATGAACCTTAAAAATTTTCGAATGATAACAAATGATTTATTGGCAGGAAATTAGGAAGTAGCTTAACTCAGATCACGCACTTGCTATTAGTTCAAGCAGGAGAGGATTTTGCTAGGAAAATTAGAGAGTGTTTTTATTTTTTTGTGCATTTTACATTTTTTTAGTATACTGAATATAAATCCGCACTTTACGACAAAAATTCTTTCCAGGAAAAACTGGAAAAATTTAATGTTTTGTTTATAGATTTTTTTTTTTTTTTTTTTTTTTTTTTTTTTTTTTTTTTTTTTTTTTTTACACGTTAAGATCGAAGTTTTCTGAATCTGCATCTGCAATTTTACAGCAGGCTAATAAATCAAAGAACTGCCTTCGTGAGTAAAATGACTATGGTATGGCTATAAATGGCTGGTAATTAAAACGTTAAATTGGAACAATTCCCAGTAGAAATCCAAATAAATTGAGCATAATTTAAAAAGCAAATATATTTGTACAATCCTTAGTATGAAACGATCATTCAATAAAATATCAGTAATTAATATATAGAATAAAATATATTAACTACTTGTAACATTAAGATCGGTTTTCTCTTTTGTTCACTGATCTTTCATTGACACAATAAAATATTTACTGATTACTTAATGAAAAATATGTAAGAAATATTTCATGAAAATGAAATATGACTCAAGCATACGTGAGACGCAATTAGTGTGACCAATATAAGGCATGTGATCCAATTAGTTTATGCAATAATTTAAGCCACTAATTTAATTAAGGCCCTTAATTTAATTAAGTCTTTATATATTTAATGCAGGTAAATTTTCCGTTATATTTGAGGAGGGTATAAGCTCATAACAAAGAGGTAAATTCAAAAGCTTTAAAATATTTTAGGCCTATATTTTTAACTTTCATGCGAAATAGACTTGATTAAAATCAACAACAAGAAGGGTTTTTTTGCATGAAATTTACTAACATAATTAGAATTATTTTAAATCTATCCTTTTTGCATTGTTTTCCCTAATTCAATGCATTTGTTGCAAATTTAAACGAAGCAAGTACATTACGTCTTAAAAAATTTTATATTTCAATAACACTTCTGTAGATGGCACCACCACAATCTTTCTAAACTTTTTTTAAACTAAAGCTTTCCTTCCCTGACCTTTGAGAAAGCATATGACTTAAAAATGAACAAAAATTTTTTAGTGTGCAGCTATAAATTACAAAGGATAGTCGTGATTATCCTAAATTTTTCAAATAATAGTTAAACGAATTAAATTTTTAACCATTTAAAAATGAAAAGTATTGAAGAACAATCACACTATTAAAGGCCTAACATAAATAATTTTGGTAGTTTTATTAGAAATATGTTTTGTGATAAAAATTATAAAAGATTTTTGCCCTCATGGACCTTGATGAGGTTTCAGTGGCCCTGGGCGGAACATCAAAGCATTTTATTATGGTTGGTAATTTTTTTTTTAATAATTGTTTTCGCTTTTAAACGATCGAGAGTTTTAAATAATATTTAATATTTATCAATGATACTGCAACTAAATTCTTAAAACCACCACTAATAATAAAAAAATTTATGTTATTATTTAATTATTGCACACTAATTACTGAATAAATGAAGTTAGTCTTTTTTTATATAAAACTAAAAATATTAATCGATTACAAAGAAAGATAACCAACTTGTTCAATGAAAAGTAAATTAATTTAGATTGCAAAATATTTTTAAATTTAAATTATTCTTGGCAGAACAAGTCTTCTTTATTTACTATTAGATACCATAGCTACATATCTCATAAGTTTTAAAATTGCTTGTATTGAAACTGCTTTTATTGAAATAAATGTGCATAAAATTAAATGGGTACAATTGAAATATATTTTTCAATTAAACTGCTTTTATTGAAATAAATGTGTATAAAATTAAATGGGTACAATTGAAATATATTTTTTTGGTGATAAAACAGCAAATTATTTTGCATATTACAATGAGTACATTAAGAGAGAAAGAGAGAGAGAATATTTTGTCTCTTAATTTATTAACTTATTCCTTAATTCTATAAATAAAACATTCATTATTGATGAAATTTGATATCAATGTCTTATCATTACAGACTTAAGGTACCCAAATAACTTCAGAGACAAAAGTTTAAAATTTTTTATTTAGATTTATACATGTTTTATGTACTGAAACATGGTATGAATACAAAATAAGAATAAAAATTAAATGGATTTTTAAAAACAATCCAAAAATTGAACTTTTTTAAAAAAAACAGACATCTTTGTTAAAATTTATTAATCTTTGATTATCCTTGCTTTATAAAGCTCACAAAAATTCAACTTAGAGAATAGACTAAGGATTAGACATAATATTGATATTTAGATATTTTACAGCAAATCTAGAAACATATTCGGTAAAAAAGGCTAAAATTTAAGATTAATTATTTTTATGTTAGCTGGAACACAAGAAAAAAAATCGTTTAATCCATTAGTCCGTAGTCTATTCCCAAGAGATAATGTGTAAGAAATATTCATTCAAAATTCCAAGTATTTTGAACAAAAATATTTTAAGAGACTTCATTTAGATTGAAGGAAAATAATCGAAAAATTAGTTATGAGAAAAATCTAAAAAAAAGCGACGCAGTGTTATTAATTTAATTTTTGATATCGATATTTTTTTAAATCATCATAACTTCTGTTCTAATTGAAGCAGAAGCAAATTCAGATAGTTTTTGAAAGAGAAAGATCCATAGTTTTATTTTATATAAGAAATAAAAGATGATATTCTGGTCAAAGTCAGATTAAAAAGCATACATATTAGATAATCCAGTACTGTATAAATAATAGTTTTTAGATAAATCTTTGATTTAAAAGAAAAATAATAATGCGATTCAAACTGATAATTTTCTTACGTAAATATTTTTAAATTAGGCCAACCCTGCATTTTATTTTTCCTGACATTTTCGACAGTTCTTAGAGATTGCCCTCCTCAAACACTCGTTCGCAAATCGGCAATAGTTGAAGTTTTTAATGCAATTAATTTCAATGATTTAAAATTTGAGTTGACTAAAAGCTCCATGTTGTTATTTTAAAAATTACACTCCTGATATAAGGGAACAGTAACTGAAATAAAATTAGATACATTTGGAAATATGAATAATAATTCGTATGAATTATAATTTATACTAATTACCCGAGGAAATGTAACCATTAATCCAAGGTAGGCAAATGCAAAGAAAAAGTTGTAATATAACCATGAACCAGATCTGAATTCTTTGCCGTCTTCATTACAGTAACCAGATCTGAATTTTTGACCGTCTTAAAATTAAGCGACCCTTTAGCGACCTTTCAGTGGCCCAGTTCGCCCATCCCTAACAACAACCTCTTGTTCAAGTAAACAGCTGATTTTGAAAATTGAAATGAAATACTTGAACAGTAAGAATAATTTAAAAAATACTAAAATGAGTGTAACAGCCATCGTGGGCATGCTAATATTAAGCTTTCTGTTACAATAATGTATATCGACTAACACATTCATTCTCTAAATCGGATTTTATTTAATTATGATTTAAAAATTGTCTCCACGTTTTATTCATTAAATTTGATTAATTCTTGCACAGTTAAAAATTCAGGTACTATTAAAAATTTAAACCACATAAATTTTTTTTTCAATACAATTTTTACGATTTCTTTTCAACCTTAGAAAGTCAATTTACATCCATTCTTCCCATATGCCACATTTTATATAATAAATACCTTTTTCATTAAGTTTTCGATTTCAGATCAAAAGATCCTTCTTGGCCACGTCTTCCTCTCTTTCTATTATATTTTTTTAATCATTATTTTAAAATTTTGATGTGAAAAAGTAAAGTTTCGAAACTTTTCTAATTGATATCTTTTTAAATAATAATTCAAGAATCTTGTTTGCCATAATCTAAAATGATTATTTTTGGAAAATTAGATTTCGAATTTCTTTTAAAGCAAAGAAAAGGTTTGTTATATTTGATTTTGTAGTTCTTTTGGAAGTCAGATGGAGCTACAATGCTAGAAAAAGTGTGTTTTCACTGATTGCGAGAACAATTTGAGGAAAAAAAAAGCATAAAATACAAATTTATATTTTTATTAACTGAACTGTGAACGTTATAATTTTACCACCATCGAAAATCAGAATATTTCGTTGTTTACGAGCGCTATTCAGGATTTAGGGACTAGAATAGGCAGTTTTAATATTTACATTGATAGCGCGTAATTTCTATTTATAATTGTTTCTTTACATTTAAATTCGAAATAAACATAAAAGGCGAACCAAATAAAAATCGTCACAAATCTAGAAGCAAAATAGGAAAGGTGTTAAAGCATCGTATTTCTGATCTTAAACGTGTTGAAAGTTCAAAGACATAAGAATAATTTAATCTACATACTTATATTATGTTCAGATGAGACTCCTGGCAAATGTCTCAAAAGAAAATTATCAGCCAGTTGGTTTTATTGCTATTTATGCTCGCATAGCCAAAATATTTCCATCAAAATCGTTGTATTTTCTAAACAAATGAAAGCTCAATATTTCTTTGTTATCTCATAAATTGGAACATTAAAAATTGTATTTAATGTGACATTAAAAATTGTATTTAATGTGAATACGTTCTCAAAAAATCAATTTCAATTTTGCATGATTTGGAAATTATTGTTATAAATTAAAATAGATGATCCCAGTGAATTAATAATCTATTAATAATAAGTTATTTTATAGAGGGCCCGACTTAGCCTAATTTGGGCCCGGGGCAAAAACTTCCTTGGGGGCCCCTTCTGCTTTACTACTTCAGTAATGAAGATCCGAACTTTATGGAGGTATTTAAATTTGCACCTCATTTTACACATATAACAAGAAAATTGACTAGAACCTAAAACACCTATAAAGTCCCACCCTCCTCCAATGGTCGGACGAAATATCGTTCTGTCCATTTTACTGATTTTCTGACAATTTTGTGTTCATCATGCCGATTGCAGATTGTTAACTTTGTCATCTAGCTGCGAAAAATTTATATCCTTGCTGACATTAGGTCGGAATTCAGCTAAATTTTTGCAACTCTGGTGGCTCAATTAAACCAATCAGAAGCCTGTATTTTCGTAAACATATCGCATTTTGAGATACGTAAAAATACAGGCTTTTGATTAGATAAATTTGTTCAACGTAATTGCGAAAATTTAGCTGAATTCCTCACTAGAAAATCATGGATTTACGAAATATAGATTTTTTATGTTCATGCGATAGATTAATGAAGAAGGCAGCATAAAACAGATTGATTTTACATTGTATACTGATATTTTATTTTAAAAAGTTCATTGAGGAAGGTAACCTAAAATAAACTTTCTATTTGTTTCGGGGACCCCCTCTGCCCAACTGCCCCTGCCTTTGTCGGGCTCTGATTTTATATTTAAAAAAATACAGCGATTAAAGTGCCAAGTTCACTTTTGGAGTATTAAGTGCCTGATTAGTATAATGGCACCGTCACCCGAATTTCTCAAAGATTTCTTAAAGAATAACTGGCGCTGACGTCATAGGTCACATGCGTGGGTATTGGTTGTCTTCTTCTTCTTCTTGAGCTGCAAGTACCCAATTATTACCGGCGGCTTCAGAGTCTTGCCAACAATATTAATGTATCAATAGAGACTCTGATTTTGCTAATTTTGATGTCCGTTTTTTGAAAGAAATAGACAGCCGGAAATGTAAAAGATAAGGATAAATGTAAACAAACAGCAAAGTACTCGCTTAACTCTTAATTGGTCATTGGTAACTACCAAAAAACTATGAAGATTAATTCACACATTACTAATAAGTAATGAAAATTGTTATAAACACAACTAGGTTGTAAAAATTCACTGCAATGTTCGATAAAATAGTATTTTTCACATTTATTTAACTTTTTGGGGACTTTTGAAGTCTAGAAAGAGATGACATGTACGTTAGGTAGGATGACCAAAAAGCTTTATTTTATTCCATAATTCTTATATTTTTATATTTTAATTCTCATATTTATATAAATATGATAATTCTTATATTTACTTGTTTTTAAAAACGTGTGCCTAAAATTGGCACTGTTTTGTTTAGAAAAATAACTTTTCTAAATAAAATTTTTAAGCAAAAATGAACTGTAGACGCTGTTTAAGATAAAAAGTGCTGTTAAATATTGATATTAATTCTAAAATCTTTAAACTTTTTGCTAAGCCAATTTTTGTTTGTTTTGTCGTTTTACATGTGTCTATTGTAGATGTAATTTTAAAGAAAATCACATGTATATTTCTGATTCCAGTGCCATGAAAATATTTCCTTAGGTGCCAAAGGGTTTTATAACTTGAAAAATTTTAAAATCAAACTTGTAGTGGTTTGTGCATTTGCACTGCTTCAATAAGCACTCTTGAAGAATTGTTGAAAAGATAAGAACAGTTAAAGAAAAATAAGCTTCAGTGAGAGGAATAAAATATAAATGGTTGAAAATAATGTTCCAGGTGTCATATGACATCTCACCTTTAAAAAAGGAAGTACTATAATAAAAACATAATTTAAAATGCTATTTTCATTTACTAATAATGAAATGCTATTGTAAAAATATTGACGTTAATTATCATTTATTTATTGTTATTTCATTAATTAACTAGGTGAATACCTGTTCTGCATCTGGAGGGGGATCAGTAGCAATTAATTAATGCTGAAAAATACTACAAAATCCTGCACTAAACTTTAAGACAAATATCGACACAAATAATAAAACTAAAATTATTACAATGTTTTTTTATTATTTACTATTTATTGCTCTTCTGAATGACTTTATTAGATTAAGCAAAACATGCTCTCACATCAAAGTAAAGATTAACTGCATTCAGTATCATCTGGCATGACCCTGTTGCTTGAGGCAACTCATAATATTTAAAATTTACCACCATCAAGCTACTTCCTCCTGTAATTCGAGGGAAATAGGTGCTTCCGGTAATAGATACAACTGGTAATAGATACTATTGGTAATAGATATTATTGGTAATATCTTTACACATTTTAGTATTCCAATGCAAAATGAAACGAATCTTCTCGTAACATTAGTAGACCAAAGTATGTAAGATTTTTTAAAAATATATTCAGCGCATTTTTTTTCTTTATCAGTTAGTTTCCTTAATACTATATAATAATAATTAGTTTATTATGATAATAAACTTAAAAACGTTTCTCGGGGACATTTTATCTTGTTCACCTTTTCTAAATTTTTTGTATTCCATGCATTTTTCAAATTTCGATTGCATTTTTGTAATATTAAGATAGTCTTAAAATTAAATGTTAATTTAACTATTATTGCCTTGAAAAATGTGAAAGTTAATTATTAAACGTTTCTTGGAAAAGAAGATCCAAAATTTGTTAAAAAACTACTTTTGCATGCTCTATTTTTTGTTTATTCACGTTATTCATTCCAATTGCAGTTTATTATATCCAGTTCCTTAACTCATAAATAATTTATGAATCAATAATTTACTGGTCTATATTCTTTCTTAGATCATAGAAAGCTAGGTCTCAAGATAATTTTTTGCTGTTGAAACATAGATGAATTATTACAGTACTCTGATAAAAATTTATTTTGACATGCAATAATAATACAGTACAGAACCCGTTATCCGAAAATTGGAAAACCTAAAAACCGGAACGAAATTCGATAAATTTTCCCGCAATTTTTAAAAAAAAATTTTTTTTCCTCATGAGATTTTAGGATTTTTCTTTCTTTTTTGAAAGATGTTTACCTTGCCATCATTTTGGAAATAATCATTAGTGTATTACTTCATCGTTGCTTCTTCTTTTTAAGATTATTTCCAATTATTTTTGTTTTTAGTTGGAATAAAACGGCTTTTTGTATCGATTCAGAAAACCGGAAAAATCAGTTATCCGGAATAGCGATGGTCCCGATCGTTCCGGATAATCGGTTCCCTACTGTACCAAAAAAAATTCACTTTTTTACACAGAACTGTTGCCTGTAAATGTTTTTTACAAGATGGATCAAAATTTTTATTATTGTCATGGCTAACATTTTGATTGATACTGAATCTTTTAGGGGATCTTTCAGCATCGTGATCCCGCCAACTACAATCATCAAGGTGACAAAAAGATTTTAAACTTGCAAATTTAAAATTTAAAAAAAAACATGTAGATGTTTTCCCTAGAGTGGCTATCAGTTATACCTTTCGAGCTAGTTCCTTTCTGTGATATTTTTTTTAAATTTCTTGCCGGCCCCTGCCTGGGAGTTGCCAAGACTGCTATTATTCAGCCACAGATAATGATACGGAAATCTCATCTTTTATTCAATAGTTTAAAGCAAAAAAGCACACAAACATTGAATGTTTTATTATTTTTCTTGAAATTTAATTTTTGAATACTTAAACCATTGTAAGTATATTCTATAAAGTGAATATAAATTTCAAGTCTTTAGTATGAAAAAGCATAACTTATGCACATTTAAATGTAATTAGGTAATTATTATTTGACTCACTTGTTGTGAAGAGGCTGAAGTTTTTTATTGTTTTTATAATTTTGTAATGATTACTGCAAGTGATTCTGATAAAACATTTATAAATTTTACGCAAAGAATTATACCTATTAATTAGTAGTGCACAAATCAAAATGTTTCGTACTAAATTCAAGTTATTTCTATAAGATACAGTCTCTTATAAGCTGTAAAGTGTGGATTTTTGTTTTAGACTGAGAGCCCTAATTTACTCTAATTCTATTATGACAGCTACAATACAGGATACGGAAGAAGAAAAATTTTATATCAGTTACTTATTACGCATTTGCCTACTTTAGTCTTTCAAAAAATATATTCATTTTTGTACAAGTTATGCCAAAAGAATTTTTCTCCATCATTCAAATGAAACAAAAGTATTTAATCAGTAATTAATTATTAAAAGTATTATAAAAGTATAAAAGTAGTAAAGTAATTATTATTTTAGTAAAGTAAAAGAATTTTATGGTATTATATAAATTTATTGTATTAATTTTAAAAGTACAGTAGGGAATCTATTATCCGGAACGATCGGGACCATGGCTATTCCGGATAATTGATTTTTCCGGTTTTCTGAATCACTACAAAGAGCCTTTTTTTTTTTATTGTTAAACCCAACTAAAAAAAAAAAAAAATTGGAAATAATCTTAAAAAGAAGAAAAAACGATGAAGTAATACACTAATGATTATTTCCAAAATGATGGTGAGGTAAACGTCTTTCAAAAAAGAAAGAAAAATCCTATGAGGAAAAAAAAAATTTCTTTTTGAAAATGGCGGGAAAATTTATTGAATTTCGTTCCGGTTTTCTGATTTCCGGATAACGGGTTCTGTACTGTATAATACTGTTGAATTAAACTCTATTAATAAATTTTTTTAGGAACAGAAACCTTCAATAAATAGAAAAGAAATTTTTTTTATTAAATTTCAAAAAGACAAGGGGAGAGGGCTCTTAAGAATTCTAATATTCTTTTAGAACAGCTGTCTAAGGAAAAGTACAATAGGGAACCGATTATCCAGAACGATCAGGACCATCGCTATTCCGGATAACTGATTTTTCCGGTTTTTTGAATCGCTACAAAAAGCCGTATTTTTTTATTGTTAAACCCAACTTAAAAAAAAAGCATTTGGAAATAATATTAAAAAGAAGAAAAAACGATAAAGTAATACACTAATGATTATTTCTAAAATGATGGTAAGATAAACATCTTTCAAAAAAGAAAGAAAAATCCTAAAATCTCACGAGGGAAAAAAAAAATTTTTAAAAAATGGTGGGAAAATTTATCGATTTTCGTTCTGGTTTTTTGGTTTTCCGGTTTTCTGATTTCTGGATAACGGGTTCCGTACTGTAGTAAATAATTGACAAATTAAATTAAACATTTTGTCTTTCATCTGATGATCTAAATGAATAGTTCAAATTTCAAAAATTCATCTGTAAACATGATTAAGGTAAACTATCTATAAATAAAATATTAAAATTGAAAGAGAATATTGTGAACTAATCTTTTAACACCGTTGTATCTAGAATCTTTTTAAAAGGTCCCTTTTTTGAAAATAGTGGCAGCACAATGAATTCATTATTGTGATTTACTTCGCTGAAGCAAGATAGCTATGTTTACCATAATAGTATAAACATTTGTATTTGTATCTAGAGTCAGAGTACTATAGGCAAAATTTATGGAAGCTACTGGCCACAAGAGGACTAAATAATACAAAAAAGGATTAAAAAATTTTATGTAAATTGCCACTTTTTTTTGTTAAAAATGAACAAATGTGTATATTATTATTTTTTTAATATCAAATTATGAATCTGAAAATTACTTTATTTCACACTTATTTTTTAATTTTTTTTTTATAAATAAACATTTGTAATGGTAATCATGTTTTATGAATTCCTTAAAAAGAAATGCATTAAATTATCAATATCAACAACTTTTTTAATCGTTTTGAAAAAGTGCTACAATTGGTTACTTGCCAGAAGTAAAATTTTGTTATTTGGCCCTATGCAAAGCACAAAGCTAAATTGTGTACAACAAAAAGCTTAATTGAATTTTTGAAACTAAATTGGCTAAGGTAACGAAAGAAATATCTTCTTTGTATTCGGTATAAACCAATGTGTACTCTCACTCTTTTGGCTAAGCCAAACTATTTATCTACTTACTGTTTTATACTGAAAAATTTATGCAAGCTTTGTCTAAAAATATATCATGATTTTTATTTTGAAATTAATATCGGAATCAATAAAATCTGAACTATTAATGAATATTGTTTCACTTTGTTGTATGTGGGATAGAGGATGGTTGTTATTATTATTATAACTATTTTTATCCATTTATATTGAGTTGTATTATTTATTTATCTATTTACCTTTTTACCTGCCACATTCCATCGCATTTTTATTGAAATGTGTTACTTAAAAGTCGATATACGATCAACATAACTACTTAAATACTAGAGTATGATTTGTTTTAAATTAAAAAAATAAATTGATTAATAATGAACCAGATTAGCATGTATATACATGTTACTAGGTAAATGCTACATAAGGTATGGATTAAAAATAACTACTATCTTTCATAAAATAGTGTTTATTTCTATATCTTTTCAGATATTTTTTGCAAGTGAAAATTTGAAAAAAATGTGCTCCTTCCATGGAAGTTTGATAAATAGTACTTTTAAAATTGTACCTAGGATTTTATTTTTCTGAAATTTATTTCATGGTAATTCAGTAATATATTATTAGCAACTGTTAAATTATCTTTAAATGTTTAAGAAAAATCACATTTCTCAGAAATATTATTATTATTATTTCTTTTTAGGTTTAATGCTTATAATGGGTGAGATGTTACAAAGACAGCACGGAAAACAAAACAATGTGCATGTAGTTGCACTTCCACAACTCAACAAAACATGTGACTAATTTGAGCTGAAAGCTGCCATTGTAAATGGGAATGTTGTAATGTGTGACTTTCTTAACAAAAGGTATTTGAATAAGCAAAGCACAATGTTATTTTCTAAAGTTTATTTTTATTAATGACTACAGTTGAAACAAAATATTAAAGTATTTTCATAATATACCTAGTTCAAACAAAACTTTATTGATAGTTTTGACTATGACTTGATTTATACATCAGGGCTGTTGTAATGTTATTAGATATCTAAAACACCATTTTTCAAAAGTAAATGTTTAGACTTATTTTTTACTGTTGTCTAGTTCTAACACTTACATGTACAAAATAAACAATGGTCTTAGACCACTAAAATAATAATCAGTGATCTCTTGGCCAAGCAATTCATTTAAAGGAATGGTGTATTGCTTTGATCTTTTGATTTTCCAGTTTTGTGTTCTGTTCTGAATTACTGTCACGAAATAGCATATTTCATCATAATTGCAAACATTACGCATTCTTTGTATTCTAATTTTTCATTTAAATTTACTTTCTTAGCTTTTTCTTAACAAAAAATCTTATAGTGACAAGTAAATGGACAAGTGAAAATGCCTTTGAATTTGTAATATCTTGACTAAATTTTCTTAATTTTTACCCCTGCTGTAGGTTCTATGTATAATTCGTTTGTTGAGTTTTCTAGTTATAGCTCTTCAATGCAATAATTAGATAACCAAGTCAGTAGTCATATGAAGCTTAAACATACCTTAAAATCAAAAGATCTTGAGTGCTCTAATTATATACTATACTCATAGTGTGTAATATTCTCAAAAGTTGTTAACACAGGAATGTTTAAAATTAAAATTTTTACACGAATACATGTATGAATAGTATTGCATAATGCAGTGAAACCTCCAAAAAAAACCACATTAGTGTAGTGAACTCCTATTTACTACCACTCTCGGGAGTCACGGAATGTTTTCCATAAACTATGTGTTTAAGAAAACCTCTAGGAGAAACCATCAAAACCTCTCTCAGCGACTTTGCAAATCTCTGCACAATATGTAGAAAAGGTCAAATAAACAACACGAAAAAATGTCAAAGTAAGAAAGATTAAAACAAATTAGCAAATTCAAAAGTATTTAAAAAACCAAATATTACAGTCTGAGTGCACTAAGGACAATGCTATCAATCATTTAGTTTTCGAGTTAAAGGTAAAATTTAAAAAAAAGGTTTCTTTCGAAGAAACTAAGCATCTCAAAAAAACAAACCTCTCACTTTTTAAAGTAGGCTAATTTATATGAAATAAATTTAAAGGCAAACTTGAACAAAAAACATAATTGTTTATTTACTTAAAATAGTTTTATCATTAATAATTGGTAAATTTTTTTTAACACTTAATTTTATAAGTATTAGGGGTCATTTTTATGGACGCTAAATTTTATTTATCTATCCAGTTTAGCATTAGTAGCATTTCAAAACCAAAAAAATGACACTGAAATTAGTAAAATTAAAATCTCTTACGAAAAATCATTGACCTTTGATAACACTTTGAAGTCATAGGAGGTAACCTCTAAGAACGACCAACCTCCATTAATGACCATTTTACTGTGGAACAGTGAGTGGTCGCTTCCGAGAGTTTTCACTATACTTTTATACTTAATTACAAGAATTTGTAATTAGAAGAAAAATTATGAAGGTTTAAAAGTAAGTTGTTAAATATTTTCATTAAATGTAAAACAAACTAAAAATTGGTATATCTGATATTTTGTGATCTCAAGTAACAGATTTGTTATTCTGCAACTATTTTTTTCCATAGCCAAGCTTGGCAATAATGGCTGTCGGAGTTAGACTAGTCAGTACGGAGATGTAAAATGTGGTGTTATGATAGGTTAGGTTAATTGATTTAAGTTAATTTTCATGTTTGAATGAAGGTTTTATCTAAAAATTAAAGGGAGGATGTATGATAAAGTATGTAAATGATTGATTAATGTTCTATTTTTTAATGATTTAATTTAGATGTAACACAAATAGAATAAAAATTACAGAAATGTCATGAATATTTTGAGATACTCATGAATAACTACTTAGAAAGATAATGAATATGCTTCAAATAAACAATGAAAAATAATGTCTGATATAAGAATGAAGTGTTACTTTTCAATTATAATTTTTCATTTGATGTATATAAAATAATTTACTGTTTTAATATCAATTAAGTATTTCCATTATATTTATTCTATCCATAGTTTTATGTTTATTTAAATGTAAATAAATTGTTAATTATTTTTTTAGTTGTATCTAAAAAATAAGGAATGACTTATTTGCCAAATATTATTTATAATAATTGATTTTTTAATATTTAACTTAAATTACTTTATTTTTCATCACAGCTAGCCTCTCTGTACGACATAAGGATGTTGAACATGAATAAAAAAGTAAAAAAAATATTAGTTCTATCACATTTCATTTATTCAGTGCTTTGTTCATAATAATTGTAAAATAATATGAACTATTTTAGTTAGAATTTAAATAGTTTAGTTATACCATTGTTACTAAACAATAAATTAATATATTTTACTTCATCTTAAGTTGGTGAATGTAAAAAAAAATCTGGTTTAATTTTAAAAAATCAGTTTCTTACCAAATAAACCTTGTTTTTTTTTTAATATAGTGTTTAGCTACCTGGTGTGAAGTTCCGTTGTATTTTTGTATGAAGATATTGAATGTGGTTCAATGAATTTTGTATGTAGTCCAGATATGATTTAAGTGAAGATATTTTGATTGATACGGAGAAAATTGTGATTGAATTGCAGGAGAAGTGTCATGTAGAAAGCAATGCCAACATTCATGGGAATGCCAGGAATCTCAAAAGAGCTTTTAGAAGATGTAGATGATTTCATTAAGTAGTGATGCTGAAAATTTGAATCGAAAGACGATATCATTTGGTTGATGAGTTTTTAAGTGAGTTATTTAAACATATTTAGATTTTGGTAGATTTTAATTTTACTATTTTTCATTTATGAAACGTGTTATGATGAATCAATTTTATTAATGTAATGTGTTGTGATGAATTAATTTTCTTTATGAATTAATGTAAATGCAAGAGTGTTTTTTGCATCAATTCTTTTCCAAAGGGTTAATAAATAAAACCAGTGAAGCATGTAAGAAAAATATCTTTTATTATTTTATGAATTTATCCTCTATATGGCAGTTAATTTTGAAAACTGAATTCCTGTAGTAATTTATTCTGAGAAAGTGAATCCAAATAACAGCTATACTTGTGTCTGTTAGAAAGTGTTAACTCAAAGAAAAAACGGTTACTCAAACTTGTCTTGTGTCTACTTCATAGACTTGGTAACCGCAATCTACAAACTCATTTGAGATTAGTCCCAAACTAGTGTTTGATTTGATACTAGGAAGTTGATTTCAGAAAGATTGATTGCTACTATTTAAAATTTTTTTTGTTTCTTCAAAGTTATTCCTGATGAGTTTCTTCGAGTATTTTGAGTCATAAAATACAGTAGGGAACCGATTATCCGGAACGATCGGGACCATCGCTATNCCGCAATCTACAAACTCATTTGAGATTAGTCCCAAACTAGTGTTTGATTTGATACTAGGAAGTTGATTTCAGAAAGATTGATTGATACTATTTCAACTTTTTTTTTGTTTCTTCAAAGTTATTCCTGATGAGTTTCTTCGAGTATTTTGAGTCATAAAACATTTTAAAAACTATACTATACTATATTTTTACTATAGTTTTCACATGAATTTTTTTCTAAATTTTTCAACTAAAGTTATAAATGGTTTATGCTCTGTGTGTTAAAAAATTATTTAACCTCGTATGATTGGTTTTTAAAAGCAATTAAGAAAAATAATTTTAATTTTATTCCCACAATATTTTCTCATAAGATTGATCAGCTTGTAGTGTATTTCAGGTACATTCTATTCACAAAAATTTCAAAAAAGGAAATAAATTATTTTAAACAAAACAATAAAAAATAATCATTTTTGGTTCACAAACTCTTAAGGAAAGGTTCTTCCATCCAACAATTTCTAACACTATTCTCTCACTGCTAGTCTACTTCATGCCAGTCAAGTCTCCTGTTTTTTATTGAAGACTCCTGTATTTTACAATTATCTCCTGTTTACCCAGATATTCTCATAATTCTCAATTTGTTAAAGGAATTTAAAATAAAAAAATTGACGATAAAATATCCGCTGGCGGCTAAAATACTTCTCTTATTCCTCTACAAATGGTGCTATTACCAGTACTGATGTTGAGTGTTGGTGCATTGTATGTCTCCCCAAAACTTCTGCTGTTAAGATTAGGGTAATTGCTTTCAGGTGCGTTAGTGGGTATCCCATTGTCCCTCCCCCTAGAATGAGCTTGACTTAATATTCTCTTGGTATGATATAGCTATTTTCTCTTGACTCTTACCTGATAAAGAGGTTGCTATATAATCTGGTATGAAAAAGGAGTTTTCTTCTCAGCAAGAGTGAGATAAAAGTTTTAGCTATAAGAGGGTAAATTTTCTAAGAATGAAAGAAGCAAAAGGGTTTTACCTTGACTAACCACCATTTCATGAACAGCTTGTCTAGCGAAATGAGATGGATTTATGTAGGGTTTCTGCAATTTTAAATAAACTATAGAATTAAATAAAATGTCAATTATCGGAACATTTTTCTGAACATTGGAAATATTTTACCTAAGCTGTTATTAACAATCTCATTAACGAAGTATTTGAAATCTTTAGGAATTTTTTTAATTGCTGCCATTGAGTACAGTTATTACATCAATTAAATTTAACGAAATCGATCATAATATTATTATTATGATTAATAATTTTAAACTACATAATTTATCATCTGTATCAATGAGGTTTGAAAATGAAACACATATAAGAATTTAACATAATTGGTAATTGCACCATAAAAACATAATTTGAAATTATAATTTTGTTCCAGGATTTCATGTGATTATGATTGAAACAATTACTATGTACTAATATTTAAGCCTTGATACAGATTTGCGAAATAAAGAACTAAATTAAATTCATATGTCATGTTCAGTACAGAACTGAGAAATCATTCAATAGTCTTTAGTATTAACAAAATATTATCGCAGCAATTTTATTTATTATTATTAAGCACAACATTGTTAAATGAGGTTTTATTATTAACTCACTTTTTTTTCCAACAGAACTTTTTTTAATTTATTTTTTCATAAATCTTGGTTCTGAAGTTTTCCTTTTTCAAACTTAGTTTTCTTTTTCACAAATAAATTTTTTGAAAATTTATTAGCTTCCAGAAAAATCCATTTTAACTATAAAATCAGCTAAATATAGCTGTTTGGTTTGTGTCATACAAAATGAAGGAATGTAAATCAATTTGCTCTATCCAAAAATTTTTTAAATTTCTATGAAATTGTATCATATACAAAAAAAAAATATAATTATGTTCAAAAACCTTTTTTTGCACATAGAGTATTCCATAAACAACGCCCGTAAACTACATATTTAAAATTCTTTCAAAAGTAAAGTTGAACTATTAGTCATATTAGATGACACAAAATAACAATAAAACGAGGAAAAATATAATAAAAACTGGACCGATAATTTATGAGGTAGGAGACATTCAAAACATTGAAAAAAGTTTGAATAGCAGTATTAAAAGAAAGTAGTTTAAAGCCAATTAAAATTATTTCTCAAGAAATACTTTAGTGGTGTTTAGGTCAAGGAATTTCTCATACTTAAAAAAAGTTTTAAATCTATAAGAGACTGGCAATGAATTACGAACAAAAACAAGTATTTTTGAGCACCCTATGCCAGAAAATAAAGCGATCAACTTGAATAATAGATTTCATTCAAATTTTGTAATATGCAATTTAAAATTATGTTCAAAATAATGTAAAAATGTGTATACCTTACAAATTCGACCACTGTCCAGATTAAGCTATTGGGGCCATATTTACCAGACTGCGGCTATCCCTCATATTTTGATAGTCCAAAAACCAAGATCGAAAAAAACTTATGTTTTTTCAGAGAAAGAACCTTTCTCAGCAAGATTGTGTAACACAATTAATCATTAGCATATTTGATGTTTGTTGCCTCTATGAACTTTATGACGAATTATATTATCGTTTTCTAGTACTAATGAGGCGTTCTAACCACTATTCTATGATTTTCTAGTAACATTTTCTAGTATTTACAATTATCTAAAATACACTTATAATAGATTTTTGCCCTATGTTTCATTTTCATTCTAAATAAAAATTCGTTAAATAAAATTAATTTTTCTCCTTGAATTGAATCGAAGTACTCAAATTGTTCCATTTTGTTGGCATGTAAAATAGCCAACCTTAAAAACCAACCTTAAAAAGTGATAAAGGTAGTGGTGTTATCTCTCCCCTCTCTCACAAACAAAACTGGAAACTCAACTCCTTATCAACCTATACCTAATTTACAGGTGCTCATGAAAGAAGAATTTTTTGTTTCCTTAATTTTTAATACTTTTTATTCCTGTACTGATTCACTTTTACTTTCACTTATTTTACATTATAATATTTTCAGTCGTTAACCTTTTGACCCAGAATTTTTATTAAATATAACTTTTATATTTTTCTCATTATTTTATATTAATTTAAGTCGAAATAAGTGAAAATATTATGTTTAGCATTTTAATAATTTATGGTTACAAAATACAACATGAAACACTGTTGTCTTTCCTGCGTTAAAAGTAAAATTTTCCAAACTTGACGCTTCCAAACAATCATCAAATGTGCACTTATTTTCAGTTATTTAGATTTAAATTACGAGAAACAATTATTCATTATTGAAATTACAAAATCAATTATTGATATATTTTTAAATAACAATTATTGTTACATTTTTATAAAATAAAATAAAAATCGAATAACGCTTTTTTTTTTTTAAAAAAAAAAAACTTGCAAATTATCTCCTGATCATCTAAAAAAAAATTTAGTAACTATTTGAGTGTTTTTTATAATTAAAAAATACCTAAATATATTTTTGCTTATAATTAGAGCATCAGAAAAAAAAACTTATAAAAGGGACACCAGTGTCCAATCTTCGTCAAAAGATTATTAATATGCCACTTTAGTAATTTTTTGTTTTAGACCCACCCACAAACCCAAAATATTCCGGGTGGATTTTTTTTTTAAAGAAGAACCATAAAACCTGGGCTCAAATGAGTTTTTTTATAAACGTAATCAAAATCTGCCCTTATATCAATTGTTATTTTTTATTTGACTTGTTATTATTTATTGATAAATATTAGTTCATAATACACAAATATACATAACCCTACTTTCAAAACTTAGTGTATTTAGATAAATATGTATGTAACTTTGAATTAATGTCAGGGGTCAGTCCAGACATTTTGTGAAAGGTCCGTTTTTGTAAAATTGTGAAAAAATTACTCGTAATTTGTGAATATAAAATAAACTTTAAGTCACATTCTTTCAACCAGGGTCCCCTTTTGTGAATTTGTGCAAAAAAACTGTTTCAAGGAGTTTTTAAATTGTAAAGACATAAAGATTATGCTCTACACTGTTAAATTATAATTAAAAAATTAAATTTTAAAAAATAAACAGCAATTGCAGCTACTAAATTAGCGATGCAACATATAAATATTTGGTATTTAGTAATTTTGGTACTGCGGAGCGCAGAATATTCATTTCGAACAAATAAGGGAAGAAGCATTTGCTGAAGACAAAATTTACTTCGTTTACGCCTGTCTTTCTCCCCCCCCCCCTTCCTGAGAAGGGTTTATTCGATTAACAAAACAATAATGAAGATAAACAAATTTGTGAAGGNGTAGTCATCATGAAATTTTGTGAAGAGTCCGTTTTTAAGTTAAAATATTTTGTGAAGGGTCCGTTTTTATAAAAAGACATTTTGTGAAGGTTCCGCTAACGAACTCAAATTTCTTCTAAACAAACCCCTGAATGTAATAATTTTTATTGCTTTAACATTAAGGAAAATCGCTTATTTTTTAAACTATAGTTTGAGCTTTCTTAATGTTATTTGTTTTGAATTGAACAGGTGAAAAGTACAGGCTGGTATAACTTTGTCTTTCTTTTATCTCTTTAAAAAAATAAGTTTTTAAATACAAATAAAGTAATCAAATATAAGTATTATAACAAAATACTAAAAATAGAATTTTTTATTTCTTTTTAAAAGAATATTTTTGTTTTATAAAATATAGAAATGGATGAATTAAAATATTTTGTTAGTAGTTATATTTTAATGCTACAAAATAATAATTTAAATATAAAAATTCATTATGTTTCTAACCATGATAAAATACTGAATAATATGTAATGACCATTAACTTATTTTGCTTCATAAATTTTATTTAATAAAAGTTAACATAATTGAGTAATTATTTTATTGGTCACAGCAAAACTTATTCTGAATACATAGCTTCAAGAGCAATTCAAAAAACTATTAAGTAAATTGTTAAATAAACAGTAGTTATGTCATTGGTTGGCCTGTAAAAGACTTACTTAATTTTGACAGCAAAAAAATTAAACTTAAGTATTAAAATCAAATAAATAAAACAAAAAACAGCATATTTCTTTGACCCAAATATTATGCTTTTATTTCTAGTCAAAGAAGAGATTAATTTAAGAACCTTTTATTAATACCAGCATATATTAAAATTAAAGCTATTTTTTTAATTTCAATTCATTATTTATTTTCTTATGAAAGTTTTCTTTTTAATTAAAATTGTTCCTTTTGAATTAAAATTTAATCCTAAATTGTGTTAAACTAGGTAATATCTTAAAAAGCCCATTAAAATCAAAAAAACTCAATAAAACCTACCCGGGTTTTTTAAAGCCTGCTGCTTACTCATTATGTTGAATTTTGTTTAATTCCATAAATAACTGAACCACCTGTAAAATTTGAAAATTCTATTTTATAATTTTGCACCATTTCCTTACTAACTAAATTTGACACTTGAGATATTTTCTAGGGTTTTACATTTGATTGTTAATTTGACATTTATAATTGGAAGTTTTCAAAAATTAATCTTCCTAGTTGGGATAGAGTAGATCTTAATCTCAAATCCTGAAGGTCACAGTTAGTGTCTTTAATATTTTTCTAGGCTTGTCATTTTAACCCTCAATGTCCTGAAAGTCCTGTCAATGTTCAATCCTCAATATGCAGGGTATTCCTTAATGACTGCCCTTTATGTGTATTTTTTAATCCTAGTCAAAATATGCATGTTAAGATCCACAAATTAAAATTCAAGTGAGAAATAAAAACTAAGTTTTTTAACTGTAATCAATCGCAACATTTCAAAATTCTGGCCAATCAATATTAAAGTCGAAAAGAGCAAAGAAAGGATTACAATGTACTAATGATTGATGGTGATTAAAATGTTATTTCCTTATAGTCCTATTAGACGAATAAACTGAATTTTGATTATATCAGTCCCTCCTCTGCTTATTTTTTCCCTTTAATAATGATTAGTCAAAATTTTGAAGCATCTTTGTTTTTTTTTTGCTGAAAAATTAACTCAAACCCAAAAGGTGCAAATATTTTACAAGGATTCTTAATATTTATAAATAGGGAAATCAATGTGGAAGCACGTGTGCCTCAAATATTAATCATCAACGTATTAAAACAACTATATTACATTATTGGTGCAGACTGTCAGACGAGGAATATGACAGCTATTACTTATGCTTATATTAATGAAAGAACTATGATGTGCTATGTTCAATACCATGAATGACATTTAGGGTTCTGTCTTATGCTTGTCATTGTTCCAAATTCTGATAAAATGTTTCATTCCACAACAAAACAAAGGACCATATTTGCTTAATTACAAGAGTTGAAAATGAATTCCTTTCTTTCTCGTAAATCACTTGACCAGGCTACTGAAGAATTGATTTAGTTAAACTTGCCATCACTATTGTACTATATCACAAAGCAGAGTTATCACAAGTCAGATGTTTGTGTTTTGTAAGAGAACAGTTCTTTTATTTTATTTTTGGACAAACTGAAATTTATAGAGTATAATTGTTTTGGCAATGGTAATTTCTATAGCCCATAGTTGAATTCATGAGTAATCAGAAGCAAACATATTTTACTATAATTTTTCATTTAATTTATTTATCTATTTTTTGCAGATTAGCCAAATTGCTTAGGTTTCTTAGAAGCCAGTGAGAATACTTATAACACGGTAAAATATTTTTATTGTAGCTTAAATTTTTCTAAATTAAAATAAACACATTACACACCCATATTAATTGTTTATATAAGTTTAGATTGTATTTAGAAAAGTATTAAATAACCTTTTCATTAACAGAAATGTTGTAAACCCTTTGTTTAAATGAATATTGATTGAGAAAGAAATTTATTTGAGTATTTATGAATAAGAATATGATTTTATAATACTTTAGTATAAGCTGAATTATGATAGCAGTCACAGAAGCACAACCTATTGCCTACAGAGTTTTTAAGAATGCCCCATGACACCACCAGTTTATTGTTTAAGGAATTCTTATTTGTTCACTTTTTAAACTTCTGTGGACCTAGAATAAAAAAAAAAATTTCTTTACTTCAAAATATTTTGCTACTTTTTGAGTGATATTTATTTTTCACTGGTCTCCAGACTTTTAATAAATTAATTTTTTTCAATCCATCTAAAGTCAAAGCTATATATTTTAGTTATAAAATATGCTACAGTGTATTATATGGAAGCATACCTGGAATGTTGTGTAGATTTTTCATGGGATTCAAAGATTTTTCATAGATTTTTCAGATTCAAAGCTAAGAAATTGAAAATAGACTTTCTGCCAACCCCTAAATACTAAAACAGGATGACTACTGAACAGGGAAATTCCAAGAATAATCTTTCTTCGCTTATTTATTCTATCTACCAAAATTCCTCCACATAATCTTAATTGGTTAGTTCTATAATATATTTTTTAATTATATATTTTATACAAAAAAATAGTATACGTGCATATATTAAGTTTTACCTCCTTTAGGACGCACATTTCATTAGTGAACACATTTCGTGACAGCGATTCTCCCTTCTCGGCCCATGGTATTATATATGAAACGAGAACTCTAGTCGCTAACAACTCCAGGTTACAGGGACGTACGTCATCTCAATATGGTGTTCCTGAATTAGTACACATAAACTCAGAGTGGCACTGTATTCAGGACAATTCTATTGTAAATCCACCTAGTTTACTTATTTTTTGAAGCAGTTATTTGTCCTTTCTCGGCCAGTTTCACACATTTTCTCAATTTTGATACTTTTAATATGATATTTTTTATTTTAGTAATCACTTTTTCCCACACTCATTTCGCGCCATTTCCATTGTAAAAGTATGCAAAAATAGTTATTCATCGTTTTGTTAGTTTTCTATCTGGAGTTTTAAAAAAACATCGTTTTTAGACTCCTGATGAGAAGTACGTCTCAATAAATGTGTATTGACTTTACGTGATAGCAACAAATTTTTTGTTGTATACTTTCACTGCAGCTTTAATATAATACTTTAAGCCGTAGTAGCTAAAGTTACGCATGCTACTTTTTTTCTTTTTTTTAGTCTGAAAAAATTAGAAAATATTTATTATGTAAATGTTTTTTTAAAAAAATTTCAATGGCAGTTAATTAAAATGTCATTTAAAGTTATATTTGATTTCTTCAGCAATAAATATTTTTAAACCAATTTTTTTTCTTAAACTTGTATATTTTTAAGGTTATTAGGATTTTGCCTGGATATTAACATTGTTTTTAATTAATTATCACTTTTTAAGAAATTTTAGTTACTTTCTTCACTACTTTTTCTACAATTATCTGTGCTGAGCCCTGCTGTAGCATTTGTTGACCTATTTAATTCAGTGATTTTTTTATTTAATTTAAGATCTGATGATTAACTAAGAAAAGTAATACCTGGTTTCACAAAAAATTAGATTTTATGTATTAGGTTTACAAAATTTGGGTTTATATATTAAAAAAGAAATGAGATTTTCTATTACTAATCAATTTATTAAAAATGTCACCAGCATTGTGGGGGACAATCCCCTATTAAAGTATATTTTATTTCTAGTTTTCTTTCCTTATACCGTCACATTTTGTTCTTAGAGCAATTGTTGTAGGGTATGATCATTTGTTATTAAATTTTGTTTTATGATACAAAATGAAATTTATGAAAAACCCTGCATCATTTAAAACTTTCTTTTAAAAAAAAGTACAGAAGTTAATTAGTGAATCGCTAGAAGCTTTTTACATTTCCAAAATGTTTAGATTAGTCTTTTTTCATTAGTTACGAAATATGATTCACAATAATATTATGAAAAATTTGTTTTTAAATATTTCCGTGCATGCATAGTATGAAAGAACTACTTTAAATGCTCATGTCTTGCTTAATTTTTTTCAACTTTTTCAAATCTTAAATTGAGGTTCTTGTTATTAATTAAAGATTATTCCAAAAAGTTGTTTAATTTTATTGAATATTTCTACAGTTAGAATCAGAAAACTTAAGGCAAAAAAAATTTTTTTTTTATTCATGGAAACGTCCATATCTCCATGAATATTTAAGCTAGGTTTACGGAATTTTGTGCTGCTATTGCATATGATAACCAATTAATTGATACAAGTTACAAACTTATTGCTATATTTTTTGGCATGAGGCGTTCAAAAGCACTCTTTTTTCGTTCATAATTCATTGCCAGTCCCTGAAACCTTCAATAGCTTAAAACTTTATTGATTGGTTTGAGAAATGGCATGGTCTAAACACCTCTCATCTCAAGTCATAATATCATTCTCCAAAAATTTCTTGAGAAATTTCAAAAAATGACAAAAACTGTGAGTTTCCCTTTCATTATTGTAGGGTAGTGTTTTTGCACTGGTATGTCAGTAACAGATTATAAATAACTTATTTTGTGAGCAAACTGCAAGTTTAATGCAAAGGTGTAATTTTGTAAGTGTTGATTTTTATTTTGTTTTCTTTCACAGCCTTAATGACGGAATACATGATGGAATAAAAATGAATTTTCAAGATATTTAATTTAACATGAAGCAAATTCACTTCCAAGAAAATCGCCGATTTGAATCGGAAAAGAAAACTATAAATATTTATGTGCAAATATTAGTAAATAAATTATTTTGTGTTAAATTTTGTTATTTTTTATTGTGTTGTTGTAAATGAGGTTTGAGAATACTTCTGAGCAAACTGCAGAATACTTCTTGAGCAAAAGGATCCCTATCTAGTTCCCTTCCCAGTCTAGTTGTCTATTTGTCTTCTAGTTGTCTATTTGTTCCCTATCTAGTGAATATTATTAAGAATAGGTGTTCACTTTTATTAGAAAGAGATGAATTAAAATTTGATTCCTTATTCTTGTAAAATTGGAGGCAGCCCTGTTATTATTGACCATGGTAAGTTTTTTCATCGCAGTACAGAGCCATAAAGTTTCAGTGTTTTATGACAACTGATTTCACTATGTTTTTCTCTGCACAAAAATTACTTGGTTCAAGAAAGTATAGTAGTTGTTAATGTGGAAACCAGCACATTTTCATTCCTGCCAACTTAAACGCATTTGTCGTAAAATTTTATTTCTACATTTGAAGTGGTAGTAAAATGTATGTTTTCTATATATTTCTTGCACTCATAAACTTAATTTGTAATCTTTATGATCACCACTATTTTTTAAAAATTTAACCATACCTCTAAATATGTAATACCGTCGTGCTAGACCGCATAAGCCTATTCCAAGTACAGCGTATGTTTCTGCCTAAAATTGTAATTTAAATTTTATTTTACTACCACTGGGGACACTCCGTTATTTGAAAAATGGTTGACCTTCATAGGATTATCAAAAATTATAGAGGCTTTTTATAGAATGTTGTGGAAATTTGGAAGTACACCATGATAAAACCGTCAAAATATGTTGGCTCTTTATGTCAGACCAACAAAATATTCTATAATTGGGTAGTTCCTTAATTTTGATGGTAATCATCACAAAGTGGAGATTTTTTGAAGGAATTTCAAATTGGAAACCAATACAATATGTTGGTCCATCATGAAGTTGTTTCGATAATGGGGTGACTGTAAGTCTTGATGGTACTATTAAGAGCTAAGATGGTTTTTGATGGGTTGTCGAGTTAAAAACCAATACAATATGTTGATTCATGATGGACTGGCTATTATATTTGTTGATCCATTGTAAAAATCCATCAAATTAGGTTGGTTCTGATTCTGTTGATTCAACATAAATTTGTTTCAATTCCGATATTGATGTGATGGTCAGTCTTGATGGTATCATCAAGAGGTGAGATGGGTTTTGATGGAAACCGATATGATTACCATGACATTCATGCTGGTCCATCGTAGGAAAACCATCAAAACTTTTGCCTTAGGTCACCATAAGTTTCACATTTCTAGGGTTCTTTGACGATTTTTTGAACTTCACCTGCAATAACGCCATTCATTTAATTAGTGTTTCAGCTGTGACTTGTATTATTTGGCATATGAAACTGTTTCATGGCAATGATATGAATGTAAGGAAGCATTACCTTAATGCTTCAAATGGACACGAGTAGCTTCGTATTGCAAATATCGGCATTTTCGTCGAATTATACGAGTTCTCTTTTATAAATATGATAATGCTTCATTAGATCGTCAACTAACACGAGGCTCTGTTCTTCCAGTGAGCACGCGTTTGATGTTGAAAAGAAGAATCCATTAACTCTAAGACATACTTTGTTAATTACATATTTACTTAATATGTAATTAACACGGCAGAAGGAGCATGTAGTCTCTATAGCAGCGTTTCCCTTGTTAGATTCCCAACGTTTGTATGTAATATTTGAACTACCTCGAATGTTTTTATTTTATCTATTCAATTTAAAATAGCTTTCGTCTTCAAGGATATGTATCAAATCAAACTTATTTTAAAAACTTCATTATGATATAAAGGTTTAAATTGTCATCAATTTTGTATAGTAACAGACTCATACAACTTCACATTTCGATAAAATTTAAATTATTAAGGAAAGTACGTAATTTTTTACGTTTCATGTAATTTAGCTCTTTCGTGGCGACGGACGAGATAACTCGTTTTCCAGCAACATTCGCTGTGCTCTATTGTATTAGTGAATATGGTTACTGATTGTAATTTATTATTATTTTTTAAAGTGAACTAAACAAGTTTCAAATTAATTTGCGATTTGTTTTAATTTTAGTGCTGTGGGGGAACTCTAAGCGCAGAGGATAGGACAAAGGCACGTTATTGTCGCGATGAAAGTGTTAAACACTAACACACCTATTTTCAGTTCTAATGAAGATTATGAGGGTTTTCTTAACATGTAAGTTCGAAAATATGAAAATTAGCAACTAATTCTTTTCGTACAGTATTTTCTCAAAAAACAAATCTTTTTTTTTTTATTGTTCAGAGAATTTTTACTCTGGTTCTGTTTAAAATTTCGTTGCTATTGAATAATTTATCAAAGAAAAATATAATTGAAATTTAAAAAAAAAATTATTTGTTTATTTGAATGAAATATTGACTATTCCCTCCTCCCATCAAATTCCGTAAAAAAAGAATTAGCGATTTTGCAGATGCTATCTCAGCTTAGAAGCCTAGAAAAGAAAAAAAGAACGCCTGTAGGCTACTTATCCATTTTGTTTTATAGACCAATAATAATGAATGCACATTGAAGTAGACCAACAGTCATCAACAATGGATGAAAACACCTATTTGCGATTTATCTTGTATCTGTTTTGTTCTTGTTCTCATTGAGTTTCCTTTATTGATATCTGTTCATTAAAACAATATCTTATAGTTCTCTCATAAAACTTAACTTTTTTCTCACTGAAATGGAGCCATTCAACTTCATAAAAAAAAATTTATAGCACTTTATGCTTATAAAATAATACAAAGATAGTTTATGGATCAATGCAAGTTCAATGCACGCTATCTGAATCAGGCATTTATCTCAGATGGAGTGGTAATTCACGCAAAACTGTGAGAATCTTTGCATTGTGACTCGTAATATTAACCCTGAACGATTTTTTTTAAAAAAAAATTTGTCGTCTTTTATTTTATATTATTATTTAACAATATATCTCAGTTTTTTTTTTACCTGTCACAAGTCGACCTGAGTTTTTCTGATGGGAATGATTAAAAATATATAACTTTATTCCTCTCTGCGTCAGATAAATTTTCCTTTTGTTACCATTTTGTATAACTTATTTCCTAAAATCCATTTTAAAAGTAATAGGCTGTTGAATTTCAAATACGCTGCCGAAATTTGCATTTGTTAGGCATGACCTCCCAATGCAAATGTGATGATTTGTTCTCCAATTCTCTTTAACTTCTCAACTTAAATCTTGAACGAACTATATTTTATACTTTATCATCTAAAATAACTTTTCTAAATAAAATTTTAGCAATTTACTGAGGTATTTTTGAACATATATTCTTATGATATGTAAAAGAAAATAGTTTTTTTTCTTAACTTTTTTCAAAAAACCCCAGGGGTTAGTTTGACATAGATTAAATTTTAAAAGTTCAAGTTCGCGATGCAGATTTCTATTTTATATTCAAAATACAGAAAAGAGGCGATAAATTCAGAAGTCGAATTATGAAACTTGTTTGGAAGACCAAACTGGAAAAAAAAGGAAATAAAAATTATAATTCATTTTTGCTTCATAATTATTGCAAAATCAGGTAAACCGGGGAGAGTACAATATAAAAAGTTGTTATCAAGAATGCTAATATTATTCAGCGCACAGAGTACTCTGAATACAAGTATATTCAAAAACTCTTTTGTACTTCACGCACAAAAGAGTGCTAAAACGCACTTCAAAGAAACATACTTAAAAAATCGGAAAGTTCGTCAGTTGTCGGACTATCACACCGTTTCATAACAAACGAAGTACAGCTTTGAAATTTCTGCTTTCAATGAAAATTTATATCTTTAAAAAATATTTACCTAACAAGTTTTTTCCGATAATAACATGAATCAACTAAATCAAGAGATAATCGTACACAATCAATATACACTGAAGAGCCGAAAAAACTGGTATACCTGCCTAATAACGTGTAGGGCCCCCGCGAGAGGTGCCGCAACGCGACCTGGCATGGATTCGATCAATGTGTAAAGTAGTGCTGAAGATAATTGACACCATGAATCTTGCAAGGCTGTCTATAAACCAGTTGGAGTAAGAGGGGGTGGGGATATCTTCCGAACATCACGCTGCAAGGCATCCCAATTATGTTCAATAATGTTCATGTCTGGGGATTTTGGTGGCCAGCGGAAGTGTCTAAATTCAGAAGAGTGTTTCCGCATGAATAATATTTTTAATTCGATTCGCTGCTAAGACAGCCTGGCATTTTAAAATATAGGCTGATAAAAATAAAAACAGTCCAAATAGGGAATTCATCGCCGAATTGTAAAAGTAAAATATATGTTATTATTAATGTTATTATGACCGTTTTAAGGACCACATTTAATTTGTCCACCCTGTGTGTATGAGAAATAAAGTACTGTCAAAAATTTTCCAAATCTGAAAAAATGAAAAATTTCCACTTTTCTGTAAAATAGGAAAAAAATTCTAAACTGATAAGAGAATGAACAAACCAATTACCATTCTCTACTACCACCGAATTTGAATCCGGAGCGGAACAGCCGTTATAGTTCATGATAAATCTGAACAGCACCCTAATATTGTCATAGAAGCACTCCTTTTCAAGAGCATCTTGAAAAATATTTTCCGTTGCCGCTGCCGTATGCAGCAGAACTGTCAAATATGTAAATATAGTTTGTCTACTGTAAGAACTCCCCCCACCACAAAGTCTGAGGCCGTCTGCTGCTATGGACGCAAGAATAGTGCATTTCAAGGAGGGTAGCTTCTCTTCACTCTAGGGCTAACACAACAGACCGAAGAAAAAGCCGACCTTTCTAGTCCCTCTCGCCGACCCAAGCCAAAACCTGTCCTAAACAGTGACCCTACTCCCTTACTTGAAATAGTCATATCTCGTTACCATAGTCACCACCACGGGTCCAGATGAATGGCTAGAGGAGTTCTCACTTTAGACAAACAATACAAATATTTCTTGGTTTCGTCCTCGCTTCAAAGAGTAAAAAACAATATTTATAAACAGTTGTTTACTTAAAATTCTTTAATAAAATTAAATGTGTTAAAATGACATAAAATGAGAACTATTGAAATATGACTTTTTTTTCTGTATGAACATTAGCCATATTGCAAAGAGAAAGTGCAAGGGTGGTGGTTTATTTAAAAAAAAAAAAATATCTAAAGAAAGCTGTTGCTAAAGCGGTTGAAAGGTATTTCGGTATTTAAATATGTAATCAATTACTTCACTTTCTCTAAAAGTGGAAAGACATTGTCGTGAGACAGGAAGCATAACAAATGGATCGAAGATGTCCTCATTTTCTGTTGGGAGACTAGACTGGGTCAACAGGCAGTCAAAGAGAAGAGTCAATAAGCCAAGAACGACGGATCTGACGGTGCAATAATTTTGCCCAGAAATCCAGGCCATTTGCTTTCTTAAGAATTTAGATATGAAAAGAGCAAATGTCACCAAAGAAGGTGCTGACACTAACCTTTCGAAAGAAAGATTTTTTTTTTTGGAATTTTAAATTAAAAAAGGAAACGAAATAGTAAAAATCAATTTAAATTATACTACTTTTACCATTATAGGAATAAGATAAAATGAATAAAAAAATTATTTAAATGCCTTCCCAAAGCTTGAGCATCTTACTTGTCATCTAATTGCAATTTATGGCTGTAATAAAAAAATCCTAAGCCTAATTTTTTTTTTCTTTTTGGTTTTCTTAGATGGCTTCATAAAATAAATAGATATTATTAAAAAGATTTGCAAAGAAGAAAAATCTATGCACATTTATATTAAAGTGGAAGTTAAGAATTATTTTCGTTTTCATTATTTTTGATATAGTAAAATATTTATAATTTGTAAAAATTCGGAATGTATAAATGACCAGATCACTTGAGCTAAAAGTACCCGAGGCATTAAGTCGTTTCAAGTTATAATATATTTATTTATAGTTATTAGGAAAATTTAAAAAGAAAAATATTAAATAATGACAAAATGCTGACTGATTGCAAAAAAATAAAAAAGTTTTACTAAAAATATTTGCTTATTTCACTTTTCTCAAAATTTTTGTAATAAAAATATCAGGGCCGTGATACCCAGGGGTTAGAGAATTGGATTTTGGTACGGAAGGTTCGGGGATCGATCCGCGACTCCACTAAAATCGCCGAGTACATGCGTTTAATTCGTAAAATCTGTAGAATCGAAAGTTCTGTGATCAGTCGCTGAACAGTACCATGAGTACGGGGATCTGGAGAAAACTTCCTTCCTCTTCAGATCTATGTCTAAATTGAGGTAGTGGCCTCACAAATTGTGATGGTATGTCTTCGGATCATCTTCAGGGATGTTTCCTAGACTGTCGCCAATTGCCCATTGTGCAGCCTAGTGCGACGTAAATAAAATACCAACCAACAAAACTATCAACCTGATCTAGTTCACTACGCATTCATATGTGATGACAACATTCTGGCATAATTTAAAGTAAAATGCTTCTTTTATTTATTAAATATCACTACAGGCAGTTTAAAAATGCAATATCTTGTCTTGTAAGGTATGAATTTTTCAGAGCGTGCGTCCCAATGATGTGACCCGGGTTCGAATACCAATGATGGCTGGGATACGAATTCCGCATCCGTCTCGCACCGACCACAGTGCTGACGTAAAATATTCTCAGTGATAGATGGATCGTAGGTTAGTGTCCACTTGCAGTCAGGCTGACCGTTGGAAGTTTTCGTGGTTTTCCTCTCTATGTAGCGTAAATGTGGGTTAGTTCCATCAAAAAGTACTCCACAAAAGCAAATTTATTCCAATATTTGATCCAGGAAATCCCTTGTCTTCTGGATTGGGTTCAAAATTACAAGGCTATAGAGCTGAACATTACTCGTAACTCCAAAATTGGGTCGGCTGTTCAATGACGGTTATAGTATGAAATAAAAAATATTAAAACACTTAGTTTTAAATGACAAAATTTGAAATGAATCAGTTGAAAATTTCCAGAGAAATAGCCAATTACAAATGCATTTTTCATTAATAATGTTAAGTCTTAATGTTTGTTTCACAGAAACTATTCAACCAAGTTATTTAAGTTCTTTAAATTGTTATTATTTAAAATTACGTGCTTAAAGAGAACCTAATCATGTAACCATTTAAACATATTTATACCCTGCAATTTTTATTGATTTCAATCATTACTGAATTAAAGAAACTAAGTTTTGCTTATGAATTTTTCTTAAAATTACCTTTCGTTAAACCAATCTTATAAGTCCCAAAATGTTCTTATTATAACAATCGATCGCAAAATGAATTTGAAAAAAGTTAATTTAAGGAGATTCGAGCTGTCAACCGATTTCCTTCTATTTGGAACCACATTTTCCGAATTGCTACTGCCTCCTATGTTTTTCAGGGACAACAATCTTAATCTCTAGGGGGAAAAAAGGCATATAAGGTAAGGTATATAGAGGCATGGAAGGTATAGTTTCAGAGAATGTGTAGCGCGCACAAAAATAAATAAATATAAAAGGAACCATCCTAAATAATTTTTGATCTAAATCTAATGATTGGATCTTCACGTCCTAGGACTTAATCTTAGTAGCTCGACGGGATGACTTCAAGTATGCTAAGCAGTGCTGACGATTTTTTAAGTTATGAAATGAAACACAAAAACGCGCTTTCTCTGATTAAACAGCCTTTTTTTTCAAAGGATATGGATTCCTGATCCTAAAAATACGGGGTGGTGGCCACAATCTATGAAATATGATCCCAATAGTTTCTTCAGGAGAGCGGTCCTAAGTTTGGACCCCTTTATCTTAATTTCACTTTTTGCGCATTTTTCCATTTCTTGAAAATTTTTCAAACGAATTGAAAAATTTTTGTACACAATATTTTAAATCGTCGTCTATCTAAAGATAATTCCAGGCATAATATCGTTAATATTCATTATTTTTTATTACTTTCTTTAATAAAAGTCAAAAGTTGTCAGAATTGTAAGGCATGCAATTTTTATATCATTTTAAAAAATGTAATTTTACATAGCAAAATACAAAATCAGTTGAATAGCTCTAGAAAAATCGAATTTTATAAAACGCCATATTTTTATTAATTAGCATATTTCAGATCACCCCCTCAAACCATTAATATTAAGTCCTAGAACGTGAAGATCGAAAATTAATCAAAGTTGTCTTTTTTTGTGCATGGTACGTCAAAGTAAGGTATACTTTCAGACGATGTTTCAGATTTGTTCGATTTCGCAAGTTATCAATATGATTAATTTTATTTAATTTTATTTTTTTATAATTTTATAACTATTCGTTGAACAGCAGACCTAAACTTGAGTTTACGGCTACTAATGTTCATCTCCATAGCCTTGTAATTTTGAACCCAATCCAGAAGACAAGGGAACTAATGGATCAGTACCCCCGTCAGATTTAACATGCATCAGTCACCATTTAATACACGAGGATTCTTCGGCTGGCTGGATGCGAACTCCCGTTCTCACAAACATAAGTTCAACGCTCTACCAACCAGACTGCCCCGGGCCCCAATACCACTAATTTGTATTTTTAAGCTGTTGTCTTTTAAGTCTTAATGTTTCTTATTTTATTACCTGAAATCCAGATATTCATCGATTTTTTCTGAAAGCTGAGTTTCTAAGTCGAAATTAATTTAGTATTTCCGATGCAATTTTAGTGAAATTTCTGGTTTAGTTCGTATTTTATTTCTTTTTAACATGTTTAGAAATTTTATTTTAGCAATATTTTGTAAATTAGTTATTAGGCTGGGAATTTTATTTATTATTATATAAATTTCATATAATTTATTATTTTATTTATATATCATTTATTATTATAATATATAATTTATATTATTTATAATTATTTATTATTATATTAATTTCATACTTATATTTTATTCCCTTTTATCGTATTTTTTCACTTAAAATTAATTAAAAATTTTATTAAAAGATTATTATATCATTTCACTCTTTTAGGATAAACAATAAAGTTTTATAAAAAAAAAATGGAACAAAATTAAATTGATCGAATTTTATTTTCAATCTAACAAATTTTACTTTCAATGTGTGGGGAGGGGGAAATGGCATATTAATCAACATAATTAAACAAAAACATCACTTAAACTCTCAATCGCTAACAGTTAAAAAAAAAAGATTCAAAAGTCACGAATGAGTTTGTATTTCTGTAGTTTTTATTGAGGTTTCGTTTTATGAATGGGAATTTAAAAACGATTACAGTTTATTTATTTTTTTCTCATTACCTTTTCCAGTAATAAATACGGATTTCCGATGAAAAGTTTCAGTCAAATGACAGAAAGGAAAGAAAAAAAAGAAAAAAGAAAGAAAGAAATCGTAATGATGTAACTTATGATCCGTTAATGTGATAAGGGATGCGTCACAACTATGCAAGTTGTTTTATTTTTCTCTGAAATTATTGTTGGTTTTTATAATGACAGGTATGGTTTTTTACAAGTTCAATTCCTTTCCGAACCGGAACTACAGCCAATCATAATGCTTTAAAGCCTGAAGCTTTGTCACTTCCCTATGGCCGTAAACATTTCACAAGCTTTTCGAAAGGCTTCTACTCTCCAAACAACCCATGTGACCCGCCGGAAATTTCCGGAAAAAAAGAACGCAGTCGCATCGTTAACCTCTTAGAAAGAAGTTTGATTCCTCCTGAACAAGTAGTCTAACAATTCCAGCTCAACATCATTTCAAACAATGCTTAGGATCAGTCTTCATTCACTGAAAATGATGCTCGCAGTAACGATTCTCTTAGCGACATTGTGCGCGTGCGCTAATGCAATTGATAGGGACATTAAATCAAAAGGACTTATGAGTGATTTGGTTCAAAAACCTATTTTTTATTCTGGTGAGATGAGAAATGTAAGTCTTCATACATTTTTATTTTTTTAAATTATAAACTTTAATTGGAAATTGAAACATTTCACGACTTTAATATGCTTATTAATATACTTTAATATGCTTATTAATAATTTAGGTAGAAAATTTATAATTATTTAATATTATATGTACCTTAGCATAAAAAAACTTTTTTTATGGATTGAAAATGTTTAAGAGAAATCCTTATTTTTAATTCTAATCAATATTGTGTCAATAAAAAACTTTTTTTAATTTCTATATTATAAGTGTTAAGTATGTCAATTATTAAGAGGAAATAAAAGTAATGATTAATTTTAATTGATGTAACGTTTAATTAAACAATTACATCTTTATAAACTTTATATCTAAAGTGATTGGTCTCTTACGATACTTGCGATAAAATACTTTATATTTCAGTGAGATGTCGTATATTTAACACCTAATTTTTAACTACTCGTAACTTTAATAAATGCGAACTCATAGTACTTGTAGTTTTAAAGTACTTACAACAAAGTTCATCAAAAATACTTTTAAGGAGTCAAATGCTTTTCATAATACTGCTTTTTTTTAAAAAAAAGAAAAAATATATGACTGCTGTGTAAAAATCTGCTCTCCTAAATAAATAAATATTGTGTCATTTTTTTTAGCTATAAACCTTAGCAATTTCGAAAGCGATATTCCAATAGGTTAGTTATAAATTATGTAACTATCAACTCTATATATTGTAACTATTAACTCTCCGTTTAATGAAAAATTAAATTGTCAAAAATCGCTATCATTTGCTACATTTGATGACAATATTTAAAAATTTTATTAATAGATTTTCGTGTATAAGCAATAAATAACGAAATACTCCGATACTATTCCTAGAATATTTTTACGAAATTATAGAAATATTTCTCTAATTAAAATTTGGTAAATAAATAAAAATAATGTTTTAATGACTAAAGTTAATTGTTAAAATCGAAAAAGAGAGAAATGTTTTCACCTAATATTTTCGACATTGTTTAAATTTTATTAGAAAATGTCGAACAATTTATAAAGAATATTTTTATTTTAAATATAAAATATCAATTATGTATTGCAAGAAAAAATAAAAGAACAGTCAAAGGTTTAATAGAAATTTAAATAAAATACATTGCTTATTACAGCTATTAATACCGAATTTTAAACATTCACTTTTCTGAGTTAGTACTAAGTAAAAAATAATTGAAAATTGAATGCGTTCAAATGAAAGCAATAGATTTAAACCTTTAGAGTTCATTACCTATTATTGCCTAAGTTTGTGCAGATGCACCTTTTGTATGCACCTTTAACTTAATTTGGTTTTATATTTCTTAAAATTAATTATTTCTTATTACTTAAGTTCTTACTACTGTTCTAAAGTTCGCTCAATGAATAGTTTAAATTATCTTTCGAAATGACAATTATAATAATTTTATTCGAACAAAAAAAGTAACTTTAAGTAATCTGTGTGTAAATACTATTCATCTATAGAGATAAATTTGAACTTCGAAAATAACAAAAAATACAACACATTAAAAATTATTCGTACTTGCATATACATATTCTTTTCAGTTTTTGTTTTTTTTTTTTTTTGTTTTTTTTAAGTTTATCACATTACCGTGGAAGATATCCTTTCTAAACAATATTAATATTAAAAATTTATTTAAATATAAAACCCCAATATGACAGAAAAAGTTTTGTTTCAAAAATATTTATTTGGAATTTTTGTTTCAAAAGAAAAAAAAACAAGTCCCATGAGATTTTTTATTTAATTTTTAAGAAGTCAAACCTTTTAAACTGTTTAATTTTTGAATGTCTTGAAAAAGATTCTAAAACGTTTCAAAAATGATGAAAATGTTTATTACGTAAAATATAATAATATCATGAATATTTGAAACTACAAACGTATGTCCATTACTCTATCTACAGTATTCTATCATAATATGTATATAATATGTATATTATGTTTAGAAATATGTTTTAATGTTTTAAATAAACCCAATATGGAAAAATTATAAATATCAATTTCTTTAAAAATTTAAACATTGCATAGTTGTAATAGTTTTACCATACACCTTTTGCATGCTGAACACACAACAAAAACTATGAAATTTTTATAAAATTGCTCAAAATTTTGCTAAAATTTAATTTCTTTGCATTCAAACAATTTTTTTTAAACTTAATACCGGCCATTAAGGAAAAAATTAATTTTAGTTTAAAAAAAACAATTGCTTTATGAATATGTATAAACACACAAAGAAAAAAGTATAGTCAAAACTTCCAGAATATGGTAAAATTTACTGTGTCTGGTTCTATGGGAGCTACCAAAAGCTCGGTAATTTTTATCGAAGAGCTTAGAATGATTACTTTTTGAAGCACGCGTTCGATTTACGCCGATTCTGTCGAGACTTCTTACGGCTTTTTAATAAATATTTTGGCAGTTACACACAGATTACATAGATTTCTAAGCAATTTTTAAAACCCAGATATTTTTTTTTTAAATGATACTATAACGACTCAAGAATCTCAAAATGCGCATATGAGTTATCATATGCGCATAAAACCTTCCAATTTTCGAACACTTAAGTTCGTTTTGCACCGATTTCCAAGGTTTTCAATGGCAATACCGAAATTATTTATGTGGATTTCTACATGATTTTTCCAATTTTTCGTACATGATTTTTCCTACATGAATTCTTATTTTTTAAACATGATATTATATGAAAACGCGGAATCAGAAATTTAAGGAATTGGGCGAAAATCAGAAAAAGAAGATTTTTTTCTACGATGATTCTTGAAAACACGAGCGAAAACGGGAAAAAAATCGATTGTTCGATCTAAATTCTCTGACCTATTTTCTTAAAAATAAGTATTAAAATATAAAAAATGTCAGGTCGTAATTGAAAAGTTAAGCATAAACGCCAGTCAAAATTTATCAATATAGTTATATCAATGTTGATATGATTCATCGTTCCATATATTAAGGTGGCAGTAAATTTGAATGTTTTAACAAATTCCAACATTTCTAACGGTGTGTGTATAAAGAAGAAAAACAAAACTTTTATTTGAAATAACAAAAAAAATTACTAATTGCTACCTCTTTTTAAGTTTTTGTTATTTCTGCCTGGAACGGTAATAGAAAACTTTTATTCAAAGAAAAAGAAATAAAATGAAGATTATTCACTTTTACATGGTCTTTGAACACGCTTTGCAATTATTCAACTTATTTTACTTGTTCCGCAATGTTTCCTTAAGTATGGAAGCTCATTGTTTTTAATCAATGTTGTGAAAATAAAAAGCAGTCAACGTGTTTCTATGACGTGATGAATTATTGCATTTATTTCGCAGTGACATTTTCCCGTTTCTCATAAACTTATACGGGAATTTTTATTAAAGAACTTAAACAGTACATTGCAGAAATTTCTACTTTTATGTAGTTGCTGGTTTGTTTAAAACTACCTGTCTTTCACAAATGAGCCAAAAGATAGTTGATATTGTAAACTGTTACGTATGTGAAATATTAATACAATTTATATTAACAATTCACTTTTTGAAATTCCGTGGTTAATTTTTTTTAATTAAATTTTTTTTAACAGCATTAAATTCTAACACTATGATATCTCATTCTGTAGACAATTTTTTTCCATTTAAAAAAGAGAGTGGTCTATCAAACAGTGCAATTCATTATAGAATTTTTAAAGAATTCATTAATCTTAATGTTACAAGTTTTTTTAATTAATGAAGCCGCGTTGATAGAAAAATATTGGATCAGATACGAGTAAGTGGGATAATGTTTTTTTTAAAAATGGAGAATTTTCAAGAACTATTGAACTGATTTATTTTAGATTTTATCGCTTAAAATTACGTGCTTTAAGAGGATATAGTCGTTTTATAATTTTACAATTCAGAGTTTTTCGAACATTATAAAATTAAATTCTTAAAATAATAACTAATTACTATAAATAATTTGTTGTGAGAAGTTATATTTTGCTAATCGTGATTTACTAGTTGGTAGGAAGACTTTTTGATTCGAAGAAGGTGCAGATATTTTTTATTCCTTTTTTTAAGACAAAGCAAAGTAGTAAAAAAATGAAAAATTTTAATTAACATCATAAATCCAAACTTTCGATTGATTTTCTGATTAACTTATAGGAGTATATCTTGCAAATAATATTTTCCCTGCTCCTATCCATTATATATTGGAGAAAAGAAATTCAAATCAGTAGGAAAAAGGAAAGTTTAGCCTGAAAGGAAATTTTTGGACCTGGTTAATTACAATCGGTGCTTATTAATTAATTGAGATATCCTAGGTTATTCAGGTTGGCACATTGCATCTTACACTATAGGAAATTTTGGATAATGATTAGTGATAATGTTCAGATTTGCTGCGACTGTTATATGGTGCAGGCTAAACAATATTATCGTGCAATTTAGTCCTTCTTTATTGTTCGTCTTGACGTTCATCTTTCTTCCTTTGCTAGAAATTTTGAAGTATCTTGAACAACAATTGTTCAATTTTGCTGCAACCTGAATATTGATGTAAGATGAAATTTATTATCGTACTCCTTAACTTGATTACACACTATGAAAAAGAATCTGCTCAAAACTACCTGAATATGATAAAATTTACTGTGTTTCTGTCTCTGTGGGAACACTAAAAAGCACGGTAATTTTTACTGAAGCTCTTTGGTAATGATTTTGGTAACATTAGCGGTAAAATATAGTTTCATAGTATGTGATAAAAATTGGAAAATGTGATAAAACTTGGTAATTTTATCACAATACCTTAAAACATGGCATAATAACCATTTATTGGGTTAAATTCATTTTTCAGTTTTGAATTTTTTACTAAATGTATAGTAATATGAACTATAATTTTGAAAACCAGAATTTCCGGTAAATCGTTACCGTAATAATTGCTAAAAATTCATATATTTTGGGTTTATTACTAAAATTCCAGTTCTTTTTGATAAAAATGTCTTTACTATACAGTACGG